CGCGTGCGGTGCTTGCATGTCGCATGAGTTGCATAGCCTCACCTCTTTTTATATGCCACTATGTCCACTCTAAACGTTGCACGACGAAAGCACAGTGGGCCAGAAGACCGGTGGAGGCGGTCGAAATCCCGGACGCGTTTTGAGCTCCGGAGTCGCCGAATGGGACTCGAACCAGACGTGTGACCCCACCAAATGTCTTGCTCTCCGAACGCGGATTCCAATGGTGGGGTAACACGCTCGGTTCGAGTCCTGTTTGGCGACTCTGGAGCTCAAAACGCGTCTGGAGTAGTGGCCGCCTGGGGCGGTCTTGGCCCACTGTGCACCGGAGACAAGCCAAGGGAGTGAGTGCCAAGGGGCGACGGTTTTCCGTAAAAGTTTCCCTCCCCTTCTGAATGCCCGACGGGATGGGCTCTTCCATCAGGATGATCCCCCGCCAGCGCGCGGAACGCCGTGCCGTGCCGCGCCGCGCCGTGCCGTGCCGTGTGCCAGTGCGAGTAGCGACTTTTAACACATCTCTCTCTTCTACGGTGAATGTGGCACAATGGGCACGACCCACGGCATGGCATCACGCGCCCCGCCAGCGGCAAGCCAGCGGCACGCCGAACGGTCTCTCTCGCACTCGGGGGCGTGTCCGGCCGTTTCGTATCGGTGCGAGAGAGACAGAGCGACGAGCACAAAGTCGTCCTGCAGCAGCAGCAGTCCCGCCTTGCGCCATCCACATTCAGCGAATCATCCCCTGCATTCCGAAAGGACTCCTCTTCGGCCTGCCAGGGGGAAGTGCTTCCCGTCTGGCTAATCCCCTCCACCGGCCACGCCACGCCATGCCACGCCACGCCTCGCCACGCCCCCGTCAACGACACAAATAAATTCCCATTTAGGCGAGCGGACCGTGCGGCGCGGCGCGGCGGGGCCCGCCTATACTTCATAGATACTTCCGGCCCCGGAAACACACGACTTTGTGTCCGCCGCGGGACGGCCCGGGGCGGCCCGGGGCGGCCGACGGGGACGCGGCCGCGCGGTGTCCTGTGTGGAGGACACTGATAGCCCTGGAGGAGGAAGCGGAGGATGGGATCCTTACAGACGAGTCACTGGAGAAGTCGTTCCAGCCGGATCCATATACGCGCCCAGGCCACTGGCAAGGTGCGCGGCGGCGGCTCGGCTCTCTTCAACTCACCGGCGTGATATTCCAATGTAATCTACCGTTGGGAAAAATTAAAAAAATAAAACTCCAGTTTGCGGACAGTAATTTCTATAGTAGACGCGGACATGGATTTTTCTCTACGGTAAAGACCGCTTTCAAAAACACATACACACGCGATTTTACTTTTCGGAGTGCAGCTGCTTGCAGGAGGATGATGACTTTGCCATTTACGTCCACCCTTTCCTCGCCTCCGCCTGCGTGCAGCGTGCGCACACGCGCAGCAACAACAACAACAAGCACTCGCTGGCTGGTTATGGCCCCGCGGAGCACGGCAAGCACGGCACCATTTAAATTACCCGGCGCGCGCGGCCCTCTCGCTCACCTGGCGGAGCAGCAGACTGATTCCGAGAGTCGTTTTCGTCGCTCTGTCTCTCTCGCACTCATGGGACGTCCCGTATGGGTGCGAGAGAGACGGAGCGACGAAAACGACTCTCGGAATCAGTCTGCAGGCGGAGCAGCCCGTCGACGGCCAGGTGAGGGTAAACGGGGTGCGGTGCGTGGAGTGCGCGGTGTGCGCGGGGCCGGGGGAAAAGGGGGGGGGGAGGAAGATCGCGCACGCCCCCCGACGACCCCACGCCGCCCCGGGCGGTCCCCCACTGGTCCCCCATCTCATCCTCATTTGACAACACCCTGCTGCCACACCGTGCTACACCACGTCCAGCACCGGCCAGGCCCGTTCAGCCCCTTTCAGGCTGGGTCCTTGTTTGTATTTTATGAGCTCGCCACGCCCCGCCCCGCCCAGCCCCGCGGGTCCCTGCTGCAATTCGCCGCATTTTGCGGTTTCATCCGATTGTGCTTCCGTCAACTGAATGGCATCGCCAACGGCCGACTTCCGCCGCGTCGACGGTTCGACGGCGACGCTTCGACGGCGTGCTCTCCGCCCGAGCGCTGCCCTCTGCTTGCTCTCGTCCCCCGCTGCGCCGCTGAGTCGTCCACGCACGCGCCCGGCCCCGCACACGGAGGCCACAGTGGTGGAGGCTCGGCTTCGAACACAGACCCCGGATGGTTTTGGCCTCAGCCGCCTCGGCGTGCACTTCAACGACGGACCGGCCGTCATCCGGTTTAAGGTCCGTCAGTGCTCGAAGACGCTCGAAGACGCTCGAAGACGCTCGAAGCAGCAGTAAGGCCCCGGTTCATCCGGCTGGCCGACTCGAACGGAAGCGGACCGGATCTCGTGGGCATTCCAAACCGGACAAAGACACGCAGCGGCGCGGCTCTACCTGTCTCTCTCGCTCCCTGCCTCGTCGCCCCGTCGCGCTGGGTGGCTGCCGTGGTGGCTGGCTGCCGGGCCGGGGCCCCATTGTGCGCGAGTGGCGACGTGTGGCGACACATGAGAAAAGGGTGGCACATCAAGCCTGTTTAGTCACTCGGAATAAGTGCGTTTAAAGTGAGATTATATCGGGGAGGAAGTTTTAAAGCGCGCTCTGCCATCATTCTCGGCCGGCTCGGCAGTCACGCGGTCGGAAAATGGCGCGACTCGTCAATGCTGCCACCACACGGCCGCCAACACAGCCAATACACGGCCCGCCGAGCGGCCCGCAGTCCCGCCAACCCCACGGCGTTTGCTGCATTCATGCGAATATTACTCCCTTCCGGGACCGTCGGGACCGTGTTATGAGTTGCATTTGACATGATGAATGCGCAAAGTTGTCGCGATTCTACAACACGCACACACACATACACGCACGCACACAGGCAAACCTGAGCACAACACTTACTCTTTCGGTTCATTGCGCGCGACGTATGAATGAATCGATTGGGACATCAGGAAGGAAGAAAGTGCGACTGAGTGAGTGTCTGTGTGTGCGTCAGTGTGCGTCTGTGTGCGTGTGCGAACGGGGGCATGCCGTGTACGGCCACACACGCCGTCGCTGACCCCAACGCACTGCGGCACTGCGGGACTGCGCGGCGGTCCACTGTCGGGGGCACAGCGGGGAAACCAGACCGCACCTCCTCGCTCGCGCGCGCAGCGGAAGTGCGAGGCCGTCTTCATCGGCATCGTCGTAACAGGGAAATGAACCCAACAAATCTATCTTCGGCGAAATGCCGAAATGAGTGGCCCTTGTGACACACGGTGCGATATCTCGTACTACACCTGGCGGTGCACGCCTACTCTACGCTAGTGTGGTCTGGCACACTTTTACAGAGACACACACGCGCACTCAACTTATGGACGACGCCACTGGCGGCTTACGGTGTAGTTCGCTACAAGCGCGCTGGGCAAACACGGCAGGAGGCCATTATCTATCTATCTACCCATCTATCTATCGGCTGGCCGCGGGGGCCGCGGGACGACCGGGGCCCCGATAGCGTGGTGGCCGGGCGGGGCGGGGCGGGGCGGGGCGGGGCGGGGCGGTAGCGACGCTCCTTCGTTCGCGGCGGCGCCTCTATCGTCCACCTCTTACTTTGTCCGCCGGTCGGTTTTAATCAAGCCCCTAGGACGGCGTGCTACGCGGTGCCACGGGTGGCCGAGTGCGGGTCACCGAGGAGCAGCGGCTCGGCAGCGCGATGGAGGCCGAGGCCGCGAAACAAAGCCGGCCTCGTCGTCGACGTGATCCTCCGAATACACATGTAGCTGTCAGCGACGACGTCTAGCTTGCTGATCTCTGCTCACACACGCACACACACACCACAGTGGCGGCCGTGGTATAGTTATTACGAAACAACAAGGACAATGTAAGGGAGGCGGCGTTTTCACAATGCGTGCGGCTTTCGGCGTCGCCGCCTCGGCCGCCTCGCCTCGCGTCCCCGGGTCGCGGTTGGGTTGTTTGTGCTCATGAACCCCCGCCCCGCCGACGGGCCCCCACGCCCCCCACGCCCCCTCGCGCAGCTTGCCCCCGAATCGGCTTTCACGAAAAAAGTGGATGAAAACAGATTCCATCGCGGAGCCGCCGTGACGCGTCCAAACACAGGAGCGCGTTGCAGGGCGGGGCGGGGCGGGGCGGGGCGGCCCCATTCAAAGGCGGTGGTTTGGAGTTAACGCGCGTTACATCGGGGATAATGACGCACATGGGGTGTGCTGGGTGCGCGGCCGGCCAGGCCTAGAGCCAGGCCCGCCTTCCCTTGTCGGCTTGCCGGCGGCCCCACGGCCTCGGCGCGCGCCGCGTCGCTGACCGGAAGGAGGCCGGACGGATCCGGTCCGGAATTGTGACCTCCGGTCGGTCGGGTGGAGCGCTGCGCTGCACTGCGCGGTGCCGCCGGAGCCCCCTCGGCCGTGCCGACGGCGTGCCGACGGCGTGCCGCCTTGGTGCTGAATGACGCCCTGCAAGCGCTGCAAGCGCTGCAAGGGCGGAGGAGGGAGGACACGCCGCGGCACTCCCTCAAAGGCGAGTTCTTTGTCGCACCAGTCGTGCCGCAGCCTCGCAACCCTCGCAGCCCCACTTTTTAACGGATGGCAGATTTCCACGTTCCCCGCATGTTGCGCCTTGCCGAACCCGCCAAGTGTTTGTTCAGAGACAATACTTTTTGCCGTGAGCGCTGCGGCTTGCGGTGGCAAAACTATACAACATTTTAAAGTCATTTTGACTTCCTTCGACCACTATGTCGGTGTCTCGAGTTCTTTGCGAAGCTGCTCGGTCGGAAATAAAGCAGTGGTCAGAAAGTTGAGTGCGCGAGGCGCGAGAATGGAGTGAGCGTTCTGAGGGAAGGAACGGGAAGGAACCTCCCCGCCTCCGCTGGAGATACCCCGCGCTCCAGCGGTCTCGGCCTCCCCTCTTCGCCGGCAGCGCCATCTCTCGGCGCGGCGCGCAGCCCAAGGCGCAGCCCAAGGGCCACGCACCGGTATGAGAAAGTGACTTACCGGAGGTCCTCCTCGCCGCCGGAGACGTAGTCCGGGGGCAGCAGGTGCCAGGGCTGCTCGTAGCCGTCGTAGAGCGCCGCGGACGTGGCGGCCGCCGCGTTGCCCGTGCTGTACACCGTGGTGGTGTGCGTGTGGTGCACCGTGAGGTGCCCGTTGTGGAGGCCGTTGAGGTGGCCGTTGGCGTGCGCGGGGTGCACGGCGTGCACGGGGTGCGGATGCGCCGGGTGGGACAGGAGGTGGGTGGCCTCGTAAGTCTGGTGGTGGGCTACGGGGTGGGCCACGGGGTGGGCTACGGGATGGGCTACGGGATGGGCCACGGGGTGAGCCACGGGGTGGGCGACGTGGTGGGCTACATGGTGAGGCACCGGCTCGGCATGCGGGTGCTGCAGGTGGTGGAGGTGCAGGTCGTGGTGCTCGTGGACGTGCACGTCGTGGGTCTGTGCGTGCTGCGCGTGCTGCTGCTGGTGCTGTTGTTGATGTTGTTGCTGCTGTTGCTGCTGTTGCTGCTGCTGCTGCTGCTGCTGCTGTTGTTGCTCCACGGGGCGCGGGTACAGCGGCGACGCCACCAGCTCCAGCGCCTGCTGCGGCTCGTCGTGGGGTGTGTCCATCCTGGCGGGGCACAAGGAGGTCGAGTTCAAAGACAGCTCTTCGCCACACACCAGGGATGAGGAAAGTGACCGGACTCCGAACATTGCTTTCGTCGCTGTCTCTCTCGCTCCCTTACGGTCCCTTACGGGACGCCCCATGAGTGCGAGAGAGACAGAGCGACGAGAGCGGCGCTCCCGCCTCTGCCGCACACTCGTCCATGAGCGAGGGGGCCGCGAGACAGGGCTTCCCCGACGGCGTTCGTACACTGTGATACGTCTCTAGATTATCCCGGCACTCCTGGTTCACAAGTACTACCGGGTACTCCCTGCACCGATTTACCTGTAATAGTGTCTTTAAAGCCGCGATTGAGTGGGTGGGATCCTCGCGGTGGAGTGGCCCGGCGGAGGTCGGCGCTTCATGGAGTCATCGCGGTGCTCGACTCGAGTGCGCCGCGCCCAGCCGCCTGTCCATGCCGCCGACCATGCCCCTCCGGCCCTCCACACCGCCACACCGCTAATCCGCCCACTCACCGCTTGTTGGCTTAGGCCCTACTCAAACACCGCGAGAACCGATTCGAACCGACACCTGCACCGCATTCCCTATGTGTCATCGGGTCGAGCCGACAGCCGCCGCACGAGTCGTTTTGGCGGCAACCTCCCCCCCCCCCCCCCCCCCTCCCCCCACCCGCCGGCCCGGCGCGGCGTGCCCGATGGGTTGCCTATCTGCCGGGCACTCTAACTAATCCCGGCAGTGGAGAGCCTCTCCAAGCCCAAGCACCCCTTCAGTGTCCACGAGAGCCTCTCTAGGGGCGCAGAGGAAAAAGTGTTCCTCGTTTCAGACGCGGATATACTTGACTTGATACGCGGCCCGGCGGCGCACTGACTGCTAATCTGACCCGCTGCTCTGGCGGCGCGCGCTTGGAAGTGTGAACAGGTGAGGACGAGGAGGCGTGGACACGTCGCGGATGGTAAAGTTCTAGATCCGGGACTCGGTCTCGGTGGGCTGGCGGCGGGCCGGGTTGTCACTGTGTCTTTCGTGATTGTCGAGAATGCCGGGGCGGCCCGCACCTGAGTCGGGTTATCTCCTTTTCGGCCACTCGGAACACCCTATCGCGTCTCTATCATGAGACGGCCAAATCAAGGCTGTGTCCTTATCAATGATTGGGGCAGCCGGATCGAAATCGGACTTGCTTCAAACCTGGACATGTTTATGACAGTGCGATTGGAAAATGGCGTTCTGGTGCGCGGCTGCTTGTGTTGGCGGGAATAGTGCCGTGCGGAAAAAAGAGCTATGGGTACTTTGATTTAGTTGCGATTGCGAGAAGAGATGCCTCCGTTTGGGCTCCGGGCAGGCAGCGTCCAGCGAGCCTCCGAAATGCACTCATTCGGGGCCCCCGAAGGACTGTGAGTGTGAGTATGAACTGTCCTCATGATCTTTTTGATTTGCCATCCACACGGTAGTGACCGGTGCGGTTTCTTGGCTTCGAGAAGGGGGTGAAATTTGTAAATTCTGTTCCGAACTGCCCCCGCTCCCCTTACTCGTTTGCTGAAGGCTGGCGGGCACGTGTGAAGCTTTCTAGGTGTCGGACTGAAGGGCGCAAAAGTGCGTCTATCAGAGCGCAGCCTTGGGCCGCGTCGTCGCCGCGTCCTTTTGTAAGACGAATGCGATGCCAATTAATTAAATTTTTTATCAGTCCTCGGTCGGGCAGATAAACTTGCGTCCACGGAGGTGGCCGTCGTCGCGTCGTCGGAATACCCAAAAACTTGGTATCGTTCGCTCGAGTGGCAAGATTCTTTCAATACGTACAGTATAAAGAAAAGGAAAAATTTGATCTACCCACTTCGGTTTCAAAGAAATTTTGATGATTTGACTAAACAGTCCTTTATTTGCGAGTCTGTGTCGTATAGAAACCAAGGTTCGTGTTCTGTACTGTAGATCTATCGCTGCTTTCCTGCGAGTCACGCTCTAATGACGTCGCACAGTTCAAAAAAAATCAAGAAGCACGTCTTTTTAGATATGGGGCACACGTCTACAGCAGTCCTTTGTTGAGATAGAGCTAAGGGACGGGCTCGAAGAAGTGAGAGCAATAACACTTCTACAGAGGGTACTCGATGGGCAAGCTCAATGAGCTCAGGTACTCGTCATGAGCATGCCATAATGCCGTACAAGTATCAAAACAGTGGATCGATTCCTCGAACGGGGTGTTATTTAGGTGAGATACATTTTCAGAACGGCCGAACCTCCGAGGACTACACACCAAACGTGCTCGTCATGCCGCATTCGCCCCGCAGGACCTATGACTATGACACGTGCTAGAGGTTCAAAGTGAAGCCGGCAACACTGGTTGCATTGCAATCGGAAAGGCGCAGGCACAGCAGTTCGTGCAAGACGCCTCCCCCTCCCGGACCCTGAGGTACCCGACCCCGCACCGAGAGTGGGAATTCCCTCATCCCCTCCGGCCTGCGGTGGCTGCGGTGGCTGCGGTGGTGGCGCGGCGTTGATCTGTGTTCGGTGCGGCGGCTCGTGTTTGCCCAGCTTGGAGTGTATTCAGCCCAGAAGGCTTGGGGAAGTCCCAGTCCCCGCTCGGTGAAAGTAGTCCAAACAGCGAATGCCGTCCGGCGCGTGTGGTACTCGCGGGGCGCGGACTGGCGGCGGCCTTCGCGGGTTCAGGAGCTTCTCCTCCATCAACTTCATCATCATCAACGCGGTTCAAGTCTACAAAGCAACCCGACCTCGCGCGACCTCCCGTCGCGCCTCAACGAGGACCCTAGTCGCGACTGCAGGAAGCTCCAGTCGTAAGCAGTGAGCCTAGCCCCAGCCCCAGCCGCACCTTACCTGCCAACCCCCCGTCCGGCCGCGGCTGCTGCTGCACAGTGCACGTTCCTCGCGCTGCTCCCGGGGCCCGGCTTCGACTGCTCGACAGAGCGCAATGCAAAATGCAAAGGCAGCCGCTGCGAACTGCACTGCCTGGCCGCCTGCCGGTACCCGGTGCGGTTGCCGCCTGGGCGCGCCTCGCTCGCCGCTTGGTCCTGGCCGGCCGTCGCGGACTCTTTACACCCGTGTGGCGTCGCCGCGTCGCCGTCGCGCCTCTAGGGCTTTGCTGCCTTGCTGCTTCGCCGTCCCACCGGTGGGATGGCTTCCCAATCAAGACCCTTATCAGCATCGGCCTGGCTATCGCATCTATCTGCCATCAGTCAATCTTGCCATGCCGCGGCCCCGCCGCAAACAGGCCGGCCAGTGCGGCGCCATCGCCATGGCTGCAGCGCGCGTGCGCGGGGACGGCCTGGACGGCCCGGAGCAACGCACGACCCGCACGACACACTGCGACAAGCACAACAAGCCCACGAGTCATCGCCATGTGTGCAAGTCATTGCACCAAACCCTTACTGATGTTTATTTTAATTTTTCTACCCCTTTCTTCCCTCAGCTTTTCAAAATTTAGTCCGAGGCTCGGAGCAGCATGGAGCAAAAAATATAAATAATCAAATTAGTCTCGTTTTAGGCAAAACTTTGGATGAGGACACTGTAGATCCAACATGTACAACAGGGTGGAGGAAAGCAGACGAGGAAAATAAAAATTCCAATCACTTTTGTTTCGACTGTTTATTCACAATATTTTGATGGCCAGAAATTCAGTATAAAAGAAACAGTATGATTTTATGCTGCAGCACAGACAGTTGGATTCAATATCACCATTCCCTTACAAATACAACTAAAACATTAAATCATTACAGGAGGCAAACAGATAAAATCAAATCAAACAGCAGATCAATTGAAAAATGGTTATTTTTCTACAACATAAAAATTATTTACAGTTCATTGTCTTAACCGCCAGCAGTTTTGTTTTTTAAGGAGGTATGGCATGTCATTTAAAAATGTCCCTAGGGATCAAGAATCAATTGTACAGAACAGACACACCTATCATCTACTTAGGGCCCAACATGTCTTCCGGCTTCACCCAGTCTCTAAACTGCTCCTCTGTAAGGTAACCCAACTTCAAGGCAGCCTCCTTCAACGTCGTTCCTTCCTTGTGAGCTGTTTTGGCAATCTTGGCAGCCTGCAAAAAAAAAAAAGGATTTTTTTGGGGATTTTTACTTTATAAGGTTATATTTTGGGAACAGGAAAAGCATCACATGTCATACAGTACCTTGTCATATCCAATGTGAGGGTTGAGGGCAGTGACAAGCATGAGAGACTCGTGCAGGATTTTGGCAATGCGCTCTTCATTGGCAACAATGCCTTGAACACAGTTGGTGGTGAACATTCTGCTGCTGTCAGCCAACAGCTGAACGGACCGAAGTACATTGGCAACAATCATGGGCTTGAACACATTCAGTTCAAAGTGTCCATTGCTGCCTCCCACACTGACTGCAACATGGTTGCCCATGACCTGGGCAGCAACCATGGTGATGGCCTCACACTGAGTAGGGTTTACTTTACCTGTTGAACAACAAAAAGCACAAATGAAACAAAGCCCGTTTCGGAACAAAAAATAAGTGTCTTAAAAATATAAATTCAAAATTTTCTTACCGGGCATAATACTACTGCCGGGCTCATTCTCAGGCAAGCTCAGTTCACCCAGACCACAGCGAGGTCCAGAAGCCAGGAAACGGATATCATTGGCAATCTTCATGATACTGACGGCAACAGTGTTGAGTGCCCCTGACACCTCAACCAAGGCATCATGGGCAGCCAAAGCCTCAAATTTGTTGGGTGCAGAAACAAAGGGTAGTCCTGAAAAATTTTGCTGTTGAAGCCATTGGCAGGACATCAAGTAAAAATGCAAGTTAATAAAAAAAATACCTGTTAATTCACTAATCTTTGCAGCGCACTTTTCAGCAAATCCAACTCTTGTGTTCAATCCAGTTCCTACGGCTGTACCACCAATGGCAAGCATGTAAAGTCGGGGGAGAGTGTCCTTAATGCGCGCAATGCTAAACTCCAGCTGCTGAGTGTAGCCACCAAACTCCTGGCCCAGTGTGAGAGGGACTGCATCCTAAAAAGAAGAAGAAAAAAAAGCCTATTAGCTATTTTTGCTAACACACCTGCAAGCGAAATTACCCTGTTCTGAGATAGACCTGAGTGTGGGTACGGCCAATCTTGATGATATTCTCAAATTCCTTGCTCTTTTTCTTCATAGCACCATGTAAACCTTCAAGGGCTGGCAGGAGTGACTTGTTGATTTCAACGGCAACAGCGATGTGCATGGCAGTCGGGAAAGTGTCATTGGAGCTCTGGCTCTTGTTGACATGGTCATTGGGATGCACTGGAGACTTGGATCCCAGCTTTCCACCAAGCAACTGGATGGCTCGGTTGCTAATAACCTTAATTTTAAAAATGGAAACTGAATGAGTGTTTCTGAAATAGATGGGTATTAAAATGGAAAAATAATACAAACAAGCAGGAAATTAAGTACCTCATTTGTGTTCATGTTGGACTGAGTGCCGGAGCCAGTTTGCCAAATGACAAGTGGGAAGTGTTGTTCGTAAAGTTGTCCACTAATGACCTCATCAGCGGCTTTGCTAATGGCATCAGCAACTTTGGGGTCAAGTCCATACTCCTTGTTGACCAAAGCTGCTGCTTTCTTCAATGTTCCCATACCTTTAACCACAGCCAGCTGTAATGTGACAACAGGTGTAATTCCATGGGTGTAAGTTAGCTCACACTGATAATAAAAAAAAGAGACTAAAATCTTACAGGCATTCTTTCTGAAGGGCCTCCAATGGCAAAGTTCATTGTTGACCTGACAGTTTGAGCGCCGTACAGCTTATCGCTGGGCACCTTCAGCTCTCCAAAGGTGTCAGATTCTATTCTGTAATCCTCCTGAAAAATAAGAAAATAAAGTACGAAATGAGAAAACAAGGCTTAGACCAAAAATAGAAATTAATGGAAAGGAGATAGGAGATAAGAAAGGAGAACCGGGCACAAGTATACCATGGCTGTAGCAAGGTCAAGTAGGAAAGCAACAAGTTTCAAAATAAGTTGAGGCAACACTTGATGAACAATATCTCAGGAACTGTAATTATGTCCTCAAAACAGGATTGTCAGAAAAAATTATTGGGATTTGGCATCTACAATCAGTTGAAGTTTGGGAGCAACAGAGCCAGATGGTGGGTGGGGCCGCTTTCCAATAGACTGGTAGACCCCAAAATTTCACAACAAGCCGGGTCACGTGGTTGATACGGCTCGTGATAAGCGGAAAGGGTAATATTTTGGTGGCTGCGCCAGTAGAAGACACCGGGACCTAACCTACCATTCTGAGGGAACTTGTGTGCAGACGCGCCGAGGTCACCTGCCAACACCTCGAGAATGCCTCCAGTTGCAACGCCAGGCGCTTCCCCTGCCAGGCAAGATGTTTCGTCACTCCTGCCATTGCCATGACCTTCTTAAAGTAGCTGTTTAATACTGGAAGTAGTGGGGTACAGTTCTCCTGCCACTGTCCTCTGCTGGCGGGAGACAGAGAGGGAAGGAGTGAGAGGTCATGTGTTGGCTACGGGAACGATCGTAGGTGGGCCCACACGGCCAGGATAAGGCGGGCCTTTCAAAATGTTCGAGCCCCCCCGGTCTTGAGGAGAAATCCCCTTTGAGATCTTTCAGTGTTTTAGTGTAGCTCCCGAGAGAAAAGCGGGCCTGCCCATGAGAATCAGGCAATATGGTGCTACAATCTTTCGGGAGGAGGGGCACATAGGACAGCATTGTCATCCATTCACTACCTTTTGGTCCTCCCAGCAGGAAGCTTATCATAAGCTCCATTGGTACTGTGCAGAGGCAATTATCTGCCAAGGTACTTCTTAAGCTAGTAGTGTGAAGTATGACCGCACTAACACAAGGATTATTGACAAAAAGCCGTTTTCATTAATTTTTTATTTTAAAAGTGCTCTAGTTTCCAGGGCACAATAGTTACACAAAAAAAAAAAGGAAATCTTATGACAAAACTTAATGAATAACACTGCAAAATTCAAAATTGCTGCAGACACGACACTCAAGATAATACACAATTCAGAATCTTAAAAAGACAGTCCTTTAGTGCCTAAAGAAATAAAAAAACTTCACTGACAGCATATTAGGCTGCACCACATCCTATCTTCACAAATAAACTCAGTTCTCTCTAGTACCAAGGCAGCTCAGGTACTAACACAAACAGAGAGGAATGTGACAACATTTTGTACAATTTCAATAACATTTATTTCAAGTGCAGTGATAAAGGAAGTGAAGCGTTGCACATTCTTTACAATATCAGATTATCAGATAATGATTTGGTTGATGTATTCTTAGCAAATCAATGTTAAAGCTTGCCTCCAGTTTGTTCTTGGTACACTTCAATTACATCATCGTTCTCCATTTCCAGCTGTAAAAAGAAACCCACAACAAAGCATGTTACTCACTAGGCATTAACAGTCAACTCATTGTCACCCACTTAGGCACCAGAGATTTGTTAGAGATCTATACTACCATGCAGCATGGTCTTAGAACTGCTGGCCCTGAGATCTCAATTTGTTGTAGCATAGTGACTGTACCAGAACAATGTTAAAATGTCTGGTTTGAATTTATCATCAAAAAGATGACAAGCATAATACATACTATGCAAACCAATCAAGTACATAAATAGAACATACCTGCTTGGGAGTTTCATCATCGTTTATTCGCCTTCCATCAAAAAGGAATCTTAGGGATGTGACAGGAACTCCCTGTAAACCAAAGATGATAAATATGATGAGCATGACACCGACACATAAAGAGACAACACAGAAGGACAGAAATACTAACCACTCGCTCACTGTAGGATTTCTTCAGTTTTCCCATCTGTGTGGTCATCTTGACTCTGAAGTGAATCTCGTTTGAGTCCTGGAAAAGAGGTAAGACAAAAATAAAATACCAATTCAACTCCAAAATAATTACTCGTTTTCCTGAAGTTCAACTTCGAGAATTTAAGGTGCTGCAGGTTATTTAAAAATCTGAGTGTAACATCATTGGACACAAAAATGTGGGCAACTTTTCGGCAACATCATGGGGTTAGGTAAACAAGACAACCAGCCTCTTGTCTCGTAACTTTTAGCAGTGTACTATGGTCACTTTAACAAATAAACAGCTTTAAGCTAATATCTTTACACATGTTTGCCATAGCAAGCACGCAAATTGATAGGAGAAAGTTCTAGTGCTGGGAACGGCCGACAAGTCCTGACCGGTCACGCTGAAGCGTTGAAAGCTCAGTGCCCAAGTGCAAGCCCAGCGGAGGTCGACATAACCCTTCGGCGTTAGCAGATAACAAATTTAAAACAAAAACAAAAAAATTTCCAGGGCAGCGTTTGTTACGGCTTAAACTGAGTAGTAAACGGGCTTCACAAGAAAGGCATAGACTAGATCCAGAGGGAGCTGCACTTTCGGCATAACTTAAGTTCGGCATTAGGCAAACCTAGCCGAACGCGCAGCCAGGCACAAGCCCCAAGCACACGTGCGAGAACACTCCAAATCCAAATCCCACGCGTGAGGGGCTGCGCGGACGGGAAATGGGCATGTTTACTAAAAAATCGGAATAATTGCTTTTTACTTACATTGCCTACAACTTTCAACTTGATGTAATCGGAACTGGAGTCTCCAGGACCGGCGTCGGGTTTCTGTTCCTAGGAAGCAGAGAGCGTTAAGAACGTAGAAAAGACATTTCCAGTCGTTTTGAGACTTCTGGAACACTTTGAGAACCAAATTACCAATGCCCCAACAAATAGTAGAAAACTGACCTGATTATCTGCCATTTTAGAGCGTGAAAATGTGGGCTGACCCGTACGAAAACTACCTTATAAGTGAAAGAGGAGATGCAGTAAGCAACCAAAATGGCGCCAAGCTTGTCACCTCAACCTCAACAGCCTTCGAAAACAAAACCGTCGCGTCCCTAGGGTGGTTTAAGATGCGAGACCTGCCAGTGGCACCGCCCTCTAAACGAAACAGCTCTCGCCGTTTCTAGTACACTTTCTAGAATACTAAGATATTCACGATTCCATCCGCACCGAAAGATTTTCTTGATACAGCACAGGTTTTTGGCTTGTGGTTGAGATAGCAAACCATCTAGTTTGGGGCGGAATCAACTGGAATCGTTTGATGACCCGGTCACATTTGGTCATTTTCGGCCTTAGGCGGCGGCCATTGCGGCTATTAGCGACGGTGGCGCCGCGCTGCGCTGTTGATGTCTGGTAATGACCGCAAACCTCTCATCCCAAACCTCAAACTATCTGCAGAGACGTGTAATCAGGGTTAACGTGTTGTTGTTCGATGAAAGTTTAGGTTCGCCATTGACTCATGACGCTGTTTATTTATTGAGTGGCGCTCCGAAGTTTCTGTACAATGCGCATCGAGCGTCTTCTGATTCTGGTGAAATACTCTCTAGTGTCGTTGGAGTGAAAAGAACCGGAGGTCAAGTGAACACTGTTCGGTAACATACTATGGCCTGGGAAGGCCTACATCAGCACATTTAGCACTTATCACGTCTGCAATTAGACGCAAATGTTGATGACAGAGTCTGGTGCAAGGCAGGAGAAAGTGGTTCACAATGAACTCGATTCCATCTCCTCAGGCTCAGGCCATAATGAAGAAGGGGAAGCGGTCCGCTGCGGAGTATGTGCACAAAGATTGCTGTAGCAATCATCCCCAACGTCTAAACGAGATTTTGGACTATCTCCTCAATCCGAACAACAGCATAGGTGACTGGGAGACGGTTGACTGGTGCCGTTGGCTGGTTGCGAGTGGTCATACGCCCGACGAATTCACCGACATAGGTACGGTATCAGTTGTGTCATGTCTACTTTTTGGAGGTTATGGTCATGGAAGGTCGAGCATACATCAGCACAGCTGAGGCCTAGCTTCGATTCTGTGTCAGCAAACTCTGCCCGTGTGAATGGCGTGACGTGAGAATGATGAGCATTGACTGGAGTCGGTCATCGAGGATGAATTGTCACTTCCCTGAGTGCTGTCCTCCTTGAAAATTACACTCTTTTGTATGGCACTTTTTCAGCAATCCACTTAAACTATTTGCCATATGAACGATAGCATATACTCTCCATTCAACAGAGTTGTTTAAAACCTAAATTACATATGTTGCAATCCATCTTAAAATTACTATAATGGTATAATGTCTGGTGGCAGAATACGTCCACAGTCTTGGCCATTCATTACACTTATCTGACAATAATCTAAGTAATTTCCTTAAAATTTAAGTCTTACCCATATGTTTCACAATCAAAATCAAGCCACTCAATTCTGCATTGAATGGTCTGTGGCATTGGAGGACATGTCTAATGAAATCCTTTCATTGATTCATTCATTGGTTCATTCATTCTGCTATAGGGTTCTTGGGAATATTAAAACTCATTTGTTTTCATTAGTTCAGCCTTTTTCTTACTCCACTGAGTTGCTTATTTTGCAAGAGCTGTGCATCTTAGTTCAGTCAAATATATTGCTTGTGTTGACTGAGCTTAGGTCACAGCCTTGGCATGGGTACAATTGACTTCACCTTGGCAGTGGCTAGTGATCTATCTTAAGAATCACATTCCTGCCTCTTATGTGGGGATGCACTGTTTTGCATTCATTTTATGGTGCTGCTTTTATTCTCTCATCAACCTTTTTATAAAAAAACTATTGCATCACGTTTTTCATTATTATGTAATATTTACCTACTATTATTTCTCTTTGTAGATTATTTCAATTAAAGAGCTGACCCATTTAATTTTCTTTTCAGTTCGTCAATATGATAATGCATCATTGTGTGGCTTGGTATGGACAGCAAACTTTGTTGCATACCGGTGTCGGACATGCAGCATATCTCCATGCATGTCTCTCTGCCTGGAGTGCTTTCAAAAAGGAAATCACATAAACCATGACTTCAATATGTTTCGGAGCCAGGCTGGGGGAGCCTGTGACTGTGGAGACACTAATGTTATGAAAGAGAAGGGGTAGGTCAATTTAGCTTGACAATCACTTCATGATGTCGAAGTTTGCTCTCTTCACATTCTAATTGTCCTTTTTTTCTGTTTATAAACAGTTTCTGTAGTAGACATGGCCCACAAGCTCAGGCTAATAAACCAAATGCTCCAACCGATTTGCTCAATGTTGCTGAGGTTATGATGCCCAGAATCTTTCTTCGTCTCATCCAGTACTTTAGAGACAGCAGGTAAGCATTTGAAATTTTTCTTGGGTTATAATTCGGTTGCCTTGGCGTTTCATTAATGCCCGGTGTCCTTGGCTTGCAGTGTGGCTGAAGTACATTCAACAGCAATTCAGGATGCAGACTTATTTCTTTCAATGCTGCTAGAATTCAGTTCTCTTGGTGCTGCAATGCGCCGAGTAATGGCTAGTTCTCTAACTAATCCCCAGGTAAAAAAAAGATGCTCATCTTTTCTTGTTTATTGAAAGGAAAGATACTGCCATTGAACATAACATATTTTTGACATCATTATTTTTGCTTCATTTATTGTTTATTTTTACAGCTCTATAAGAATATGACAACTCCAAATGGCTTACCTTGTCAAATAGTCTATATGCGTAAAAGTAAGGAGGTTTATGAAACTGCTCTAGATACATTACTCAACCCAGATCCTCCTGAAGAATTTAAAGGTTTGAAGAAATATTATTATTAGACGTAAATTTCCTCTTTTAACAGCAATCAACACGGAGTTTATTGTCACTTTCTTTCATTTGTTTCAGACTGTGTAGCTTTACAGAAACGCTTAGTACATCGCTGTTTCTTAGAAGAATTGATGTTTTGGAATATTAAGTTTGAATTTCCCCAGAAAATGGTGTGTTTGCTGCTCAACTTATTGCCAGAGCCAGATTATAAGGTATGTTAGCTGCTTTGGAAGTCTCCGAAGGAAATGAGAATTGTCTGAAACTAACCCCTGTGTCCTACCTTGATTGCAGGAGGCACTCACCCAAGCCTTGGTGCTGCACTACAGCCGCATTTCTCACATGCTAGAACGTTCTTCAGATCCTGATTCAATGTCCAATCGGGTAGTCCACATGAGTGTTCAATTATTTTCAAATCAGCAGTTGGCAATGAGCATGACAGAAAATTTAGATCTTCTACATGTAATGACAATCACATTGAAGTATATGATGAGTCAGCTTCTTATTCCAAACACATTGCATGGTGAGTTATGGGTTGAATGATTACATTCTTTTTCCACTTGCTGTCTCGTTTTTTTCCACGACAGAGGAAATGTTATTAACTTGTTCCATTTATTTTATTTTAGAGCCAGACAAAAATTTACATTTAGTGGTTGATTGTGGTCTTGCTGTGATGAAGGAACATTGCTATTGGCCTTTAGTGTCTGATCTAAACAATGTCCTTTCTCATCGCTCTGTGGCTTTGAAATTTATGGGCGATGACAGTCTTCTGGAAATATGGTTTGATTTTCTTACAATGTTTCAAGGTGAGTTTAGGTGTCAAGCCTTCCATCTTCCTCTGCTATTTCTCCTATTTAAAGTTGCTCATATTATAGTACATGACATTATTGTTTTTGATTATTTTTTGAAGGAATGAATGTGAATCAAAGGGAAATGACTCAGCATATTGAGTTTGAGCCCAATACTTACTATGCTGCATTTTCTGCTGAGCTGGAGGCCTGTGCTTATCCCATGTGGGCTCTTCTTGCTCACTTGGATGAGTCTACTCTTCAGTACTCAAAGAGAGTGATTGCAAGCTGCCTAACAGCACTGCAGGATTGGCTTGATGAAATCAGCTTTACCCATCCTATTGAGGTGATTGACACTTGGCAGCTCAAGTTTGTTTTATTTCAACAGCAAAGTTCTGTATGCTTATTCGTTCCTTTTCCTTTTGATGTGCAGAAAGACAAATATCAGGTTTCCTTCCATCTTTCCCTGCACCGCTACCTAGCTGTGTTCATGAGCAACGCTATTAGACGTCAAGGATTGGCTCTCCGTGATGTTCTTCCCCCATCTGATGTTGTACAGCTCATCATGTTTCATCCGCTTCGTGTACAGGTAAGAAAACTCAGATATATCTATCACCAGAATTCATAGGAGGAATTCTTGTGTAATTTTCTATCCTGTAGCAATATAGAGCTATTTTACTGGCTGGACCCACTGAGTTCTAGGATTGATTATGGGGAATGAGAGTTTCTGAGGCTGGTTTGACCACAAGGGCCAAGGTTTAATGCGTATCTGCTATTGAAGGGATTCTGATAATGGCATTTGGTGTTACTTTAGAAAAAAACTTACAAAAATGAGACATCAATAACTTGTTTTTATTTACCCTTTTTATTTTGTATACAAACTCATTGTCGTAAGTGATATATTGTAAAATATTCCATTATACTGGTGTCTAAACTAAGTTGGCTGAGATTGCATTACAGATCTTGATCATTACTATTTATTGATTTTATCTGAGATCTTCTGTTGTGAGATGCTTTGTGATATCATAGTTTGACACCTTGAGTGCCACAAACCCTGCAGATCCTTCTGTTCCCTTGTGGTACAGTCCTACGCCACCCAGCAAGGTTGGGGGGTCAAGCACCACAGGTTGAATGTCTAGGAATGGCACTGTTGTTTGTGCAGCATCTGTCACGATGTCTGAGTGGGTGAACTGCACAAATGTGTCATGGCGTGAATCTGGCTTACAAGGCCCATTCGATCTCTGAGGAACAATAGTTGAAATGGGCAGTTCAGTCCTGTATAACAGTTATAATTAAAGATTAGTTTTGTTAGTAATTGAGACAAAATTTGCCAGTAGTATGATGCACAAAATGCCTTGAGTTTACCTTGGATTCTCTAGAGCACTGTCCGTGTTTGCATTGCCAACCCAGTAGCTTAACTCTGTTGGTCTCTTTAAAACGCCTTTATGATAAATGATAGGCGACACCTGCATTTCCATGTTCAGATGTGTGCCAACCTCTTGAAACCGTATGCCTGTGCAAAGAACGAGAATTGATTTTATTCAATGACTCAGGTGTAAAATCAAATGCATATGATCAATCAAAATACCTGTTACTACATATCCCTCAGGAGCTTCTAGATCGTCAAGGTCAATGCTCCTTTTCTCCCATGACATTTTGTAGTCAGGTTGGCTTGTATCCACAGGCTTCCATCGTAGACTGGAGGCATTTATTACCCCATGTGGTAGGAGTGAGCCCTCCTGTATCTGAATGTGTACCACTCTGTTTTTCTTCACAAAGCGAAGCCCAGTAATGACTCTGTAGAAATTTTAAAAAATTCCAAATTAGAGACTTGATAAAAGTGTTACAGGAATGTAGAGCTGTTCATGATGACTTTACTTGTTATTGGTGACATCTGCCACCTCAGGGCTGAGACTGAAAAATCGGTCAGATAGGGGACCAGGCTCATCACACACACAGAAGCAGTAGGAGCAGTGGGCTGGCAGAAAGAATCTCCACCAACTGTTGACTGTAACTAAAGTACAATTGGCTTCAGTTACCTGACCAATGCGGTCAGTCCCCAGAAGAGCATTCTTCTTGTATTCGATATACTCGTATCTCCTCCTCTCTCCAGGATTCTGAAATTGAAAAGAAACTTCAGACTAAGTCTTCTTTACGCCTTCTCAATAACACATTCCCACCTGTCCCACCCCGACTTACCGATTGACACACTTTCATGTCAGATTCAATGAATTGACAGTCAATTATGCGTCCTTCACATTTAGGTTGTTGGCTACAAAATTTTTCTTGGTAACATCCATGGCTCTCAGTCAGCTCATAATTTTTACAGCTTCCCCTGCAGGATTGGGACGGATTCATATCTACTTCATTCTCAATGTAACCCTGCAATACAATAGTCACAACCCAATTAGGCCTCAGAGGTTGAAATTGTTATTTTTTTTTCTGCCATGAATTTTCTTACTTGAAGGAGACGTGTAAGTTGCTCATAGGTAGCATGTTCCTGATAGTTCCTAGGATCGCAGCGCCACATCGTTCTGCTAGCAGTTTTCATTGCATTCAATGCAGCATTTCCTTGTTGTTTGTTCTTCTGAACAAATTTTTCTGTCATCTGCTTTGCTTTTATCTCCTGGTCACCTGAAGGATCATACATCAATTACTACCTTCAACATTCATTTCTCATTCATTGCGTTAATTAACTCTGATTTCACTGACCTTTTTCAAAAATCTGCAATAGTGCATATGCACTCTGAGCCATTATGTAGGATTTTAGCTGTGTTAGTTGCAAATCAGCAAATATGTTGTACAGCATGAGCTGAGGTGACTGCTTGTTGTCACAGACATTATTTTGATGTTCCTGTCATAAACCATAAAATTAAAGAAATAGAAATCAGTCAAAATTAAAAAAAAAAAAATACTTGAAAAGAACTTTGCTTGTGCACACATACATTGAGGGCGGCCTCAAAAATTGTGTTATTTTTCTCCTTTTTGTCTGATGCAGCAAGGGTCAACTTATGAATATTTTCGGATTTTGGTAAATACTCCAGTATGGTTTCTGCTATATCCAACCAAGCCCGTGTTGATGCAACTTTCTGGGTTGTCTTCTGTTTGTCCATAAACTGCATAAATGTTGTATAGAGAGAATGCACTCCTTGAGAATGCGCTTGTATCAGCTCCCATCTATAGATGAAATGCAGTTTATCTTCGACTATAGGTGCGTCCACATCTTTGACGGCAGCCGAAAGGGATTCCAAAGCGCCGATCAGTTGACTAGCAGATTCGTAAGACTCCTGCTTCACCATGGTTGTGAAGTGGGGGTTGGACACATTCTTCCACAAGTGCTCCACCAGATAGATAGTCTTCATGCGCGCCACATCCACTGCACTTGGCTCACTGACAGCATTTTTTGCCGCCCTGAGGGATGCGACTAGCATCAGCACCAACAGCACCTGTGTCACCCCCATTCTTGAGCTCAGCGTCTTGTCGGAGGTAGGGAATGCAGGGAGATTCACACCATGGACGTTGTTTGGCTCGGTCCGGCTCCTCTGGCGGCGGCACTGCTGGCTTTGCGCTGGACAAGCGAGACGAGACGCGACTCGCGGAGCCTTGGACGCGGTGCCGCGGAGTCTCAGGGTTGCGCCAACCGAGAAAGGGGGCAGGCCGGGCAGGGCAGGAACGGCGGGCGGGCTCGTATTCCTCTCTTCCTGTGGCGGGGCTGGCTGGCTGGCTGGCTAGCGCGCTCGGCTCTGCTTCGCGGTGCTTCGCGGTCGCAGCTCGCGTCTCGCGGCTGGCTGCGGGCTGTGCGGCGCGGCAAGCGCGGCGCTGGGCTGGGGCGTTGTGGCCGGGAGACCGGCGGGGCACACACTGACTGAAGGCAAGGCGAAGCGAAGGCACTGGTGTGGAGTGCCTGCTGTACCTGCTTGTGCGGCGCGTGGCGTGCGCGTGCCCTGCCCTGCCGCCGGGCTCGGCTCGGCTCGGTTCGGCCCCCGGAGCTGTTTACATGCCTCGCCTTCCCTCTCCGCGCTCTCCGCGCCCCACCCGGTCACTCCGCCGTGCGTGTGTGCGTTCTCTTATCCGTTGTTTCGTTGGTGGGTTTCACTTACGCCCCAGCAGCCATGCTACTACTTCGCGGGGCGGGGAGCGGCGGGGGCGACCGGCTGAGACGTATTTGTATTACGGTCACTCGCACCGGACCCGCCGCCAGCTGTCTGATTCCGAGCCACGCTTTCTTCGCTCTCTTTCTCGCACCCATGCGGGCCTCGCCGCGAGTGCGACAGAGAGCGACGAGAGCAGAGCTCGGGGGCACGCGGGGGCAGAGGGCGAGAAAGTCGCGGGGCCGCGTGGACGTTTGGCGCGTCCACGCGGTGATAACGCCGTGGTGGCGGCGTCCGTTGCCTCTGCCTCCTCATTCCGATCGTGCCGTCGCGTCGCCCACTGCGGGGCACGGCGGGGCACGGCGGGGCGCATGAGTGCGAGAGAGAGAGAGTCGCTGGAGGGAAGTCCGGAGGCAAGTCGGGCTGCAAGGGTGGCGCGGGGCGGCGCGCAGACAGGCGGTCTCGTCTCCGTCAAGCTCGTCCCCGAGGTGCCCGAGTCCCCGCTCGGCTATTGGAGACATCCTGCTCAATGGGTCTGAGTCAGGGCGGGACAGGGACTCTGTTGTGATTGCTCTGCGCCGCGGCGGGCTGGGCTCGGCGCGGCGTGGCGGCGCGTCGTCGCGATTGCTGACTCAGCCGCGGTGGCAACCAGCGGCAAGGCGAGTCGCCTGCACTGTGTGGCCGTTCTGGGAAGTGGAGTGGAGTGGGAAGGAACGAGCTCTAGACTGATTCCGAGAGTCGTTTTCGTCGCTCTGTCTCTGTCGCACCTTCACGCGACGCTCCATGCGTGCGAGGGAGACGGAGGCGACGAAAACGCCTCTCGGAATCAGTCGACTGCTAACAACAACGCGAACGGGGAAGTCGCGAGCGGTCCGCGAAAAGTGCCGACTTGTGAAACACGGCGGCGTCTGCGCCATTGGCAGTGGCGTAGCAGTGGGTGTGCCGGCTTTGTTCCGACTCGTCGAAATCCGTGGTGTCGTGCAGCCGAAGGTCGCAGGGTCGGCCGCAGAGTCGCTGTGTCTCAGGACCCTTTTTGCGCCACTGCTCGGCTAGCCTGTCCCAGTCCCAGAAAGACTGCCAGGGAAGTCCCTCAGAGAACGCTTTGTTGAGCAAGGCGCGCAGTTCTGCAACGCGTTGCACACGGCCGGGTGATCTCCCCCGAGAGGACCCTCGTCCGATCGTCTTCCGAGTGGAAATGGAGCTAGCTCTTTTGTGTGGCCGTCGCCCTGTCTAATGCGGACTCGGGCCGCGTCCTTTCACTCTCCTCCTGGAGCCCCCGTCCTCCCCCTTCCACTCACGCACACATGTGCACGCGGACCACGCGGACCCCCCGCCACTGGAATGCTCCGGACGGGACAGGTGGAGCGGCGACGCGGCGATATGTCCTTGGTGGCGGAAGAGATTACAACACGGCCGCTCGGGTCGCGAATGACAGAAAAGCGTTCGCCAGCTGTAAACCCTCCTGCTGCCGTTGTCTGATTCCGATTCCGCCGACGCGTCCAAGTTTGTTCCACGTTGTTCCCGTTAGTCCTGGCGTGCCTGGCCTCTGGCCTGGCGTCGTCGCCCCCGGCGAGTGGCGAGGCGTCGTGGCGTCATCGGGACAAAGACGAGGAGAACGAGGAGGAGGGAGGGCGTCAGCGCCTCTGGCTGCCTGGTGCCTGGTGGTGCCTGGTACCTGGACACACGACGGCTGTGGGCGCGGCATCGTGGCATTCGGGATACTTATCAATCACGTCGCTTGGAGCGGGCCGGGTTACCTTAGAAAAACTCTTGACAACGCTCACACAAACTAAACATTAAAAGAATCTAAAAAAAAACATTTTTAAAAACTAAAAAAAAAATCAAAAAAAAAATCAGACAGATAAGAATGGGCTGCTCCTCAGATGTGGTGCTGCTAGAATTTCCCTTATCACACGTGGGTGTATCCGGCCTCTTGACTCGAGCCGCTCGCAGATCTTCGAATCCTGGCGGCGTGTACACTCGAGCCGCGGGAAACGGAAGGAGATGCCGACGATGTTTGAACCGCCGTGTCCGGCCGTCCGGCCCCTGCTCGTATTCGCCACGCCACAGTGCATTCATGCTGGTGCCCAGGCAGACTGATTCCGAGAGTCGGTTTGGTCGCCCTGTCTTTCTCTCACTCCTGGACCGTCCCGTGTAGGCGCAAGAGAGGCAGAGCGACCAACTGGACTCTCGGAATGGGTCTGCAGCGCACTCAGCGCGGGCTCCATGCGGGTATCGGGTGTGGGCGGCCCGACTAGCTGGGCAAACAACGTGTTCTGCATGCCTAATCACACTTGTAGCGAATTATGACTCGTATCACCTGTATTGGAATGCGTTTCTCGGAAACGGGCCTCTGCCCTGTCGTACATGGTGTACCGTGTGCTGTTGGATTTTTGTTTTACCAAGCTTTTGCAGGCTGTTTGTTTTCTAAATGTCAAATTCTGATTGTCTTCATAAATTTTTAATGCGATGCTGCAGTTGCAAAATAAGCACAGGGACTATGTAGTGCTCCGTGTTAACTGATTTTTTCTCACCTTGTTACAGGCGGCTTTCTATGAAATTGTCAGTGGATTGTGGGTTCGAAATGGCCTGCAAATTAAAGGACAAGCTATGACCTATATTCAGTGCAATTTCTGCAACTCGATGGTTGATGCTGACTTGTACCTCCTTCAAGTTTGTGCCACACAACTGCAGCCAGAGAAGTTTCTCACAACTGTTTTGGATCAATTTCATATGAAAGACTGGTTGAGTTTGGCAGCATTCACAAATCCCCAACATCTATTGGATAGTGAGCTTGAAACACCAATGCTTGAGAGCTGTCTGCTTTTCCTTGCCACCCTTGTCAGCATACGCAATTATTTAGGTGAGTATTGTTGCATTTTTCAAAAATAATCTTTTTTCTGCTATTTTTATATTTTATTTTTTATCCTTTTCCTCTTACCAACAGGTGTCAGTGAAGCAACTATATCAGAATTGGAAATGGGAACACTACTTTGCATGGGCGACAAGACTCACAGCCAGTTGATTGACCTCATGCCGGAGAAGAGTTACCCTCTCCCTCAAAGTAGGGACTTTGAGACCGTCCTTACAGAAGTTGCTGATTACCGGGCGCCAAACTTTGAATCTAGTGGAAATATGCAACAGGGCATGTACCGTCCAAAGGCATGGATTTGGGATCAGCAATACAACCCAATTCATGTTCTTCTGAGAGCAGTGCACCGAAGAGATTTCCAAAATTCAATGGATCGCTTCACTGAATAGTAAAAATTTGTTTCATTTTTTAATTTTTAAATTTGTTAATGGTTTAAATGCATTTTATAGAGATACCTCTCTTTTTTAAATTTTCTTCCAGTGTTCAACAAACAGGAAAGTTCAAGGGTTCAGGTTCACCATGGCCGCCTTTCCGAATGCCGAAAGACGTCCATCCAGCCTATGATGATCCTCGCAAGGTCTTGCAGTCTCGTGTGTTCCACTCGTTTGCATTTATTGTCTTGCACAAAGCAGTTCATGGCCATGATGTGTCTGACCATGTTATTGCTCTGACCCTATATTTACTTGAGTTGGCCCTTTCAATTGAATCTCCATTGGAGGAACCTAGTCAGGTATAGTCTGAGATACCTTTAGACATAGAGTATATGCTGTCTTCTTGCCCCTTTTTCCCATGACTAAGCCTTTTTGTTTCCAGATCTGCCCAGCCTCTCGCCGTCAAGAGCCTCATATTGTAAAAGACGGAGATTTAATGAGCTGGTATGACACTGACTGGCTGTCAAATAATTTAAGAACAGTAGTGAATTCTGTCATTCTCAACATGGAGCATTCAGCTTATGACAGCTCTGAAAGTAAGTCCCATGCCTTTTGTTAAAATGATTGTGACACATCTGTTCTTTGGGTCATCTTCTTTTGCTTCTGTTGCTTTTGGTGTATTATTTTTAAGACTGTGCCAATGCTAATCTTGGTGTATTTAATGAATGAGCTTATCCTGGCTTTACTCCTACAAGATTTGCTCGACTCCCTCTCAGCTGCCAGTGCCTACCCATCCTATTGGACTTGCTCCCAGCATGTCCAATTTCAGCTCTCCTCACACTTCATTACATTTATCCATGCTAATTGTGGAAGCTGCTATGGTCTGCTTGCTTGAATAATCCTGTTATTTGGGCTGCATGTGTTATGTGTGCAACCCTTCCCCCTTCCCTTCAGTGGTTTGGTGACTTTTACTTGCTCTCAACCTATAAAATACAAGTCTTTGTGTGAAGTTAGTTGGTATTACAGTTTGTAATTTGCCTGTGCCTGTAGGTGAGGGGGAGTCGTTTTCGTTGGATTGTCGCCCCGGTCCCGGTCCGCTGGCTCTGGAGCCATCACAGTCACAAGCACGGGCAATGGGGCCGAAGCGGTACCGCTCCGCCCCACTCTTTCTGACACATCCCCCTGCTCTGAATATGATCGCAGGCAGCTCTTCGAGTCAAGCAGGCGCCTTTTCCCTCCCTGCTTTACCTCAACCAGGTGTGGGTGATGGCACAATGGAGGTCGAGTCCCCCGCTTCCCCTGATGAAGTCGCAGAGCTGGTGTTTTCTGGTGAATCAGAAGCCTCTGCTAGTGAAGGTGGCTGTTTGGCTCTTGTGTCGGGTGGACGTAGCACCGAAGATGATGATAGTTCTGGTGAAATGGAAATAACTCATTCAATGTCTCTTGCTGTAGTTGGCGAACTGGCTGTGATCTCTGCAGATGGTGGTAATGATCTTTCCTTTACGTCATTCAATCTGGTTGCATCAAAAGCATCAATTGATTTGTATTTGTTTCTAGCTACTTCAGATTCAGAGGTTGCTTCAGGCATGCATGGCATGGAACCAGTTCCTTCCTCTTCAAGTCGCAACATTGTTCCTGTTGGCTCTCAAGCAATCCAACCTGCTGCCTCGTCATCTGGAAGTAATATTGTTGCTGTGGGTGTCCAAGCAGTTGAGCCGTCTTCCTCATCCTCTGGTCGTAGTAAATTTTTCAAGAAAAAGCACAAAAAACAGGTAATGATTTAAACTTGCATGTGGTAGAATAGCAAAGCCTCCTGCGTTACAAGGACTTAATTGTGTTTCTTATTCAGAACGAACTAAAGAGTGAGCATGTTTTCTTGCAGGGATCTGAAAATTTACACGTTCCTATGAGCGTGAATGAGAGCATAATCTCACTTCTTCTGAAGCTGCACTCCAATTTAACAGAAACACCAGACAGTTTCAATCCTTATGATGTTGAGAGGCAAGCTGCCCAAGCCTCAGGGTCAAGTGAAGATCAATCTAATGATTATGTTGGAGATGGCCCCTTCTTTGTTGGCAAACTCCTGAAGCACATCATGGCATTGGATCCTATGTGCCGGTGAGTTTATATGCCGAATATTTGACTTGTAGACCACTCGACTAGTTCTCACTGTGAATTCATTCACCATGGATTTCCTTCAATTTTAGGGATGCTGTTTTTGAAGTAAGAGAAAAGTTGTGGGGAAAGAAGCCTGAAGAAAATAAAGATGAGCAAAAAATGCGTGAGGATGAAGAACGAGAAGAAAGAAGAAGACGTGCCAAAGAGAGGCAAAAGAAATTAATGGAAGAGTTTGCTTCTCAGCAAAAGCAGTTCATGGAGATGGCTATGGAAACAGGTTTGATTTAATTTGTGTTATGGCTTGTGTCTGTCACAGTCATCTATAGTATGTTTTTATATACTTCTGTTTTGGTATTGCAGATGAGAATGGAATGGACTGGGAAGAAGATGAAAATGCTTCCATGGTCAGTAAAAAGGAATATGACTGTGCTATTTGCAATCAAACTACATTGAGTACTGCAGAAAATCCCATGGGATTGGTTGTTCTACTACAGGTGAGTCTCAAGAGGTCCTCAGTTTTCTTTGCCCTATAATTAATGAGAACAACTTTTGATAATGTTTTGATTTTCAGCCAACTAGTGTTCTTGGACACAAACGCAGCAGAAAAGAATTCAAACTGCCTACTACAGATGAAGAACAATCTGTTCTGAAGATTAGAGATAAACTATCAGACAATTTTGACAGAAGAGTGCAGTTGTTGTCTCAACAGTTTGATGATGTATATTTTGCCTCTATAATGGAATATGTTTGATTCACTTAACGTGACCTTATAAATCTAATCATTGAATTTTTTTTACAGCTGTCATGGCAGTTGTCTCTCAACTTAGGCTGGGAAGGTGGTGTTCACTTACAAACATGTGGCCATCATTTGCATTTGGAGTGCCACAAATCTTACCTCCAGTCCCTCAAGAACCAACAGAGACAGCAGCAATCGCTTGATGTTGATCGTGGTGAATACTCCTGCCCTATTTGCCGGCAGTTAGCAAATTCTGTCTTGCCACTGACTCCAGAGCTTGGTGAATGTGCTGCCATGGTGCGATCACGGCCAACCAACTCCCTGTCTATTGTGTCAGAAATCAGTCACTTGCTGCAAGAAAATCCAGTTCCTATAAAGGCCTCCACTTTACCTGATGCCATGAGCAAATTAATGGAAGACATGACAAACTGTACTCACCGCAAATATAAGCAAAAGAGTGCTACCACATCTCACCAAAGCCTATTTTTGTTTGTGGCCTCAATTGCACGCACGAACTTGGAACTGGAATTAGTCCAAAGGGGAGGCAACTTGTGTACTGATTTAGAAAGCATCAATTCTCCTCTAATTCCTAAGCGATCATGCATTGTACCGCTTCTTCATGTTTTGGCTATGCATGCCCGTTGTCTTGCTGTGTGGCCTGTTGGTAGAATGTGGCAACAGCTGGCTGGAGTTGAGGCTGAGACAGAGACTACGGCCATTGCTCCCATAGAAAAGGAAGTTCCATTGTTACTACGAGATCCAACTGCTATTCTATTGCAATTAGTTCTTCTCTTACCACTGCATATTGATGAGAGTAAGTGTAATCTGTGAAATAAACGTAATTTGCTAACTTGTCCAACACATCTCATTTTTCTAATAACAAATTTCATGTTTCAGCATTCTTCCTTTGTGTTGTAAAAGTTCTTTACAACTTGCTGTACTTCCAAGTGCTGGCTCAGTTATCCTGTCGTTTGTCAGATAGAGAGCGTCGAGTATGGCGCGCTGCATTTGAAAACAGGCAGCCTTCTCTCCATGAAGTGACAACGTTAGAAGCCGCCATGGCACTAACTATTCGTTTGTTGGAGCCTAGTCAAATATATTTGGACACATCTGACATGGAAACTGGAAGTTCCCAATCCCAGGCCAGCAATGCACCAAGCCAACCAGCTGAGTCCCAGAAAAGTGCCTCCTCTAGCTTGGGAGTGAATGCCTCTAATGTATCTTCTGCACCTAGCACAAGCAGCTTAGACTCACCAGATATTCCTCCTATGATCTTTTTGCATCGTCGAAGTGTTGTCAGAGTTGATGATCCTGATTCTCCCCTTGAACCCCTGTCAGAACAGGAGCAAAATATTTTGCTAAACAAGAAAGCCTTAGAAAATGAAGTAAGTGTTGGTGTTTATTCTCAAACACCCTAGTAACTACACTTGATTGCCAATATTAATTGTGGTTTTGAATTTTCAGGTACAGCAACTATGTCTTTCTTTCTTACGAATAGCTGCATTGCTAAGGCACCATTTATATGAACAGCCTCTTCCAGAGATACAAGATGAAAATTCTGAATTTGTGCGACTTGTTTATTATTTAGATCTGGTTTCTGAAGGAATGAATTTGGCCAAGTAATTTCTTCACAATTAATTTTTTCCCACCTTGTGTCTTGAAATAATTTGACCTGTTTGATACTAAAAAAAAAATTCTGCCATTTAGGTTTAATTCTGCTGTGGTTTTAAGTTGGCCTGCTGCTGACCCTAGCAACCATGGATACTTGCCTCCCAAGGATTGGGCAGAAGAACTTAATGCTTTTGCTCAGAATGCCCAAATGACTGCCCGTGCTTTTCTTTTAGATCATCATAAATTGTGGAGCCAACCCAAATTGCTTAGTTTACCACAACTTTATGATGGGATTTTTCAGGTATGACAAAAACACATAGATTCACTTGTTTTTTTTTTTTTTTTTTTTTGACATTGTTTTAAATGTATGGTTTCATGTATGGATTTGTTTTCAGTATTATCTCCGTCGCCATTGTGCTCAGTGCGACTCGGTGCCTCGAGAAACAACACTCTGTCTTTTGTGTGGCACTTTAGTATGTTTTAAAGAGAATTGTTGTCAACAATCTGATGTTTGTGAGGCAGTGCAGGCAAGTAGTCTTAAAAATCTACAGTATCAATAAGTAGATTTTTGTCTCTATGGACATAATTTTAATTAATGTGTCTTGTTTGCAGCATGCCGAAATATGTGGTGCTGGAACAGCAGTGTTCTTAGTTGTGACCTCATCATGCATAATTGTGATTCGTGGAAAACGGGCTTGTCTGTGGGGCTCAGTTTATCTAGATAGCTTTGGAGAAGAAGATAGAGAGCTAAAGTGAGTGGGTGTTGTCTGTATCAATTTATTCTGAACCGAGGCGTCTCTTTCTTACGCATGATTTGTTGTTCTTGACAGGAGAGGGAGACCACTGTTTCTAAGTCCTGAACGTTATCAACTACTTCAACAACAATGGGTTTCTCATCGCTTTGATCACACAAACAAGAAGTGGGTGTGGCACAGAGATTCTCTGTAATTGTAGTGTCATGACCTTTATTCAGCTAGTCAGTCATCACATAACAAACTCTGTTGTTTATTATTTGTGCTTATAAAGAATTATTCAAAATGTGTCTATGGACCATTTTCCTTTGCTGTGTGTTGTATAAATACAAAGTTTTATATGTTATATTTATTAAATGTCTAATATCTAACTTTGTTAGTTTTGTGCTCAATTCTCATTTGAAAGCTGAGGTCAGTTTTCATGTATATATATGTGTGTGTATATTTACAGAGTATTTAATATATACATGTGTATATATACATGTATATGTACACTTATACTTACTTTGTTCCTTACACTATGTAAATAATCAAGTGGAAACTTGCTTACATACAAAATTTGTGAAAACTTGTTGTTTAGCAGAGGCAGCTGTTTTCTTTTAAATACGTTTTTGTTGGGCACTGCAGATGGTCAGGTAGGACAGGTCTATAGTGATTTTGTGTCCCTTTTACTCAAAGCATTGTAGTTGTCTTCTACTTGGCTTGGAAGATTTCTTTCTTCTTTTTTCTTTCATTGTTGAGTGCAATCGACATTGAGTTGGCTGCTGTTGTTTGCAGCCTCTCTGTTTGGAGTTGTTGCTGCTGGGTGTTGTAAATTGTGATCATTTTGAGAATTATTCCCTTTCATTGTTTGATGAAATGAAACACCTTGTTGAATTTTTTGTACTCAAATTGATATTTTCACTTCTCAATGAAGAATTGTTATTCATTCCTCACTGTGATATATGTCCCCATCAATGTAACCATTGCTCTTGACTTAAGGTACGGTTTCAATGTTATAATATTAATATCAACCGGGAATTCAATGAGTACCAGCCAATGAATTGTGATAAATTATGTCAAATAATTGTTAAAACTTTTGGCACTCTTAAATCAGGTTAATTTTTCTTCATTCTATAATATAAGTAGGAGAAAAAAGCATCAATGAATTTTTTAACCTGTAATTGTCTACTTACTAGAGCTGCTTTGCCCAATTTATGAGGCTGAGTCCAGTCATAGAGACAAGTGGGAAAAGTCTCAAATGTTTTTATTTATTTATCTCTGTCCTCATGGTTTTACTTAAATAAAAGTACTAAACTTTAGGCTTTGTCTGTTGCATTTTTGTTTTGTTTTGCTTAGACCAGATCTTACAAATTGATGCTCAGAAAGAAAACAAACTTTGCAGATACACTCTATTTGCCAGTGTCAAAAAGTTTGTTGGTCTCCTGAGGTTTGGGTGAACCTCATTAGAGAAGGCTAGCACATCTGCATGGCTAGAAGTGTGAAGATCAGACTTTTGCTTTCAACCGTTTAGTTTTATATAAATTCACAATAACATACAGGATTTACACATTCTTATTGATCAATTTGGAGGCTTCTGATAATTTTACTGTGTTGTATTAAAGCTTTACATTTATTTTCTAGTGAGGTGTAATGACTGAAGATGATTTTCTCTTTTTAGAGATTCGATAATGTGATTATTGCACTCCTTTTTGTAATAATGTGAAAGTTGTTGTCAATGTTTGTCAGCTTTTTTAAAATGTAGAGTTGCTGCTCTATTAGGCTGGTTGAACTGAAATGATTATTTGTAAGGTGTGAAGTAATTTAATTGCAAGGTAACACTAAACATGTTCAGTCAGCTATTTTTAATAATATTTAGTGGAACAGGATTAAGCAGCTACTTTAAGTTACATTGAATTAACAATTTTTAGGTCGTAGTTCCAAAAGAAACTGCATATCACAATTTGACAAACAAGATCAACAAAATTCAATAGATTGTTGTGAATCCGTCCAATCTAGGTGATTTTCATGCAACCTCGATGGTTGCCTCTAAAATACATTAGCAGAAAGAACCAAAAACCTAAAAATTTGCCTTGAACTTGTGGGGACTTCATCAGAAGACAAGTTTGTTAGTGTGTTCATTGTTTAGCAGATTTGTTATTTGCAAAGTTTTATGAGCTGTGATTGTTTTCAATAATAAACCAATGTAAATCAACCATTGTGAAGTAAGCAATTCATGAAAAATGGAAAATTATAGGTGTTCTTCTTATTAATAAACATTTTAGCTGCATTTACTAGTTATCTTCTACTCCCAATCTTATCGCTAAATTCCACAATTGCTAAGCTTCAAAAAATTACTTCGTATTTCAACATGAAGAAACTGACAGCAAGTTTATTTTGGGCATGCGTCTAACCTTGCAAGACCTTTTTCATAAAGAACTTTTGTAGCATTGAAATTTTGAACTAATTTGCTCACTATTGTACTATCTGAGGTCCTTCTGACTGCATATGCTGCTAACTCTGAAAAGTAAATCCGCCCCATTTGATGACGTTGTTTGATTTTCTTTACAAAAGATGATGAATAAATTTGATCAGGATTTGGAAATCTCAAGTGGGCTTTCAGTTCAGCTGCTGTGAGCAAAATGCAGTTCCACGGTGACCAACTTTGAGTAAAGTCCCAACGCCCCAAGCGAAGCTCCTCTAAATTGCCTGAGCCACCAATTGCTGAGTGGCCAAGCCAGATGTTAATTATAAGATGGTAAAAGTCTTGTTCTTGCATTATGAGAGCAACAGATGTGTAAAAACTTTGTTTCAATTCCTCTCTTCTCACTGCATTTAAAATATGACGAATTGGGTTGATGTCCACTCTGGGTCCACCTATTTCACGAAGCCAACTGCAGTTGTGGCATTTTCTAAATGTGTGGGCCTTACTATGTAATGAAAATTTATAATATGGCAAGACATTTTGACAGGATAAACATTTATATGTTTGAACCTTCTGAAATGAATTCTCTGGCAGATATTTCCTTGCTTCGGGGTTTACAGAAGGATCCTTTATGTATTCCAAGAATAAATAATTAATTCGATCCCTTAAAGTATCAATATTACCATGCTTTATCTCGCGCAGCAGTATATGATGTTCACGGTCTAGTAAAGACACAAGTTCAGGCGCAAGACTATGCTCCTCAACAGAAACTGCTTTTTTGATATCACCAAGAAAGCCGATTCTTTCCTCTACAGTAACATCAACTTTGAGAAGGTTCTGATACAACATCCTAAAACGGCAAGCTTTTTGTGTTCCTAAACTGTCCAAAGAAAGAATTTGACCGTTGTTTCCCCTCCATTTGATTGGAGAAGCTGTTTTTTCCAATAACTTTTCTTGATCTCTTCTCTGGTTCACTGTTTTGAGCTGAAACAAACAAGAAAGTTAATTTGTTCAGGAAGGCCAATGTTTTTATTTTCTTCATATGTTTCTGTATGTTTCATAAAACTTACTTGAATTCGTTGTTTTTCTATTGAGTTGATATATTGTATTTCCATTTCAAGCATTGAGAATGCTTCTGATTTTCGTAGAGCGATGCTACCTAAATTATTTATTCGATCTGTTTCTACTTTGCGCCATTCTTCTAAGTTATGATACAAAAGCTCGAAGTGCCCTCGCGTTTCAGGCTTTGTCTGTGCTTTTTTCTTTTCTATTTTTTGATTTTCTTTTTCTTCCTCAATTTTTAATTGTCGCTGTTTTTCCCACTGAATACATCTCTTATACTCCTCCTTCATTTTCATCATCATCTTACGAACTAACCAGGATCGCAAATTTCTCTGAATTAACAATACTTTGTCTTCAAAAGCCTTATTTTCAAGGTCTATTTTTTTCATACGTCTTTCTGGATCACCAATAATGACAATGCTCTGTTCTAATTCTGTTATTACAAGAGACGTCTGAGTGGATTTAGCTTTGTTAGTTTCAACTACTCTACACATCCCTGGAGTTTGTGTGTTTCGACTAGAAATGTTTTCCTTTGGTTGCCTGGGAGCAGTCTGTGTAAAAGCATGGTGATATTCTAATTTTGTTAATTTGTGACGATATCCACCTAAAAAAGGTTTTGATATAGCGCGGTTTTCTATTTCAACTATAACTTGTTTTACATGCTCTCCTTTACGAATCATAACTGTAAGGACATCATTAGTGGGGATATCAGGGTACACATTGTTTAAAACTAATGGGTATCGATCAGAATCAAGAGAAGAGAGCTGAAAAGTGACAGTTCCATAACGTTCAATTGCTATGTCATTAACGCATAAACAATCTTGCAAACTTTCAGCATTATGAATCAACTGCAAAATATTAGAAGGCACTTTAAACATTTCAGCAACAACTTTCTTCATTTCTGCAATGGTAGAAGTTTTTGAAAAAGATTGGGTAAATACCTCCCCACCAGGAAGGGAGAATTTTACAATGATATCACTATCAATATTTCCTCGCCTGTCACTTCTTTCCCAAAATACAACTACTGGATCTCTGTGGCTTTGAGGGTCTGTTGACTTTCTCCGCTTCAGTTCATTGAAACTAAGTTCACTTTCGGTTTCCAATAAATTCTGTTTAAGAAAAACATCACTGATATTCTTTTGACTCCCTTTCAGTTTTTGAGGGATGAAAACTTTCTGGATAGGTTCACTGTGAACTGAAACACTGTCTTCCCTAATGGAACATTCTAACACTGGCTCACTCTTGCTACGAGATATAGTATCACCACCCAAACTAAAGTATAAATCTTTTGAATATGTTGCTGCATTTGCACACAAGAGCAACTCTTCACTATCAGAAAACTCTGAATTTTCTTTTAATGAGATGGTTGGAGATGAACTTGACATTTTGTTTTGTTTTGAAGTCGTATCCTCTTTAGCACCTCAGATGTGGTTCACACTAAAACTTTTTGAATCGTTATAGGAGGCACCACTAACAAAATAGCATGCAACGGATACAATGCAAACGCTAGAAGATTGGAACCAAAACGATTGGAACCAATAAAATCTGGTATCCATGACAACTGGGCAGGAAAACTGTATGGAACAGAAAAATAATGTACATACCTCCATTTAATGTGGAATATTTGCAAAACGTAGCTTAATCTGATGGATACCTTCCAAAGACACATAACAAGAAAATTAATATTTTGATATGAACACCGATTTGTCTTTCTCATATGTAAATGTGATGGTCCTCCAGTTCTTAAATTCAAATCTTTTCTAACGCTCCCGCTCATCTATTCTCAGATTAGCCAACATGCACCACCTAATTTTCTTCAGCAATGGAAGAAAAGGCCCAAAATTTGTCCGGTAGAATAAGTAAAATTATCGACAAAATGTCAATGTCAAATAACGAGAATCGATTTTTTTCATTTTTTTTCCTAGGCGAAGGGAAAGCGGGACCGGTCCGGAACTAGCTAGACTTGGTAGACTAGCCGGGCAGCAGCAGAGAGAGATGTTCAGCCATTTCGGAGACTATCTTCGACGCGGGCCGCGGCGATCGCGCGCGTGAGATAGAGACAAGACGACTGTGGGACGTCTCCGAAAGTGCACTGAATGAATCGATGTGTGGGTGCGCGGAAGCGACGTGCTAGCAGCGTCGGCCGCTCCCCCGCCCCTCCTCCCCCCCGTCGCGCTCCTTCCTCTAGACCGGAAGGGGCTTCGGTTTTGGTCGGAGTGGGGGAACCTCCGAGACCCGGAAACAGCGAGGATGCGGGGTGAGGAGGGGCTGGGGTGGTGGAGGGTGGCCGCATGCCGCCTTAGCGCGTTTCCCCCACCCCATTTTCCGGGGCCGGGCTGGCTCGACGGCCAGCCGTGCGTCCCGTAAGGCTCATCCAGGGGGCCCGGTCTAGCAGGAGGAGCGCGACGGGGGGGAGGAGGGGCGGGGGAGCGGCCGACGCTGCTAGCACGTCGCTTGTGCGCGGGTGCGCGGCGGGCGCGCGGCCGGCGGGGAAGAGAGGGGGAGGGGGAGGAGGGCCGGGCCGAGCAGTGGTGGTGGTGGTGAGCGGTGCGGTGCGCAGTCATCCCGTCATCGTCATCGTCGGTCGGTGTCCTCCCTTCGCCGAGTGCTCCCAAACCGTCCCTAACTGCCGAAACTTGCAAATCGACCCGCCCGAACATACCGACCGGCCCCGTGTGCACTCGCCTGTCAAAATCAAGCAACGTCCGTGTCGCTCTCGCTCGCGGACACACTCGCCTTGAATCCCCGTCCCTGCGAGCGTCTGCTCCCGTCAGAATGGCAGGCGTCCTCAGCGTTTGCAAATTGTCGCCTCGTCTGGGCAGCTCGCTGCTCTCCAGTTTAACGAATGCGTCTCCCCGCACCTTGGCCGCGACCAGCGCTGCCAAGAATTACTTCACCTACAGCAAGGAGCCCTCCCAGCCCGTTGACAATGTCCCCAAGTTTGTGTCATCGGCCGAGGCCGTCAAGTGCATCAAGTCGGGTAAGGTTAAAGTAATTTCCCCATTGTATTCCAGATGACTTCTGCTGAATTATCCTTGAGAAAAAGTCGTACTTTGTGCACGAGTCCACCCTGGCCTGGTCTAGGTCCTCTGCTTGGAACTTCCAAGAATGATGAAGTATGCCTTGAGTTGGAACCTGTGCGAACTGGATCGCTCTGTTTGGTTTCAATTCCCGTATCAATAAAATTTTCATTAACATTTCATTACCTTTCATTTGTTTCGCATTTTTACTGAAATGAGAAACAATTCATGGCAGTTTTAAAAAGGGAAGGTTAATTTTTGTCAGGTTCAAGGCCATGCTTCGTAAATTTTTGCTCTGCTTGTGAGCATAAATTTTCTTTGCCTTTTCTCTTTTTATGCTTTTGTTGAACCAAACAAATGTAAACTAAGAACTATTCATATGTCATGTGTTTTTTTAGGCCCACAGGAAATATATCATTTATCTCTTTGCCCCACATAATGGTTGAGTTACAGGAAGAGGGACGAAAATGATCCCAGCATTTATCTCTCTGATAAGACTCAGTCACTGGTTGTTCGAGCCAATTAGCAGTTTGCCACCTACCCATGTTCTGCGGTACTCAGCTGAAAATGTTATGATAAAACTGATAAACTGTTATTACTTTGTTTAGGAGACACTGTGTTTGTCAGTGGTGCTGCTGCTACTCCCATCGACTTAGTGAATGCTATGACCGAGCATGGCAAGGCCAATAAACTGAGCAAGGTCACTGTCTGTCACATGCATACTGAGGGCAAGGCACCGTACACTGACCCAGAATGTGAGGGTGAGTACTACTGTACATGTCTGAGTATCTGCCTGACGTATCACATTAGTTTGTATTTCTATGTTAATGTTAAAACCAGAAGTACTCCTCAATAGCCTTGACATTTCTATGCAGTTATGAGAGGAAAAAAGTAAATTAATAAACTTTCTTACAATTTTTTAAATATTTTTTTCCTGTTGGGTACAGTTTATTGTTAACCATTAGTATTTTTGGTTTATTGATTTGACCTCTCTCTATTTGCTCTTCTCAGGGCTGCTCTCCATTTACCCCCACTTTGCCTTCTCCCTCACCCACTAACTTGAAATTTCTGGCAGGGAGCCAAACTGAAAATAAAAGTATCCTGAAATTATCAAGCGGATCCCACATTCATGTTTCCTTTTCCTGCAACTGAAAATATCCCATCTTAATTTGGAATGATGATTTGCTTGCTTCTTATGCATGTTTGTTGTCTATTATTTCAGGAATTTTCCGATCACTGTCATTTTTTATGGCAGCCAATGTCCGTCAATCTGTTGCTGAGGGACGCTCTGACACAATCCCTATTTTCCTGAAGGAGATTCCTCTGCTCTTCTTTAGGGGTATTGTGAAGCCTGATGTTGCTATGATCCATGTAAGTGTGACTAGTAGGGGAATATGGATGTAATTACTCTAGAGGTGGCTGATAGTGAAGGTTCTTGCGACAGGTTAGCTTATCAGTATTCATAATGCTCAAGGACACAACAGAGGCTGCCTCAGGTGAAGCTTGACAACAACTTAGTAGGTTTGACCTTGGCCGTTCGCGGAGCCGCCGGTGGGGGGCGGGGCACGGCGGGCCGGTCTGGGTCTGGGTCTGCCAAGCAACGTGAGGCGTGGCTTTGCGTTGCGGTGCGGTGCCGTGCCGCGCCGCGCCGCACCGCACTGGGGCACTGCTGGGAGACTGACTGGCTAGGGAAGCACCGGCCGTGGCCGTGGTTGTTACAGCCAAACTATTGTAGACCTCACGCATTTGACCTGGCATCTGGCGTGGCTTAGCGGCGCCGAGGCGATAGGAACGCAATCGCTCGTTGGACTGTGGCCGTTGTGGCCCCTTCCCTCCGGCTGGCGGCGGTGGCGGTGCGGTGGCCCTCAGCCCGGCAAGCGCGGCCCGGCAAGCCCGTCACGCCCGTCCAGGCCAGACCAAGGGTCACTTCCCTTATCAACTACGCTTCACTGACAAATGAGGGAGGGAACCAGCAAAAAAATGAAAAGAATGTTACCTTAGCACATTAATTTCAGAAATTATTTTTTTCACTTTTTAAATTTTTTCAACTTTTTTTAAAGGTGTCACCCCCGGATCAGCACGGCTACTGCTCACTGGGTACCAGTGTTGACTGTGTCCGAGCCGGTGTTTCTTACTCGAAAACAGTCATTGGTATGCATCCTGTAAACTTGCTTGACTAGTAATTTAATGGCTCTGGACTCATTCTCTCTATTATCTTTTCCTTCTTGATTTCAGCCCAAATTAACCCTCACATGCCTCGCACCTTTGGTGATGCTCAGATCCACATTTCTCACTTTGATTATGCTGTGAATGTTGACACCCCACTCCCTGATCATGGTGGAAAGCCACCATCCCCTGAGGAAGTGCAGATTGGCAAGCTGATTGCTCAGAATTTAGTTGAGGATGGTGCCACACTTCAAATGGGTAAATTAAGTTCCCTGTTTTTGTCTGTGCCTGACTTTTGAGTTTGTCAGCAATAAGTGTTGCTTGTTTCTTTACAAGGTATTGGCAACATTCCTGACTCTGTTCTCAGTCAGCTGGGTAACCACAAAGATCTTGGAGTGCACTCTGAAATGTTCAGTGGTGGACTGGTTGATTTGGTTGCCAAAGGTGCTGTTACAAACAACAACAAAACCCACAACAAGGGTAAAATTATTGGGAGCTTCCTCATTGGCAATAAGAAGCTGTACGATTTTGTTGACAACAATCCTTTCATTGGTGAGCTATTTACTTGAAAAAATTCCCTCCCCCATCACTTTTTATTTTGCAAAAATGTAATTATGTTTGTATACATACTGCCTTTGTCTTTCAGAAATGAAGGAAGTTCACTATGTGAATGGATTGCATCAAATTGCTCGCAATCCAAAAATGACTGCAATTAATTCCTGTATGGAAATTGATTTAACTGGTCAAGTTGTGTCTGATTCTATTGGAACTAGAATGTATTCTGGTAGGTGTCTGCCATATATCCTGTTATTGTTTGAAGTGGAAAAGCTGATTTTATTTGATTTTTGTGATTTGTTAATAATGATGCCATTAAAATATTGTCTAGGTTTTGGTGGTCAAGTTGATTTTATCCGTGGTGCTGGAGAGGGCTATGATGGTAAGGGAAAGCCTATCATTGCAATGGCTTCCAGGAGCCCAAGGGGTGTGTCTAAAATTGTTCCAACCATCAAAGAAGGTAAATATCGATTTTCCCATGTCATCTTGTCTTGAGGAAAGCCTCTCCTTTGAGAATGAACTAATAAAATGAAATCTCATTACAGGTGCTGGAGTTGTTACCAGCCGCGCCCATGTTCAATATGTGGTCACTGAGCAAGGTATTGCATCCCTCTTTGGCAAGTCTCTTCGCCAGCGTGCATATGAGCTCATTAAAATTGCTCACCCTGATGTCAGGGAAAGCCTTGAGAAGGCCGCCTTCGAAAGGCTCAAGGTTATGCCTAGCCCATAAATTTAATTCTGGTGATTCCCTATGTGAAAAATGTTGAGTTTTACCAACGTAAACAGGTGTACAAACAACCTTAGATGTATTAATTTAGTCTTTGTCTGGAGGTTGTTATGTGTAGCAGTAAGAATGTGTAGCATGAAATGTGCCATTTACAACCTCTTTCAATTTTTTTTAAACTCTATTTTCTGTGCCTGTAGAAATTGATTCTTGATAAAGAATTTGCACACTGCACCTCACAAAGACTTTTCACTTAGACTAAAACATTGTGACGGCTAAGCACATACTTTCTACTTTCTTTTTAGGAATTTTTGATGGAAACAGCAGAGCTGTCTTGTGATACCTGTTTGTAAAACTTTTGAAGTGATTTTTCAGTAATAACAAAGTTGTCTCATGTGTACTTTTGAAAATGAGAAGGCTATACTTTAGTGGATGAGGCTATACTGTACCTCTGCCTGATGAGGCTTGTGCTGGGCTTTTCCTGTTTGGCTCTGCCAAATTTTGTTGCTGTTGTGATAAATCTAATGACATTGTGCACCATGTTGACATTCTGTTAGAAGCAGTAAATAAACTCCTCTGCCTTTTATGTATTATGTACTGCAAGTTACCACATAATGTAATATGATCTAGATTATGTGATTTTTTTTCTAATAGTTTATACATGTCGTGACCCTTTAAAGCTGCTGATGTTTAATATGTTGAAGAATGAAATGTAAAGAGTAATTTTGCATATCTGTATGTATTTTTATCAGCAAGTCTGAAGTACCCTGTACAAATGATGTTCTGACCCAATAAGTATAAATGGGCAACATCATCCTAGAGGAAACCATTGATTGAGCTTGCCACACTTTTTTAGTTTTAAGAGTGAATTTAAGGTTTTATTCCAACTATTTTAGGAAGCTAATGACCATCAGTTTTATATTGGTCTTTAGTGGTTCCAATTTGGACCGCCTTGTCTCCTTTTAGACTGTATCACTCGTGTTTACATGCCATGCTTTTAGTACAATCAGTGACAATGTTAAAAACGCTTGTTATTATTAAAATTCACTGAAATTCAACATGGATTTCTTTCAGTACAGTCCCCATCCTGCCCAATCTGTAGAGCTTGAAGCATGACGCTTGGACGAGATAAGCTCAGGCGTCCTCGTTCCGTAGCGAATGTGTTACAAAGGGAACGTGCCCCACGCTGAATATCTTGGTGCATGGTTGATCCTGGCGTCCTTTCTGCCTTGCTTACTGTTCACAAGGATTTAACGGACGGAGGGGGAATGCCACTTAAGTTTGAATTCGCGCCATTGCCTCGTCACTCCGACCACCGATCCAGTCTGCTCAGCCCTTTCTTTACTTTACGAAACTGAAACTGGCAGTTAATGTATGGAGCAAGAAAAAAATTTATACTTACAAATAATCAATTTGATCTCCGGGAATCAAGTTTGTCCATTCCCAGAAAGAAACCTGAGAAGGGTAGTAGCAGACCATGGTTGGCAACACTCTCAGGTCACGGAACACGTTCCGAACTTTGCGACAAGGCGCTGACTCCCGCGCATAGTCACAGTCCCGTTGTTTTGGTTAGTAGACGGCGCGAAGAAAGACAATGCGGTTTCTGTTTTTGTTCTAGGCTCGAAGATTTGTTCGGCAGAAAGGTATTGTGCAATCATTCATCTCAATGTACTTCTGATAACTCTATTCTTAACGTTCCGCTGATCTATGTATGGGTGTCTTTTGGTTTGGCGTCTTCAGGTTGTTATTGTTTGTTGGGGGTAGAGAGAACGCCGCACGCCATGGCTGCGGCAAAACCAGTCCAAATTACTGTACCAAAGAATATTAGTATTGTGCGAGGTATCATGACCCCGCCCAAATCTGCACCGTCTTCGGACCGTAAAAGGTATTTAAAAAATAAATAAATGATAATGTAACCTCATTTACCCTTCCATTTACCCTGTCCCCATTGTGTACTAATGTCTATCTCTCCCGTAGGAAATTTAAAACCCTCGTGAGCCCTGTTGGGGCAAAGGCAGGAGGTTTCTCTTTATTTAGTCCCCCTTCATCTCCTAGCAAAATCTTGAAATCTCCTACAAGTTCTTCACCTTCAAGGAAGAAACCAAATTTAACCATACAGCAAGGAGCAAACCAAAACAATAAAATTTTTAGATATCTTCAACCAAAGCGATTGCTACCTGCTTTTGATAGTCAAAGTGAACCTGTTCCAGTTATTTGTAATAATAACAACAATATTGAAGACAAGGAAAATGCATCACTTGAGCTGAAGGTTTCGTTAGTGAGGCTTGATGATAATGTGCTGGCAAAAGAACACAACTACTGTATTGCTCATAGAAGCCCTAAGAAGTTTTGCTGCAATGCCGCCTCAGAATATGTTACACAAGCTCTTGAAAAAATTGTCATTAATGATACTCTAGACCCTTGCAAGCGATTAGGTATTGCTGTGCCACCTTGTGTCCTCACCCAAAGCTGCTGTCATGATAAAGTAATTCCTCATTACATCTTGTTGGTTTCAGTTAGCTCATTTTGTGGTACTCATTAGTTTTAATAGTTGCAGGCAGCAGATTCATCTTCATCTCATCTAGACAACCTGCTTTTCACTATGATAGATGCAGACCTTGAGGTTGCCATGATTCGAGCATGTTACCGACATTTATCTGCCAAAGTATATCCATCACCAACAGTAATTCATTCTGTTTTCAAGATTATGAAAGTAGGTGGTTTACACTGCTGAAGAGAGATACATTTTGTGTTCAAGTATTTTTCAACTGCCTTTTCCTTACAGGAGATACCAACCAAAGAAGTTGTTTGTCTGGGAAAGAGTTATCTGAAGAGAGTGCTTCATTTGTTCCCTCCCTGTTCCCCTCATTTGAGGAAACACTATTTGAGTGTTCTTCACTCTGGTGATACCAAAGTAAGACATGATTGTCAATCAAATATAAACAGTAGTCTTTAGTCCTTTTTACATTTTGATCTTTTTCCAGCTTGCACACCAATCATGGTCTGCAAGATCGACAGATTTCTTTCAAGAGGGATTGAATGAAGTTGAATCTCTCGTTGAGTCATTATTAAATCCAGAACAACTCAAACAAAAGAATAACATCCCTGGCATACGAAGAATTGTGAAACCTCGTAGGTACAGGGATTCACCTTCCCCTGTGAAGAGATCAACCCGCAGACAATCTAGTATGCAAGATGATGAAGCTTCCTCTAATTCTTCTTCTGATGTAATGATCATGTTCCATACACTTTTAATTCAGTTTATTGATACTTGGTAATTCAGTATACCTTTTTGTTACTGTAGGATACAGAAAGGATTAAGAGGGAGATGCAAAACTACTCCTCTGTAATTGTAAAGAAGAAGCAGGCACGAATTGAATTACTGAATTCCATGTCTAATGAAGAGAAAATTGATCATGTTTTTTCAAGGTTTGAAATTTTATTGGACATATTGGAGATGGATTTGATACTTTGGCTTTCAAGGAATGCTGACCACACCAAAATAAGGTATGAAGCCAAATTGGACTCTGACACATTTTTGATCAGCCTTAGATACAATGGGGAAAGTGTCCTCTTGATTCTTTTTCAGTGACCGTGAAATCTGCCCTTTGGTCATCCTAGCCCTATGGAGACCTGAATCTGACACTGGCTTTGATTCTATCAACTGTCGCAGGATATTTTCTATGTATGCGAGTAGTTGGGTTGTCAAACTCCGTCCTGATCACCTTAAGACTCTAGCGGTTTGTGCCAGCTTAATGGAAATGTCTGCATTTAATAATAATTCAGTCCTTACTTTCAAATTTTATTTGTGCTTTAGAGACTTATTGGATTGATAGCTGAAGTAACATCAGCTAGTGAGCCAAACTCCAGCAATGCCCACCCATACACTGGAGACTGCTGTGCCAATCTGTCCCGAAAGCTCAGTGATGCGCTCAAAAGTAAGCAGTATTTATGTTGCTTAAAAATTTAATTTAGTCATTATGCTTGGTTGGTGTCTTTTTATAAAATGAATTATTCTGTTTTAGATTCAGACCTCTCTGAAGTGAGAGACAAAGCTGTGAAAATGCTCAAGCCTAATTGGCTGCAGATGCAGGTGTCTGCAAATTTATTGGGAATCTCTCCATCCCTCACCTCTGTGGTAAGGAAATAAATGCTTCAATGAGGATTGGAGTAGCTCCTCATAGGATTAGACATCCTACTGCCATTGATATTATACGGGACATGTTACTTTAGTTGTTCATTTAATTTTTTTTTTAGATTTATGTTTAGTTTAGTTTAGTTGGGCAACTTATTGCTGTCTGTTGGTGTACAGTTCCAAGTTTGCTTTGTTATAGAGTAAAGTTAGTTGTAAAACACATGGGACATACTCCAATCTGGAACTGAGGCTTGAAGAGCGTCTATATGTTATCCATGATGGAAGGCATCTCTACGTCACGATGAGAACTGACAACATTCTTAATTAATGTTTAATTTTATTCTAGTTTTGTCAAGATTATGTTCTTAGTAACTTGTTGCCTGATTTTATCATATATTTTGAATTACTTTATTCCTTAATGGAATAATGAATTATTTCACATTCTAAAGAAGTATTTTATGGTATATTTTGTTTTTGCTTTTAATGAATATTATACTTCTGACATTTGCATTACAGTAGGGCTCCTGTAATTGTACTGTTGGCTCTACATTTGATTCAGTGAATAAAACATTGGTACCTGTCCTCACATCTACTAAGGCTTTTGTTTTACCCTTGTCTCTAAAATATTCCTTCCTTTAAAAGTTTTGATTTCAATAAGAAATTATTTTAACAAACGTGCTTTTAACAGGATATGAAAACTCTTCTAGAGCCTATGACTGACACAACCACACATTTGTGGGCTCATTTCCTGGATGCTGTCATGGAATTTTATCATACAAAGTATGCTGTGGTTCTACTAACACAAGGACGTCTGGGTTGTTTCCAAGAAGACTCGATACGAAAAAATTATATAAATTCAAAGCAATGTGACATCAATTATAAAGCGCTCTTGCAAGAAATATCAGCGTATTGCGAATTATACAATCATATAAATTTAAGTTGCATGAACAATGCTCTGATACGCATTTTTGCTCTATAACACTAGATGCAAAACAAAAATTGTCGTAAAAATAAATCCACAAGACTGATCAACTTACTACTTTGATGAAGTAAACTGTTATGATTTCTTAAAATAGTTTTATCATATTTTATACGTTTTTAAAGAATCATATGTACATAGAAACTAATATTTATTCATGAATAAATGCTAATCAATGAAAGAATGTATGTTTAATTTATTTCCAAAAATATTTCCAAGCTTTCCACTAAACCTTTATCACAATTTTTCATTAATAAATAAAGACAACTTTCACTGTATCAGTCTAAGACAACAATAGGATCATCATCATCATCGTCTGCTGAAGCAGAAGGCACCATCATTGATTGGCGACTAAATAAGTCCATTGTTACAGCAGCATTGAATACAGGGAGGGAACCTTGTTGATGAAGATGGGTGTCAATTAAGTCCCCAAGAGATGCAGAGAATGGTGTTTCCAGCAAATTAAAGGTGACATTATCTTGCATCTAGGACCAAATGAAGTGGACACCGATAAACACACTGAGAAACATCAAGATGAATTTGTATCAACTAAAGTATACCAACCTTGAATAAGAGATAATCATCAGGAGATTCAGCATACATGCTTGATAGTCGAAACAGCCCTCCTTTATTTTGCAATCGGTCAACTTTATATCCCAATAAATTGTAAACACAATCACGAAACTCTGTGCTAGTCTTTTTAAAGGCTTCTTTTAATCTCTGCATCATTATATCAGCAGATTTAATCTTCTCTTGGAGTTCTGATTTAGGAAAGAAAAGTTATAGAGAAATCCAACAAATACATCATTGATATTGCAAAACATGACATTACCTTGTACTTCCTGTGAATTTGAGGTCATTAAACGCTTGTCAACTTTACATGTTATATCATCTCTTTCACCCTCTTGCAAAACCTTCACTCGTTCTCGAAGTTTAGCAACTTCAGTCTTCAGCATGGTTACTTCCTTCTCTCGCTCTTCTTCAGCGCTTGCTACCGGATTCATCCTACATATAATTTAAGCATACAAAATAATTTATGGTGAATTTAATTCTAAGATAAGTTGAGTGCAAGAGAGTTAAGTCACCTCAAATGTAAAATTCTAGAGGAGCCAGAACTGAAGTCTCCTTTGAGAACCTGTTGTTCCATTTGATGCTGCAATTCATCAACTCGCTTTTGCAAGGAAATTTTTTCAGCAGACAATGCATCTTTTTCAGCTGATATCACTCGAATCTTTTCTAACAAGCCTTCAGCACCACCTAAAACGAGTTATTGAAAACCAGGTCAAACCCCCATTGAAAATAGAGCGTCAACTAAGCATTTTCAATATTTGATTAGCAGTTTAACTTCAGAACAGCAGAAACAAACCTTGACCGAGAGCAGATGTCAGATCAGCCTCTAAGTTTTCTACTAGTTCTCTGTATCCATCCAATGATTTCTCCAAGGATTCAATCCGTGGTCGTAAAGCTTGTTGTTGGTTCGAGACTGGCATTGTCAATTCTTTCTCATATGAATCTAGCTGCTCCCTATAGCTGTTCCTCTCCTGAAAAAAAAGAATTATACAAAAGTTAAGTAAAGCAATAATGAGATGTATTCAAGGTTCAAGGGGAAAAAAAAATTACGTACTCCAGTAACAAGGGCTAGTTTTCTTTGCCATCTTCTGATGAGGTTTCCTTGTTGGTCTTGAGTAGTTTTCAAAGAAGATACTTCTTTGGACAGTCGTGATATTTCAGACTGGGCCTTTGCAAGCGCACTGTTGCCGCACTTCCATCTAATGACAAGAAGAAAAATATTTCAAAATTAAGAGGCTTACAGAGCAGTACAAGATCTAAGTTGCTACCAATCGGTACTCGTACTTATTCTGAAGATCAGCCACTTCAGAGGATAGGAGCAGCTCAGATTGTTGTAATTCTTGGAGATGTTTACGCAGCAAACTAGGACACACCTAGAAAAAGACAGAAAGTTTAACGATAAAAAGCACAAGTAACATTGTTTGATTTTTTTTAGATTGATACTTGCATCATTGTCAGAAGCACTAGGGCAAAAGTCCTTCACTAGTTTTTCCCAATCTCTTAATTTACTCTCCAGCCGCTGCTGATGGGCTTCTAATTGCACAAGGCGAGTAATCTGCTCATCACTAGAGGCACATTTTTGACGTAGGTCAGCAACTTCCTCCTCCAGCAGAAGTTTGTTATGAACAGCATCTCTGTTGGTAGATTATGGCGTTAGTTAAATAATTACTAAATTCTGAGAATCAATAATTGAAGCAGAAACATCAACCCACCTTAAGTTCACCACATCCTTACGAAGAATTTCAAGCTCACGTTCCATCTCAGGTAACTTAAAAAGTTTCTGCTGTTGGGCTTTGACAATGGCAGATGCCTCATTACCATCTTCTAGTTGGCGCTGTAAGTCCTTCAAAGGAAAAAACACAAACCTTCTGAGCAAAATGATCAACAATTATTTACCCTGACTGGCAAGAAAAGGCACTAACCTTAATTGTTCTTTGAGCTTCTCTAAGTTCTAGAGAAAGTTGTTCATTCTGAAAAGTATTTAATTTAGATTCATTTGAAGATGAAGAACGCCGCTTTTCAACTTCATTCTGGCTTATGATAGATTTAAGTTTCTTAATTTCGTCTTCGTAGTCCTCATTTTTGTTCTCGGCATTCCTGACCGATCGTTTCATCTGGATGTGGGGAAAATTTAGAAACTATAGTTGCTAGCACCAAGTATAATAGTTTCATAGCAAAGACAGATTACCTCAAACATCTCATCAGTAAGCTGATTTTTCTCCCTACGCAGGGTGATTATTGCCTGCTCAAGTTGGGCATTTTGGTCTTCCAAATCTTTTAATTTTCGAGCAAGGCTGTCCCGACAATCTGATTCTCTTCGACGAAGTTGTGAAACTCGGCTCTCTAGAGTTTGTATCTAGGATATATGAAGATGCACATTAGAATGTCAAAAATTGATGAAGTAAGAAAAAGGAAGACTAAATAAAATTTATACCGACCATAGTTTTATCTCGACCCTGTTGGAGCAAAAGACTGTTTTTCTCTGATTCAAAAACAACCTCCAGTTCCCGTCTCAGTGCATGTAGTTGACTGACCCGCGTTTCCAAGGAGGCTATTTTACTCTTAGCGTCTATTAGTTCTTTCTTCAAACGACGAGCTTCCCACGGTGATTCTGAGAAGAAAGCAGAACTCTAAAATTAGACAGAGAGTTTAATGGCAATAAGAAAATCAAAGGCTGTTCCAAAACATACCAATGGCAGATACATCAAGGTGTGACACATCGGATGATGGAGGGGTTCCCTCGAGGCTCCACTTTTTCCTTTTGACATGTTCATTCATGCTGCCTTCGAAGCTATCGTTACCAAAATTAAGTCTCGTTGATACGGTTGATGCAGACCGGTTCACCTCATCGACTTCTAACCTATTTGGCGATGCCTTACGCTTAAAATTATCTAAAATGGAGGCCACGCACGTGAGTGAATCACTGTCATTTCGCAGCATTTTATTACGACCCGTCAAACCTCTAAAGAAATGGGAGCTGGTGCACACAATTTCTCCAGGAATTGATGGTTTTTTGATGCAGTCGACATCAAAACTAATCAAAACAACAACTACAACCTTTCGTGGCAGAGTTGCCAACCCGTGAGTAATTGCCCACGCCATGGGCGAATTCCGTATAGTGTGAGGAATTTTCTCAGTCGCTAGGGTGCTTTTACCAAAACTGATCAAAAGGGCAAAATAGGTATCAAATGGGCAATTTTATCGTGTCGTGAGGGCAAAATTTAAAATTGGATCTGGCAACACTGTTTCGTGGCGGGGCGCGTAAAGTTTTTGGTTGTCCTTTGTGGTGCTTGTATTGTTCAATTCCAATTTGACAGGGGTAGTTGGGATATTTTAAGTTTTTCTTTCAAGTGTCATCATGCCAGCTGACGAACCCCCGCCCGACGAAACGTTCAAAGTCTTGGTGGCCACTGATATACACTTGGGAGTGTATGAAAAAGACCCTGCCCGAGGTTAGCTCCCAAACGCTTAAGTCAAATTTATCAGATATAATACTCAGCTCTCTTTTTCCCGTAATTTTCCGCTTTTTTGTTACAAAATAAAGCTCCACGTCGGTCCCTGTGTTTTGAGATTATTGACCGAGCGCTGATTTTGTTTAACCTCTTCTCATGATTTCAGGTGATGACAGCTTCAATACCTTTGAGGAAATACTCCAACTCGCCCGTGAACACGATGTGGATTTCATACTTCTGGGTGGTGACTTGTTCCATGAAACAAAGCCTTCTTCCTCCTGTATGCATCGATGTATGGCATTGCTTCGTGAATACTGCATGGGAGACCGGTAAGTTCATATTCGATAGACGGCTTTTAATTTTAAACCAACAAGCCAATCTAATCATCTATTGTTACTAGGCCCATCTCTTTTAATTTCCTGAGTGACCATGAGATGATTTTTAAGGACTCCTCTCAATCGGTTGTCAACTATGAGGACCCCAACATTAACGTGTCAATTCCTGTTTTCTCTATTCATGGCAATCATGACGATCCAACAGGTGTGTGTTACTTACCTGTGCTTTAAGTAAGGTATGACAATGTATTAATTAAATATTGCTTTGCAGGTCAGGATGCTATTTGTACTCTTGATATCCTAAGCTGTGCTGGATTGGTAAACTATTTTGGGAAAAGTACAGATCTGACTCAACTCAATGTAAATCCGGTACTTCTGCAGAAAGGTCCTTCCCGCTTAGCTTTGTATGGATTTGGTCATGTTAAAGATCCAAGACTCTACCGTTTGTTTCAAGAGGAAAAGGTACTCTCATCTTTGTGTCCTATCATTTTCTGTTATCATTTTGTACATCTGAATAATATTGTTTTCACCTCCTTATTTTTTTTATCAGGTAACTTTTTTCCAACCTGACGAGTTTCAAGATGAGTGGTATAATATATGTGTTTTACATCAAAATAGAGTTGAAGGCAGAGGCAAAAAATGCACAATTCCTGAAGAGTTTTTGCCTAAGATGTTGGATCTCGTTATATGGGGTCATGAACATGACTGTCGAATTGAAATGGAGGAGAACAAGAAAATGAAATTTTTTGTTTCTCAACCTGGTAAAGTATATAGCTTGTGCACTAAATGCTTTGAATTATGTTTTTATCATAAGTGAGCTATAATAGTTGTTGCCTTCTATTTCATTTCATCGTATATTAAGGTAGTCCTGTGGCAACATCTCTCTGTGAAGGAGAGGCAATTCCTAAACACGTTGCCATATTGTATGTTCATGACAAGAAGTTTAGGATGGACTACAAAAAGTTGAAAACTGTAAGACCATTTGTCATTGAAGACTTGGTTCTCTCAGAATTTGAACTGAATGACGTTCAAAAAGACATAAGTGAACAGGTACCTGAAACAGTTTTTTCACTGAACAAACTATATTTTCCTGAGAATTTCCAGAGTAAACAACTATTTGGCTCATACTGTTTCAGGTGGAGGAAGTGGTTCATGAAAAAGTAAATGAAATGATAAAAGATGCAGAAAAACTGCGCACTGGCAAGTGTCAATTATTTGTAACCTGATTTGTATTGATTTCATATTTTTATTTAATCTTACTTTTACAGGACACCCTAAGCAGCCCATACTTCCTTTGATACGATTACGGTTGTTTTTCACTGATGAAAGTCAAATGATTAACACTATTCGATTTTGTCAACGATTTGAGGATAGGGTTGTGAACACAGGCGATATGATTCTAATGAAAAGACTCACACATGAATTCAAAGAGAAGAGAGAAGTACTTGAGAAGGATGTTATGAATGGTGTTCTGAAAGAAGCTAAAGTAAAAATTCTCTTATTTCTCAGGTTGAAAGCATTCTCTGTTGTTGTTTGCAAATGGTGGTTAATTTTTTTTCCTTTGCATGTTAGCACCAAATTGATCTTAAAGTTGAGGATTATGTCAAAGATTATTTCAATAGAGTAGATGATGATGACGCACTTCGGATGAATTTGCTGACTGTTATTGGTCTTAATGAGGCGGTATCTGACATGGTGGATAAGAACCACAATACTGCATTGGCAGAAATAGTGAAGTAAGTATTTTTTCTTCATAAATGGTTACATTATATGTTTTGTTGAACTTGAACAATCTCTGATTCCTGCTTTTCTTCGAATGACTGAAGACATCAGCAGAACCGTATGGAGAAATATTTGTTGCAGAAGGATGTCAATCAGGAAAATATAGAAGATTACATGAGACGCTTTATTCTTGAGAAGAAAGAAGGAGGAGATGCAGAAATGGAAGAGGTAATGCTACATCCTATAAACTATCCTTTTGGGAGAATTTTGTTTTGCAACACTCTCTTCTATCCCCTTTCCCCCCTCTATTTGTCAGACACGAAAACAACTCAAGGAGCATGAGCAATCTTCTGCAACGAATGGTACTAAAACAAAGGCCAAGCCCAAGGGGAAAGCCAATGACACCGTTGAAGTCCTAGAAGATGAGGACGATGACATTGAGGAAGATGATTTCGAACCTGAACCTGTTCGTGGGAGAGGAAGGGCGTCTCGTGCTCCGCGTGCTGCCAGAGCACCAAGGGCAGCAAGGGCACCAAGGGCTTCAAGGGCTGCCTCAACCACAGCAAGCAGTCGTGGACGTGGCAGAGCGGTGAGTCTCACTTAGCCTTTGAATTGTGCCTCTATTCTCTCAGTGGCACAATATCTGCCGTCATATTTGAACAAATCCAAGCTATTATCTTTTTTAAATTTGTGTTGTTTTGTTGAATTTTTAAATTTTAGACACCTCAGCGCACTATTATGGATTCATTTGCTACCCAGTCTAGTCAGATATCACTTGTGAGGACACAAACACGCACAAACAGAAGTCGTGTCCAATATGATTCTGATGATTCTGAGTAAGGAGACGGAAGGAGATGGAAGGAATTTGAAGTTTTGGCCATCCACTAAGGTGCAGTAGTAGAACAACAATTTAAAAATCATTTTAAAAATCATGTTTCTTTGTACTTTTTTTCTTTTGTCCTGTCTTAATTTTTTCAAACTTTTGATACCTTGTACTAATTTTTAAAATGTTCGCAAAGGAATAGTTTGACTTTTAACAGGGTCTTTATACGAATAAAACAAATCTCAGAAATACAGTTTATTTTTATTTGTTTCTACCAACTTTACATTAGTAGAATGTCGGCACTAACATATCTCAAAAAATCCTTTCATGTAGCAGTTGAACTGACAACTCCATGTTAGTCAAACATTAGTTTGTATAATATTTTTTTCCCTCAACAAATAGTTAGCAGGTTAACTGATGGAAGCTCCTACTGGATCTGCAATATGTTTAAGAAAATTGCAACCCAGAAAAATTTTAACATTGAGGTCTTTGTCAGACGACTTTTAATGAAATATAATGGAGTGTGAATGGAAGTGCCTAGGGTAGAAGTTAGCCAAGACTGTTAGTCTTACAAATGTGACTACCTCCTCCCCCTGTTCTCATCCAATTATAAATTAATTAGGGAATACTAGGGAAAAAGAATAACCAGTGTGGAACCAGAAAACAGGTTTGAAGTTGATGGGCATGCCACATTCACATAGAAAAAGTTTAGGGGAAATACAGTTTCTGATGAAAATTCTTAGACCTCATAACTTCATCTACACAATTTCAGTTGGCATGATCAAAATTCCTATCAATGCCCTAGAACTAAATCAACATCAAGATTTCAATGTGAGAAATTCCTGTCACAATCTAACTATTAAGGTCACTAACAGAAAATTCAGCAGTATGAATAGTACTACTGGACGGCACTTAATCATGTAACAGTTGAATACTGAGTAAAGTTCATTATAAGAACCAATTGTAGTTGTCTTCTTCAGTCTGATGATCAAAAAAGAATCCAATTGGAAGAAAACAGATTATAATTTTGGACTTAGATTTTCAAGGTCCTAGGATTATACACAACTGTAATTTAAATAAAACAATAAAAACAACATGCACATCCTCATCCTATACACATCATCTTAATAAACATGGCTACATATCCCCAGCACACAATTCTTTTCAAGACTCAGTTCTAATACTTGAGGATACTTCTCATATTGGAGATTGTAGTTTAGCATATTCTTCCGTTACACCTGTTGGCTAAGTACTTTTACAGATTTGTTATACTGTATGTCAAGAAACCAAGTCAGCACAGTAAAACTGTCTCAAATTGGCATTGATTGCAGTCTTGGTATGTCTAGAACATAAGCATCGAGCAACCATTGAACTGAAAACTGAAAACTATGGGTAATTGTTGACTATTGTATGGAAAAGCTATACTGTATAAAGAATTATGTGGAAGAACTGGATCACTGTTAACTGGACAAACAATTTGCAGAAATGTACTCCAAACTTCGGTTTAAATTCAATAGGAGCCATGGAAAGTATTTTACATTTCAAGATGAAAACTGGACCCCCCTCCGCCCTATTTTTCCGTGCTACCGTATTAACACATGAATTCAAGAAGTCTCATTCATTATGCTCCTCGACATGAACAACAATTAACTAAGCAAAAGCACACAAATAATGATTTAAAATAGTTTTCTTTTAGAATAACTGCCTTGGCAACGGCCTGGTATACAGACAATAAATCTTACACTTCTAAAGTAGATTTTTCTCATGCTACACATTCAGACACACTAAAGGGGAACTTAACTTCAAATGAAGTAAAGTGTACCATTTAATATTATCCAATGAATAATATTGTCCAATAGAAACCCACACAGAACAGACATGATTTACAGTGATTCCAAGTAACATTATTTTAGCTCACCTATATTCACAAGGACTATTCCTTTTAAAGGGCAAAACATGAACTTTCATAAGTCACCTATAAAATTTGTGGACAAAATATCACCAGAAACAGCTTGGTATATGTATGCTGTACTTTGAGCAACTGGATGATTAGTGCGGTTCACAAGTTGAGGAGAGCCAGTTCCAAAATAAATCTGGTACAAAACAGACTTTGAAAGTGCTCTTTAAAACGGCCAATAGGACATTTGATAATACATGTTTTCAAACAATGATGGAATATAATGGGACAAGATAAACTTGGAATCTTGGAGACTCAATTCTTGAGAAGCTGGAGCAAAGATTTATATGGAGCATATGAAAGTACAAAAACCCCAGAAGCACAGAAGTGCATTAATACTGAATAACGATTTTAACAAAAATGCAACTTAACATGAACCTACAAAATTCTTTGGAATGTTGTCCATTTGAATTGCCAACATCAACAATAGATTAAGAAGAACAACAATAGTATGTGGTGTAGAAATTAGAATAACATTAGAATGGTTACATTCATGAATACAATAATAGTAATAAAAATAAGACATACATAGCTTTGATAAGCTGCTAGAGCAATAATCTTCACCCTTTCCTTTGGCACAACTATCTATCATTTTGCCAGAAGACTATTTAAATTAACACTGTCTAATATGTATATTATTGTAAATTGGCGCAATCTAAATATAAGTGACTTGAAAAAATCTGTACTTTGCACAAGAAGAGGCCTTTTAATTTAGAATACACTCCCTGTAATCAGTAAGAATAGCTTGTATGTGTAAAGTAGTAGCAGACATTGTACAGGCTCATTAGGAGAGGAAAGCTGTTGTTGTACATGCAGCTATTCTTACCATTTGTTGTGTGTTCTGAAAGGCATATACAAAGACAATGGTAACAAATAAGACTAGCCAATAGATAACTTAAGTTTCCACTCAATAACATTTCTCAGCATGACTAGCAATGCAAGTCAAATCCAGAAAATAACAGGAAAAATCTTTCCTTCAATCCTGATAAAAAAAAATGCATTGCTGCACCCTATATAAAACAAACTGGTTTAAAACCTGGATATGGCAAAAAACAAAACAAAAAACTCTTACCTAAAGTTTGGAAGAAAAAACTAATGAATACTGAAACATATTTCTTCAGTCCATCATTCTTTACTGGATCGATCAACATCTATTCTCAGAAAATAAGAGATTATTATGACCAAGAAATGAGCTGGCTTGACTAACACTGTCATCCTCAGCACTAAGCAGCCATGAGCTACAGTTAACTCTTCAGAAAAAAATTTTCCTGTTTCTCAGAACAAAATAGAGAATACTACCTTTTACACTTTGCTTCACAAAGTACAGTCTTACAAGTTTATATTACTACGTACATAACACACAATAAGATTATCATGATCAAAAATACAGAAAAAGTTAAGTTTACATGGCTGGTTTAAGGAATAATTTTTTCACACTAAGTCTCTATGGATTTTATAAAGTAACAAGAAGCTTAAAGGACTTACACTTGCTTCGGGTTAAAAAATAAAACCTATCAATTTGTTTTATCCTTTCTCTTTCCAGGATTAAACAGCTACCTTTACGTGCCACATTCGACAGGTAGGACAAGCACTCAAAAAATTCGGCAGAAGAAAGATTGCAGGCTTGAACGTGGGACTGATTCCAGAAAGCCAACTTTCAACTTATCTTAAAGTTGTGCACTATCCAGTTAGGCACAAAGCAAAACAGCTCAGTGTATCCTGATGACATTTCTGAATAAAATATTTCTGCAAGGCATCCTCACAACTTTGTATTGAATACAGTACTATAAAACATATAGAAAGTTTAAAATCAGCATGATTTAATCTTAAGTTGAACTACAATTTATTGATTGTCTGTACCTTAGTCGTCTGGTATCTGTAGAAATCAATACCTTACAACCCACAAACATGATTAAGCCCACGAGCAAAACTAATAAAGCACCAATGCTAATCTTCAAGTCCATGGGTCATAAAGGAACTGACTTTCAGCATCTTAAGTGAACACTTCTAGTGATTTTCGGCCAGGATTGCAATACAGGGATGTAAAAAAAATCTGTTTCTCATTTGTGTAAGATGACAAAATGGGACTCATTCAATTCATACACCAATTTAACTTACATGGGGTGCCAATATATATGAACATATTAACATCACATAACATTCTATACTTAAAATTATCTATGTGATGGACGAATATAGTAAAATGGTGGAATACAGGCTCTCATTATCAACAGATAATACCATCTCTTTAATTTACAATAATTTAGAAAGTAGCTTTATTTTGAGCAAAGGGGATTCCCATAAGAATGAAGTGAAGGGTAAAAATGGGAAAGAAATTAAGTCAAAACATTAACGCTTCCTGTCCAAAATTTAAAATTTGAGATACAATCCACCCACACCAGCAAAAGTGACTTTCATCAACGAAAACATTGTTCAAAAAATGTATAGAATTAAGTGTGGTAATTGGGTCCTCCTAAAACTTTTCAGTCATTAAAATTCAATTCACCTGCTCCATGAGGTAAAATATGGTAAATACCAGAAGCAAACAGCAGACAACAATGATAATGAGAATGGAGCACCAACAGTACATAAGTCCAAGTTCCAGTTTAAAAAAAAACAACAACAAAAAAACTACTCTTTACCATTTAAGTCAAATTTCTTAGAGTTTAAATGTCCTCTTAGCTTGGCACAGCCATTTACTTACACCTCAGGAAGTTCTGATGTGACTTCATTAACAACAAAAATAAACTGTCAGCTAAATCTAAACTAAACACCTCAAGTAAGAGCTGGGCGTGGATGATACCTGAGTGTACAGCATAGTTCTTTTTGTGTTGTGTTTGTCCAGTGGGCCTTGCACATTAGAACCAACCCTGTAACAATTATAGGAATTCCCAGCAGAGTACAAACAAGCTCTGGAGTGAAGTTAGGCCACCATTCAATGTACCCTGCAGAGAGATCAAGAGAGGAAAAGAGATACCATTAAATAATCCTTCAAATTGTGTGACCAAGATTTAAAACATAAAATGTACATACCTCCATTGTTAGGTGCAAGTTTAAAAACTGACCAAAATATATTTGCTAAAGGTAAAGCTGATGTTATAAGTGCCACAGTAAACACTGATGACTGACACATAATAAGGAAATGGTAGGCAGAAAATGAAAATATTAGAAAACTTGCAGCAAACATCCACCCGTATTGAGCCAGACTTCCACATGCAGGTGAGGTTAATGAAGAGTTGTTGGCAGCATCAGGTTGAAAGTGGCATAGAATAGCAATGTGGGAATTGTTGAGGAGTTCACTCCAGGAAGAACTCTGAAAATAAGAATCATGGAAATTATACTCTTACGTTATGTACAAAATAATTTTCACCACAAAACAAAACAAGGGTAAGGGAAAAGGTCACATGAATGTTACTTACCTTTCCTACAAAGTGCAACATGCTGGTCCAGAAGGAAATAAAAATAAAGAAGAAACTGACCAAGTTCACAGAAAACAAAATGCTTAGGGCTGATGGAGAGGGAGTCGAATTAATATGCCCATTCTGCCTTGCCAAACCTCCAGGCATATGTTGGTCTTCATTTCTTCTGTTCCCACTACTGTTCTCTCCAGCTCCATACTACATAAATAAAAAATAAATAAGATTAAACAACGATAAGGAACCATCTAATCTAAATGAGAAAACTTGTAACAAGAGATTCCTGGATCTGTACCTCATTACCGATGAGGGAAGGCTCACTTGGATCCCACTGGCCCTCTGGCGGGATATTACCATTCTGTGACGAGACCATGCATGAAATTGTTTCAAGAAGAGAGTTACGACTTTTGCAAGCCAGTTGATTTTCCTGTAACAAAGAGACAAAAGCTTGAATTGATTCAAAATTCAAACTAGTACACAGCTAGTTCAAGTACTGAATTGGCAAGCTCACCAAATGCATGGATACAATTTGACCTTCCAATACTGAGAAATGAAAACACCACAGTCCTAGTCCAGCGATGTAAGTTAGGCCCCATAGAAAGTGTGTAGTGCGGTTCCACTGTCCTCCATCGTCTTCTACTTTCTCACGTTCATACCCACGACAGTGAAATTCATCACATAAAGCATAGTCAACACTGACAAATAGTCCTATGACAATCGTTGTAGCACAAAATACTTTTTGAAGTCCCATGACTGCAAACGAAGGAAACAATGTAGTCAGCATAGGACTTAACGGGGAAACAAAACATTTTCAAATAGTCATTCAACTCACTTTTCTTCGAAAAGCAGAAATAATAAATCATTGAGAAAACAAGAATAATTCCTTTCATGGGATCTTGGAGGTGGCACAGCACTCTTTGGCGATCCAGAGCATACACAATGCACAGACCACCTAGGCCTTGACAGTACCCTAGTTGTAAAACGGACAACAGGGAGATGGGCGGTATCACATTCTTTTTGAAAGAGGAAAAAGAAAAGATTCGAAACTTGGCACGAATGCAGATGCACGAAAAGCTAAGAACAACCGAGGTCGCAGAGCAAAACAGTATAGATGGGTAGATGTCAGCAACTCGGGTGGACGTTTCCAAGTACAAAGGCAAGAGCACGAGCAGCGCGGTGGCTGACACCAGACACAGGACCCCCGTGCCCACAAACTCGGCTCGTTTTTTGAAACAACATTGTCTCCCGAGGCCGTGCCGGAATGGTGGACCCTGAATAACCTTCCTGCTCAGGTCCAAATAGGCGTCGCTCTCCTCCGGGGAATCGTCTGAATCACTGACGTTCACTAGTAAGTCTTCCTGCTCGTCTCCATCCATTTCACTGTCGTTTCACGCGCCAAGGGGGAAAAGAGATTTCTAACGCCTAAAGAGTCTGCACTAAAGTAATACTGATACTACAACATGTCGTCTGCTTGAGATAGATGTATTTGTTTTTTGACACTGTTGTTGTTGATAGAGCCAGAGAGCTTCTAGGACGGGAGGCCACTGCTCGGCGCTGAACTGCGCCGCGCTCTGATTGGCCGAGCCGCGTTCCCCCCTCGAGCTTCCGTCGGGCGCCAACTTTAAAGCGGGGAATTATCGATTTTCGGCTTCGGCACGACCAGACCAGGCTTTGCCGGGCTTCGCCTGGCTTTGCCAGCTTTGCCGCAGCACGGCGACAGAAACTCGCAGTAATGAGTCTTCTCCCCCCCCCCCTTTTCTCGTGAGTCCTTGAGCAGTGTCTAGTCCTCGGACTGGGAATGTGACAGTCACGGTGCCGGTACCAGGTAGAGGAATGTAGCCAGGCGCCAGGTAGGCCATAGCGACGTGTGCAAGCAGCGCGGTACAGCGGGTGGCCTACCTCAACTTCGCAGGCGCCGTGACTCAAGAAGGGGGAAGCCGGAAAAAACAGATCCATCCACGCAAAGTTGTCCACAAAATAAATTCAACTATTTTATTTGTCATAAATAGGCAGGGCTCCAACAGAAATGTTGCTTTTGCGGCAGTCCTTCTCCTTCTTCACCGCCGCCTGTTTTGGCTGTTTTGGCGGGACGCGTCCCAGCAGCGGCGGAACGTCTCCGAGAAGTCGGTGGGTGGCTGCAGCGGCGCGCGGCAGTTGAAGGGGCCCTGGAAGTGCACCCGCGCCAGGTCCAAGCAGTCCACGCGCCGGTCGCCGTCGCAGTCCTGCCGACAACCAAGAAGTGTGTTAACTTACAAGGTGTTAAGCCCTTAACAAAAAAAAATTAAAACAAAAATAACATGGCGGGGAGCTGGCTTGATTTGGATTGGAACGCCCACCGCCAGTTCGGTACAAAATTTTATCTCATCAATCACAATTTACTCTGTGACGTTATCAACCCATTTTTTCGCACTATCACTGCCCAGTCTCGGACACTGCAGTGCCGGGCCGGCCCATCCCGCGTCGCTGCGCGTCGCCAGACGCCGCGCGCACCCGAGTGACATTGATGAATGAATGAATGAATAGTAGGCAATGCTCACCTGCGCGAACCTGTCCAGGTAGCCTCGCACGGCCTCGGCGGCGCAGAACGAGTCCCGGAGGCAGTCGGAGGAAGCTGGCAAAACAAAGTCGCTGGTTACTGATGAGCGGGGAGAGAACAACGCACAGGCGCAAAAATCACAACAGCAGAAAAAAGCGAAGGCGCCACCAAATTGTTACCTGCAGGCCTGTCCACCGAGTCCCCCTTGAGCAGTGGCTTGCCGGCCAGGGTCCAGTAGCGCTTGGACAGCAAGAAGGGCCCGCAGAAGCCGCGGTCGTCGCAGCCGATGGCCTCGTCGCAGCCGCTGGCCGCCTCGCAGATGCACGGCAGGCACGACGGGTCGCTCTGCAGCACCCAGCGCCCCACGCCGGGGTCCACGAACTGGGGCTTACCTGGACAGGGGAGCCGGCAGGGTCGGACACAGTTTCTAGAACGCTAGAACCAACGCACAGTGCGCCAAAAGACCGGCGGAGGCGGTCAAAATCCCGGACGCCTTTTGAGCTCCAGGGTTGCTAAATGGGAGTCGAATCGAACGTGTGACCCCACCATTGGATTGCTCTCCAAACGAGGAATCCATTGGTGGGGTCACATACTCGGATCGAGCCCTGTTTAGCGACTCTGGAGCTCGAAACGCGTCTAGAGTTTAGGCCGCAGGCGCCGGTCCCTTGTGGCGTTGACGGGGAGGTTCACCACAAGGGGCGCGGCCAGGCGGTCACTCACCCGTGCTGTTGGCGGCCGGCCTCTGCCTGGCCTGCTGCGCGGCCTGCACGGCCTGCACGGGCACCGCCACCCGCTGCGCCTGCAGCTGCGGCTGCACCTGCTGCTCTCGCGGAGGGTCCACGGACACGACCCGCCGCTCCAGGATCACCGGCTGCGACAGCTGCACCTGCAGCCCGTCCTGCTGGAAGCCCTGGAAGCCCTGCTGCTGCAGCTGGTTCTGGATGTCCTGCACCAGCAGGAGCAGCTCTCGCTGCGAGGAGCTCTGCAGCGGCTGCAGCTGCTGGAACTGCTGCGCGACGGTCGCGGCCAGCAGCACGGCCAGCAGCAGCGCGGTCCGCGCGACGGTCGGCAGCATGGCGGCAGCGACACTGCAACAAAGTGGCGGCAGCACTGAATGGGCGAACGCGAACGCCAGCCTTTCCCAGAGCGCCGTTCGTCGAACAAACTTGGATACGTTCTTTCAACCTCCTTTCGCATCTTCCCATGCATATGGAGGAGGCGATCGTGTTCAGCGCCGCCGGCGAGTGCGAGTCCCCGGGCCGCGGGTCGGTCCTGGGCGGCAGACGTGCGTGCGGGCCACGTGCGGGGCAGTGGGCAGTGCATGCTGATTATGACCCACAAAGTAAGGCACGGCGCCTCGCGGCCCGCCGTGCAGTGGAGCCACTACCAGAGATGGCGCCAAGGCCAGCGTGCCCTGGCGGCCGCCTCGCCTAGCCTCGCCTCCAGCGCGCTCCAGGCTCCAGCGCGCGTCCTGGAGGCTGATCTGCATGTCAGCCCGGGGCAGTGTGCTGGCCTGGCTGGCCTGGCTGGACTTCCCTGCCTCACGCATCGGCCGGGCCGCCGGGCCATCCGTCGTCCTGCCGGATGTGCTGCTTGGCGGACGGGACGGACAGGCGGACGGCGAGATAGAGCCGCGCGGATGGCTGCCACTAAATCGCGCGTCGCACAAATCGCACAGCACGCGGCAGTGCGGCCCGGCGTGATCGTCGCCTGCTAGATTGCCGCGCATTACCGCGCCTGCAGACTGACTCCGAGGGGCGTTTTCGACTCTGTCTCTCTCGCACCTATACGGGGCCACCGATGAGTGCGAGAGAGACAGAGCGACGAAAACGACTCTCGGAGTCAGTTTGCTGCACCCGGCTTAGGCTGTGGCGTGGCGCCTTGGCCCCGTGGGTCCTGGTGGTCCTGGCTGCCAAATGACTCAGTGCCATAGGCCACGCGCGCCCGGGCCGGGCCGGCGAAGGAAGCTAGACATAATGACAATAACAAGTGGGGCAAAGGCAGAGCAGCGAATCGCAGCAGCCAGGCCTGCCAGGCCGAGGCCGGGAGTGGGCCACGCACTATTATGTCGCGCCACAGGTGCAGCCGGCAGACTGATTCCGGAGTCGTTTGCGTCGCTCTGTCTCTCTTGCACTCGTGGGGCGTTCCGCGCAGGTGCGAGAGAGACAGGGCGACGAAAACGACTCTCGGAATCGGTCTACATAGAGCCGTCAGCGCGGTGCGGCGTGTGCCAAGGCTCCCCTGCTTTCGGCTGGGACAACTCAACGCGCCAGAGGAACAAAATAAATCCACACCCCGGCGGGAGTTGAACCCGGGGAACGCCGCTGGAATCGTGATCGGCGTGTGTGTTGTGTGTTCGAGATGCCGCGCATGTCGCTGGCGTGGGCGCGTGGCAGTGTGGCGGCGTGGCGTGGCCGCCCTTTCCGCCGCGTCCTTACTACACGCTCGTTGTCCACGTTGTCCACACCCACCACGCCCCGCCCCGCCCCGCCCCGCCACGCCTGGTGCTGAATGGATTACTCAATGGCGATGGCTGCCTCTCGCGCACTCTCGCGCCGCCTCGGCCCGTCGGCCTGGCCGCCTCCCTTAGCCCGTCACGGCAGCCCGCGGCAGTGTATGTGCATTAGAGAACCTTGGCGAAGCGAACTTGGATAAACAAAGGCGATGTTATCTCCGCCAGGTGGGCGGGGCCTGGGGCAGCTTGGGGCCTGTCGCCCCATTCCGAAGGCATCGCTTCGTCGCTCTGTCTCTCTCGCACTCGCCCAGCGTCCCGTACAGGTGCGAGAGAGACAGAGCGACGAAAGTGTCCTTTCGGCATGGAGGCGGCCGGCGACGCGACGCACGTCGGTGACGTCGACGTCGAGCAACACGCGCGCCCCCTGCACGACATCGGTGCCGCGCGGTGCCGCTGAGGCAACAGCAACGGCATGTCGCCCTATGCCGTTGTCGCCGGCGTCGCCGCGCGCGACTCCGTATCGCACAGGACGCGACGCCGCGACGCTCCATCGACCTCACTGCACTGCGGACTGCGGTAAGGTCGCGGCGGGGCCAACAATACCACTACACCGGTACACCAGCCGCACCAGCGCACCTACACCGAAAGACGGGCCGGCATCGCCAATCCCGCGATAATTGCCCGGCCAGCCGATAATCGGGCGTCCGCGCGCCAATCGGCCCGACCCGAACAATGATTGCGAAAAAGGGAAAACGAAACCTCATTTCCTCGCGTCTCGCCGCGACTCGCGTGTGATTGCAGCCGGGCCGGCATCATCCCCGCCAATTACAGGATTACAGGGCGGCACACACACACACACACACACACACACACACACACACACACACACACACACACACACGACGCCGAGGCTGGGAATGGACAAGGCGGCCTTAAGGTCTCCGGTGTAGCCCGTAATGGTAATGGTAACGAGAGCGGTAGGCAACCCGTTGCACAGGGGTGGTCGGCGGGACTGCCTGCCGACTAGGCGATTGCGATTGCGATTAATGGCTGGACCACGCGCTCGGCTTGAGACTGGTTCCGAAGATCGGCTTATCGTCGCGCTGTCTCTGTCGCGCTGACGGGGCGTTCCGTGGCGCTGCGAGAGAGACGGGACGACTGGACGACTCTTCGAGACAGCTCGGCCCAGGCTCGAGCTCGAGGCACCGGTGGAGCGGGTTGGAGCTTGTCGCGGCAATAACCGCCCTTCATCACGCTGCCGCGGCTGCCGCAGCCTGCTGCAGCACTCGGGGGCCCTCGACGACCCCCTCGCCCTCCCCGCATAACGAATGCGCCCCCGGGGCCCCCCGGGCCATTAGCATCACGAAGAGGATAGGGCACACCGCGGGCACGGCCGTGGTAGGCCCTGGCACGGCACGACGTGACCGAACAAAGGCATGACTCCGCGTCACTGTGTTACTGTACCTCTATGCACTTGCAGTGGCGCGGTGGCGCGGTTCCGGGGGCACTTTCCGGGAATCACAGCTTTCGAGAGTCACCACTGGCGGTCGTTCCCGGGCGGCATCCGCAACGTCGGCGCGCCGTGTCGTGTCGCTGCTCTTGACCTTTCTCCCTTTGGCTGGCCGTCGTCCTCGTCACTCGCGCGGCGCTCTACCCGCGGCCAGTCACTGCTTCATGGCGGCGCGGCTCGTCTCGGAGTGCAGGGCGCGCGGGGCACTCCGCCATTCATACCGGCGACGTGCAGACTGGAGCGCGGCTGGAGCGCCGCTGGAGCCGCCGGAGTGGGAGGAGCTGCTGGGCCGACCCCGCCGCGCCGCGCCGCGCCGCCAAAGCACTGTGGAGGTGTGTCCGGTCGGGGCGGACGGCGGACACACCGCGGACGCGGCGGACTGTCACAAGGGTCCCCGCGGACCACTCGCAATTAACAATTGACACAAACCATTCCCCCAGCCGCGTGTCCAGAGGCAGGGAGCGGCTTCGCGCGTTCCCGTTAGCGAATCGCGTCGTCGCCTTCAGACCGCACGTCGCAGCGTCGCCCCCACGGGGCTGCCATATCGACATGACCCGGACGAGGCGCGCGAACCGGCTGCTCATGTCCTGCCGTTTTACGACCGCCGTTAGCTTCGCAACGGGACACCTTGTTTATTGTAATTTTCTCGGAAAATAAAACACGGTTTGGGCAGCCGTGCTGTCCCCGGTGGTGGTTCCCTTGGTTCCCTCCGTCCGACACTGAAGTGTGACACGACACCAGCAGACCGATTGCTAGTCGTTTTCGTCGCTCTGTCTCTCTCGGGCCTGTGCGGGACACCCCATGAGTGTGAGAGAGACAGGTCAGGCCGCAGAAGCAAAAGCGTGCCACACTTGGCGGCCACATGGTCGGGTTTTGCATTTAGCATTTAGGTCCACGTTTACGAGCGGCTTGCCCAGGCTTGCCGCGTCGCGCAGCTCAAGGATGCACTCGGCGGGTACTCCACCCGGCAGGCTGCTCCGTCTCTCTCGCACCCCTACGGGACGCCCCATGAGTGCGAGAGAGACAGAGCCACGAAAGCACTGTTCGGAATGTGCCTCTTTCTTTCCGGCAGAGGACGTTATTGTTCTCTTAACGATCGCTGCATGCCGCATGCGATTCACGAGCGGAAAACACCGCGGAGGTCCGGCCGCCCAGGCCGCCCCGCCTCGTGCTTTCGCGCCCCACGTTGACACACGTTTTTTCGGCCGTAAATGTTGGAGGCGTGAGTCGCCGAGGGCTGCTGCACTCCGGGGAATTCTATCGGCCGATTCCCGCGACGCTATTGGTCGTGAGTCGTGAGTCACGGGGGGACCGGCTCGGCTCGGCATACCGCCTCCACGACGGCCAAGCGATCCGCGCGCCGCTGCCACCGCTGCCCAGTGTCCAGGAGCCGGGCTCGGCCACTCTGCCCACGCCTCGGACGTGGTCTAGACTTGGCTTGCCTCTGCCTCGCTGTGTGCGTGCGTGTGTGTGTGCCCCTGCTGCCTAGAGTGTCCCACGCACCGATCGTCTTCTTCGCAGAAAGTGGGATTCCGATTCCGCGGGCAGTGAGGTGGTGAGCACGCGGCACGCCCATACAAGGAGACGGCGCGCCCGTGGGGTAGGCAGCCCGTCGGGCGGCCCGCCGCGACGGCTCGGCCTACCGGGGCGCTGCAGGCGGCGTGCCCTCGCCGTGGGAGTGCCGAGGAGTGCCCGGCGCCAAGGGCCTTCCCTTCCCTTCCGTCCCTGGGCCAAGGCCACCAAGGCCGCCAAGGCCCAAGGGCGGCGAGGACCGCGGAGCAGCCTGATGGTGATTGCACCACGACTTTGCGCTGGCTGAGGGCAGGCGGCAGGCCAAGTTCAGTGTCAAGCTCAAGTGGAGGCGGGAAGGCGGGACCGGACCGGTGGGGGTCTAGGCCACGGTCCCCGTGCCGCCGCTCTGGGCCCGCGGTGAGGTGGCGGCGGAGGCTCACGGGGCCCAGCACCGTGAGAGTGTCGCCTTCTGGTGGCCAGGTGCATCCAGACGGACAGACGTGAGCAGTGGCCCAGCAAGTCCGGCATGCAGTCCGACGCCTTTTGTCGTGTCTAAATGTGCCTGTCGCATCAGCGCCTGTTCCCACCTCGCGGCCTCGCTCCAATCCACGCACCCACACTTCCCGCCGCGGTCCGCAGTCGTGCTGCATTTTCCGGACGGCGACAGTTTAGTTTAAAAATAGAAAATGGGTCTCGACGTGTGCCGAGCGGTTCACACGAATCCGAGCACATTGTCTTTGTTGAGTAAATTTCCTAGTTTTGAGCTTTGCCGCTGTTCGTTCTTGGGTCCACCGTAGAGTGAGGCAGTAGCAGGGGTGTTAGGGACAGTAGTTTCTATTAGCATAGAATATTTTAATGTAGTACAAAAACAAAATCAATAACAATCAATAAAAATAATCTAAAAAAGTCCAACACTACATTTGACAGTTGTGTGGCCATCGGGGAAAGGGTGTAACGTCTTTTATGTTGGTGATGTTGAGTAAACATTGCAAATACCTTTCAAACCCCAGACCAAACCCACCAGTGCTAACATTGCCAAATCTACGCAAATCGGTGTACCACGACAGCGTCTCTTCCACTCCCAACTTCTTCATCCTGGAAGACAAGATCTGTGGATCATTTTCCCTGACACTTCCTCCACAAAGTTCACCAACAATTGGCACCAGAAGATCCAAAGCCTCCACCTGCAAAATAAAGAAATTTTTTATGTCCATTAAAAATTGACATAACATTTTAATTTAAATGTTATGAAACCATCCCCTACCATTGATCCATCTTTTGATGCTTTCATGTAAAAAGCCTTTAAATGGACTGGCCACTCAATGACAAATATTGGTCTATTTTTATTATGTTTAACAAGATAAAGCTCATGTTCTTTGGTAAGTCCATCTTCAAATTTAGGCATTGATTTGAATTTATTTTTAGAACTAGACAGGATGTCCATAGCTTCTCTGTAAGTCATGATGGTGTATGGTGAACTTGAAAGGAAAGTTTTCTGAATATTTTCTACATCTAAAGGATCAGCCTGCAAGAAAAATTATTAATAGAAATCATAAATAAAATCAAGATAAAAAGTCATCAAGCATTAAATTTTTTCTTTTAATCTTACCTCATACTCCACAACATCTCGTGCACTCTTTTTCTGTTGGATTTGAACATTTCTCACGGATTCTAAATCAGCCATACTTGAGTCTAACAAACATTGAGTTACATTTCTAAGCATCTTTTCAATGGTACTTATTACAGTTTCTATACTGTTGTTATATAGAATTTCTTCAGCTTCCAACATGTAAAATTCTGCTAAATGTAATCGTGATTTTGAATTTTCGGCCCTAAATGTTGGCCCGAATGTATAAACATGACTGAGACCCCTGAATAAAAGAAATTTTAGTTTTTAATGCTTGGAAATACATATGTGTCAACAGGAAAAAAATTGAGACAAAAAATACTGATGACGCACCTTACTGCAGCTTCTAGGTGCATCTGTCCAGACACGCTTAAATAAACTTTGGAATTAAAGAAAGCACACTCTTGAGATTGTCCTTCTTTAGCCATTTGCTTAAGGAGTTCCTGGTTGTTGGGTTTCACTGAGAAAACCTCTCCTGCACCTTCACAATCACTTGATGTAAGAATTGGTGCATTCACTTCGTAAAATCCTTCAGCATTCAAATGGTTACGAAACGCAGTGGCAGCATTGCTTCGTAATCTCAACACAGAGCTAAATAAATTAGTACGGGGACGGTACAGAAGTTTCTGACGGATGTATTCCATTGAATAAGTTTTCCTAGGGGCAAATGGGTAACCATCTTCAAGATTGCAAGGTCCGATCAGTTCCACAGATTCTGCCAACAGTTCTATTTGGCCTTTTTTTCCAAATGACTGGACGATCCCATCAACTTTAACAGATGCTCCAACATCAATCTGAGGCGGTACTTCGTTTGTTACAGCAATCTGAAGTTTTTCAGAAGAAGATCCATCGGAGACATCAATGAAGGTAACCAACTTCATTTTACGCTTTGACTTCACCCAACCCTGCAATCAAAATGAGAAACGAACTTGGATCAATAATATCATACTCTGAAATTTTTTTTAGAAATAAATTAAAGCATTACAAAAAAACATTTGTCATTCCAGACTGATATCTAACCTGTACCGTCATCCGACTTCCCACTGCTTTCGATTCTAACAGAGCAGCAATTTTTGTGAATGATCGACAATTTTGCCTCACACAAGAATTCATAAAGGCGGAGCATTTTCTTTGATGACAACGGCGAAGAAAACTCATTTTGATTTTGATTGAGTGAAATATATCCTCAGCGAATGAAGCTGTCCAATTTTATAGCAGACACTTCTGATCAAAACAAGCGCGTTGCGGTCTTACCAACCATACAACTTCAACATGCCTCTACCCACTTGTCTAAACGTCTGAACTCATTCGTCTGCAGGGTTGAAGTATAGTTGAAAAATCCTCAAAGAATAAATTATTTTGAATTTTTGCATTATCTTAGAGTTTGCAACGATTTGGCACCCGTCATGAGGCAAGAATGCTACTGCCATAAACACTCTGGTTGAGTGTGTGAAAACTGTCTTCAGACCAAGCCAACGCAGACGTCGGAAGAGAACGCGGTTGTGAAACAATGGAGGAAAACTGAAAAGTCCTCTGAGAATCGATCCTAGTAATGTGCTGTTCAAGACCAGATAGTGACGCTTTAAAAAGATTTTATTTGGAACCAAGTACTGCCGCTTTTGAAGCGAAATCCAATGCCTAAAATGAATGTGATTCCAAGTTGGTGAAGTGCTCCCAGTGCTGTGGCCTTCCAGGCGAAAATATGCCCAGAACCAAGCTTTTACGTGATAGCCTAGCGTAGGCTGTCTGTCGGCGACTGGTGTTAAAAGCCAGCTTACACATTTGCGGATATTCCAGTGTAAACATCAAACCAATTTTCTTCTAAAATGCGAGAGTAAGTTCTTTTCCATCGAAATCGGTCTGCTCACGCTGAAGGTCACGATAATATGGCTTTTGAGCGGTCTGTTTGTTGGTCCGCTCTGTCCGATGTAAACAGCCCGGCGTCGTGTGCTTGTACTTAAATGTAAACATGACCTTTTTTTTGAGGTATGGACCTACTCCAAATATGTTTAAGCAGTGCTCACGATTTAAATTGGTTAAGTAGAAGGGTTTGAAATGCACTGGGCGTCTGGAAGATCGCTAGGTAACCTTCACTGTTTACTTCCAGGGGTCCCCCAACACACCATGACATTTTCGTCTAATTGATTCATTTCTTCTACCCAGAGGTTCAATTATACGCTTTGCCTATTCTAGGTCACGTTTGCGACTGCAATATCTCGTTATTCAGCCCATCGTGATGAGTTTTGGTGCACCTTGACTAGTATAACCTCACTTAATTTGCATACCAATTAACTATTTTCATTCAAGTGCTTCTTATTGTCAAAGGTGTCTCCAGTGATGATTTAAAATGCAGCTCGAGCTCTTACTGGGCCTTACTTTTATTCCTGAGCATATTATCCCTTCAGTTGCTTGTCATTTGATAAAACTAAATAGCTAAAAAATAATTACATTTTCAGATAGACTTGCTAGGTGTTTTGTGGTGGTAAACAAATGGTGTGAGCTGATTTAATATATTATCTTTATGTTTCTTTGCAGGTGCTAGACTCTCAAACTGGCAAGTGACATGTCTGCGTCCGCGCAGGGTGAGGCTCATGCCCCCCCAGCAGCTCCGGGGGCAGAGCCCAACCCATATGTAAGTATTGTCGCACTGGCTGTCAGTTCTAATCATAAGACTATGCTCAGTTACATTCATGAATGTCTAAATGTGTTGTTATAAATATATGTAAATGAACATAGTAATGTATGGCCCACAATTGTCTAAGACTATGAGGGGTTAATGTACTTTTTCTCTCTGTTCAGGCGCGGTTGCCAGATTACCGACCAGACTTCACGGGGCTGCCTCCAGATCCAGAATTTTCAAAAGAACGAGAGGAGGTTCGCTGGGAACCAGGAATGGCTCTTGACGCTGACTTAATTATGTACTTGCGAGCTGCTCGCTCTATGGCTGCTTTTGCGGGAATGTGTGATGGAGGATCACCAGATGATGGATGTGTTGCTGCATCAAGAGATGATACCACCATCAATGCGCTGGATGTGCTCCATGACTCGGGCTATGATCCAGGAAAAGCACTGCAAGCCCTTGTGAAGTGTCCTGCACCAAGAGGAATTGACAAGAAGTGGTGTGAAGAAGAAACGGTATGACATATTTTAATTGCAATTATATTACTATTTCATCATGTCTAGTGTTGTGACTCAATTTATTGTATTTTCTTTTCCTTTAGAAACGATTTGTCAAGGGGCTCCGTCAGTTTGGCAAAAATTTCTTCAGGATACGGAAGGATCTGCTCCCTCACAAGGAAACTGTATGTGTTTTGTTTCATTTATTTTCAGTATCTTGTTTCTTGTTTTCACTTGTTTCAAGAATATTTTCTTTCTGTTTGTAGCCTGAACTAGTTGAATATTATTATTTGTGGAAAAAGACCCCTGGTGCCAACAATAATAGGCCACACAGACGGAGGAGAGCAGGTTCTCTACGCCGTGCCAGAACTACCCGAAGTACTCGTTCTGGAACTCCCAAGGAAGAGCAAGGTCAGAACTGTTTTATTTTCTTTTTCTTTTCCCTGAATAATTTCTAATGTTTGGACGGAGCTGCTCCCAAATTATCACCTCTGATGAAACTAATACCCTCCACTTTTCCATGATTGTTGTTGTTGTGCCTGTCCCAGCATTTGCTTACGCCAGGCTGGCATGGCTGACCTAGCTGCTTGCTAACAACAAACCTAACTTGTTTTGTTTGAGAAGCACGCAAGTCTTTGCATAATTGTCAAACCTTCAACTAACAACACCCCTGCATGCTGCTGCGAGGGAACCAATTTATTAATTAATTTAAGACAAAAAGAAAAAAACACAGCTGTTAAATTTGCCAATTTCTTTTAAATTTTTTTCTGAATAAGAGCATTTTAACATTTGTTTTGCACTTTTCCTACAATCTAATGCCATTATCTTCTCTGAGCATTTGTAAAAGAAGTCTTCGTTTGGTGTTTGAATAAAATGAAGTTAAATTTAAAAGCCTTTAATAAACAAAATATTTTATAATGTAGTGTTTAAGCTTGACCTCTTTCCATCCCTGCTAATTTTGCTTGCTTTTTGCTTTGCGCTTGTCACTTGATCATGGGACTCATGTTTATTGCTCCGGCAGTTGATGAGAGTGCCGGTGTTGTTGCAGCAGCAGGTGCACGGCCATCACCCAATCCCAAGGAGTCAGGTGAGTAAGACCCTTGTCTGTAGTGTAGTGCCCCTTCCTGTCCTGTGCCTGGAGATACAAGTGCAATTGCCCTGGCCATTTTTAAAAATGGGAATCTCAGGAGTTGGAATGGGAGATAGGAGCTGGATGACTCACAATCTCTTAAACAACACATTTTGAACTTTGGTTCCATGTTTTGTTTGTTCAGGTGATGAGAATTCTGGCAGTGAGGAAGAAAATGAAGAAGAGGATGATTCTGACTCAAGAGATCGAGAAAATTCTGATCAATGTCATCACTGCCTGCAACGTAAGTGTCGTAGTTTTGTAGATGACAGTCTTGCTGCAAATCTACTGTTTTCTTAATCTTTATATTCTGTTTCAGGAACCACAGATCTTGCTCCTGGTGGAACCAAGGATCGACCGTTGCTATGTGCAGATTGTCGGGCTCATTTGAAGAAGTCGGGAGAATTGCCCCCTTTGCCTCCCAAAGGGAATGGTGATAGTAATCGAAGTGATGCTCCATATTTATTTAGACCTGTTCAGACTGATAGTCCTGATGGTTCCCCTAGCCGCATGCGTACCAGAAACAAAAATGCTGCCACTGCCAATGAGGTTGGTACAGAAATGTCTTCTATTGCCACTTTCTCATGAGACAAACCTCTTATTTTTTTCTTGAATTTTAGACTGGTTCAAGGCCTGCCAGGCCTAAGAGGAGTGGAACATCCACTCCAGACAGTGAATTGGAGAAGAAAACAGGGTGTAAGAGTCCAGGAGCATCAAGCTCCAACTCTGGATCAGGTTCACCTAGCGATAAATCAAAGAAAAAGGTCATTACAGTTCTCACTCACTCCTTCCTTTCCTTACAAGAAATGGATGAAATGAATAAAATACCAAAGCATTTTGAATTCCTGAGTGCACTAATAAAGAAATTTATATCTTTTTAGAAACTGGAGACACCAACCAAAGGGAAGAAACGGCCACCCATTGATTTGGATGGAGATGAAGAAAAGGACTCCAAGCGGAAGAAAGGAGATAGACCAGAGGTACCTTTCCTTAAGTTTCTTTTGAAAACAAAAGATTATTTCAATTATGTGCATAATCTTCTACATAATGAATGTGTTCCCATACAGAGTCCTTCAGAGAGTCTCACCACTGATAGTGGGTCAGTGGCTGACGATGGCGACAATGACAATGAAGTGGAAGGGGGTGATTCAAACGCAGACATGACAGACAACAAGGCAGCGGTGAAACTAGATCCAGACAGCAAGGCTGGTATCAAACTAGAGGACGTGAAGCCTGTGGTCGGCGAGACTAAACCGGACCTTCCATTGAAAGTGGAAGACATGAAGGACGCAGCACTGCTCAATATTAAGAAGGAAGAGGGCCTGATTGGCTCCATGCCGCCCATGATGAATGTCGGCCTGACTGTGATGCCCGTGTCCACCTCCACCGACAACCACTTGTGCAAGGACGACCCGGCAGTGCCGATCAAGCTGGAGCCGGGAGTCAGCAGGCCAGAAGAAGGCCAAGTGCAGTTCACGATGCCAAACCCACTGCCCAATCCGAACTCACTGCCTGGGCCCAACTTACTGCCCGGCCACAACCCTCTGCCGGGGTCAATGCCTGGGCAGATGTCCGCACCCCACCCACAGGTATGCGATAGTGTAGTGAAGTGTCACTTGTCTCAGCGCTTTGTTGAACATCTAGATTTCTAACCTTTGTCTCTCTTTTGCAGGTGCCTGGTATGCTCCCTGGGTCCATTATTGGCCTATCCCTCGGCCCCCAAGGAACACAAATCAATGGGCAGACCAACCAACAAAACCAGAAATCAAGCCAGAACTCTCAAGGGCAACAGCAGCAACAACAACAGCAACAACAGCAGCAGACTCCTCAGCAATCGTCTCAACAGTCCGCCCAGCAGTCTGGCACGCCAAGCCAGAGCCCTCCCGGCGGACCATCCGGCCCGTCCGGCCCCTCTGGTCCGTCGGGCCCTCCTGGGCCTCCTGGGCCTCCCGGTCCACCAGGACCACCAGGACCCCCCGGACCTCAAGGCCCTCCTCCTGGCCAGGGCCCCACTCCAGCGTCTCCCCTGCAGCCGCAGCAAACTCCGTCCTCCCCCGGGCAGCCCGGGCAGCCCGGCCAAGCGGACAGCAAGACCGCGCCCACGTCCAACGGGCCGACCAGTGGGCAGGCCACGCCGGGGCAGTCGCCTGGCGAGACCAACACCAACGGCAAGGCCAACAGCCCCTCAGGGCAGCCCGGCACGCCGTCGTCGGGGGATGGCGACAAACCCTCTCTACCACCCACGCCCGGGCAGCAGACCAGCCCTGCACCCACTCAGGATGGCCCGGACGGCCAGACGTCCTCGCCAGACTCCGCCAAGCCCAGCGACGCGGAGAAGTCACCCTCGGACGAAAAGGAGAAGGGTCCGGCCAGTCACCCTGGTTCGCTGTCCGTTGGGGGTCCTCCCTCTGGGCCTCCGGGTCCGCCTGGACCTCCTGGGCCGCCAGGGCCTGCAGCGCCAGCAGGGCCAGCGGGGCTGGGCATGCCGCCAAGGCCTCCGCTCGGGTCCAACTTGCTGGGTATGCCTCCGGGAATGCCCCCGGGACTGCCTCCGGGAATGCCCCAGGGAATGCCTCCGGGGATGCCCCCAGGAATGCCTCCGGGGATGCCCCCGGGAATGCCTCCGGGAATGCCGCCTGGAATGCCACCTGGAATGCCACCAGGCATGCCGGGCGTGCCGCCGGGTGGACCTCCGGGCATGCCGCAGGGAATGGGTGCGCCTCCGGGCTACCCTTACCTTACGCCACAACAGCAGGCGCAGTACCAGCAGTACCTGCAGCAGCAGTGGGGCGGCGCCGGCCTGCTGTCTCAGGCGGGGCCGCCGAACTCGGCTACCGTGCCGACTTCGGCTCCGGCCACAGTCTCGGCCTCTGCCACTAGGAGCAGCACGCCGACGTCCGGCCCACAGTCCGCTCCCGGCACCCCTGGCGCGCCAACGCCTGGCACGCCCGGACACCCCGGCAGCACGCCCACTCCAGGCAGCATGGCCCCCAACGGCATCCCTCCCAGCCCCCTGCCCGGCCTGCCCGGCCTGCCGCCCAGCGGACTCCCTCCTGGCGCCATGCCTCCCATGCCTGCTGGCGGCCTCCCCCCTGGTCCCTTGCCGCAAGGCGCGCTACCCCCGGGGTCCCTGCCGCCAGGCGGCCTTCCCCCTGGCTCCTTGCCGCCCGGAGCCCTCCCCCCGGGCTTGCCCTCCAGCATGATGCCCGGCGCTTTGTCTGGTGCTGCCGGCCCCCAGTCCGAGCCACAGAACCTCAAGATAAAACAGGTAAACTTGACTTCACCGTCGTGTCCCCGCGGTAACTCGTTCCGTCTAACGCGCTCTGCTCTTCCGCCCTCACAGGAAATCACCACCCCCACCGAGCCCCTGCCACTCACGCCCATGACGGACCCGCTGCAGTCGCTCAAGGACGTCAAGGTGCCCGGCTACACGGGCCCCCCGCTGGCAACCCTGGACTCGATCAAGACGGAGCAGCCGGACCCACCGACTCACACCAGCGCCCCGCCGCCCAAGACGCCCCCCAACAAGCCGCGGTCCGTGACCCCGACGGACGCGTCGCGCCCCGTCAACACGCCGCCGTCGATGCCGCGCGCGCCGTCGACGCACACCCCACCGGTGCACCCGGCCAACCTGGCGGCCAACCCGCCCACGTCCATCCCCCAGCCCGTGATGCATCCGTCGCAGCAGCCGTCGCCGCTCAACCGCATCTCGCCCGGCCACCACCTCGCGCACCCGCACGCCTTCGTGGCGCCCATGCACCACCCGCACCACCTCATGTCGCCGCATCCTCTGCTGACCGCGGCCGCGCTGCACAGCGCCGGCGTGCCGCACCCCTACGCCCACGCGCACCCCTACGCCGGGTACGCGTACTCGTTCCCCTACGCGTACCCCATCCCGCAGCCCGTGCCGCCGCCGTCCAGGATGCACGAGCCGCCCAAGCCGCCCACGCCGCGTGACGGCTACCCGGACAGCGCCGCCATGCTCGGCGGCATGCAGAGGAGGGAGTCTGCCGCGGAGGAGGCGGCGGCCGCGGAGGCAGCGTCGGCGGCCCACCACCAGTCGCACGGCCACCACGGCCCGCAAGGCCCCCACGGCAAGATGCCCAGCCAGCACTCCAGCTCGCAGCACAAGACCAGCAACAAGCGACCCGCCAGCCCCGGCGGCCCGCCCACCTCGGGCTCGCACGTGTCGGGCTCCATGTCGCAGACGACGCAGTCCATGTCGACCAGCCACGGCGGCCACCACCCCCACCACCCGATGCACGCCTCGCCCAGCCCCGGCAACAAGATCCACCACCCGCTGCCGTCACACCTCCCCGCCCACCCCGGCCACCCAGGCCACCCTGGACACCCAGGCCATCCTGGCCACCCGGGCCACCCCGCCTTCTCGCCCATGGGGTCCTCCCTGGACGCCCTGCGCGCGCACGCCCAGGCCGCCGCCAACATGCAGCAGCAACAGCAGCACGGCGTGCACCGCCACGAGGACGGCCTCAAGGCCGAGGACGGGGACCACGGCGACGAGGACGAGGTGCCCAGCCCCACGCACATCCCCCGCGGCCCCAGCCCCGAGCCCAAGATCGAGGACGCCGAGTGCCACCGCAGCCAGAGCGCCATCTTCCTGCGCCACTGGAACCGCGGCGACTTCAACTCGTGCTGCCGGACGGACCTCACGTTCAAACCCGTACCTGACTCGAAGCTGGCGCGCAAGCGCGAGGAGAAGCTGAGGAAGCAGGCCGAGAAGGAGAGGGAAGAGAGAGAAAAGGCTGAGGCTCGGAAGAACGCGACCCCCGAGAAGCCGGACGGCAAGCCGCCCTCGCGAGGACCCATTGAGACCGTGACGCCCCCGTACGACAGGTTCGGTCCCCGGCCGGGCTATCCCGACACCCCCGCACTGCGGCAGCTCAGGTGGGTTTACGCTCCGCACTGATATGACATGTGTTTTCTCTTTTTCTCGCTGTTGACCGTCGCGTTCTTGTCTTGCAGTGAGTACGCCAGGCCGCATGCCGGCTTCTCTCCCGGGGCGCTTCAGCGGTCCGCCGCCCTGGGTATCCCTCCGCACTGCATGGACCCCCTGATGCAGTACCAACTCAACATGTACGCTCCTGGGGCACGTGAACGGTGAGGAACATTTTGAGTCGTTGGAAGTGCTTCCTGCGGCTCTGGGAGGATGTGGAATACTTACTTTCTGAAGTACTGTTTATCCTAACCGATTCTTTCATCGTTGAACAGAATGGAACTCGAGGAATTGGACCGTCAGAAACGGGAGAGAGAACTGAGAGAGTTGCGTGAGCGAGAATTAACTGACCGACTGAAGGAGGAAATGATGAAGAGTGCCGCAGCAGGAGCCGGCGGTCCCAGACACCCTGGCCAACTTGATCCCCATTGGCTAGAACTACATCGCCGGTACGTCTTCTGTGCTTCAAATCTTTCTAGGTATTTTTTGCATAATGTTCTCTAAACTTCACTAATTAAATTTGGCGCACTTCGATTGAACAGGTACACGGGTTTGGGAGCGGGCGGACCACCTCAGGGCCCTGCTTCGTTGCACCAGTTTGGTCTGTACCCACCCCAGGGACCAGGCGGCCTACCGAGTTCGCTCAGCAATAGTCTCAACCAGTTGGAGCGGGAGCGGCTGGAGAGGCTAGGTACTTGTTTGCATGGTTTTTGTCGCTGAAACTTGATAGACTTGAAGGGTAACTGCAATACTAGCCGTTTCCACTTTCTCTTTTCCTCTTTTGCTATTTACATTTTAGTCTTTTTGAAATTGTTCTGTTTCAAGCTTTGAAATTGCAATTTCAGTAATTGATCTTGAGTGTGCTTTCGTCTTTGATGCCTTTTGTGTGTATTTTTGTATCTGTATATTGCTCGTAGACTTTAGAGCCTTAGGAAGCATCACAGCAGGGACGAAGGAAATTGGAAGGGGGGGGGGGGGGAGGGAGGGAGGGTTTTTCTCCTAGCCATCGTTGGGGAGCTTTAATTTTTTTCGGGTGCTCTACGGCGTTACCGGGTGAGGCGCAATAAATTCAGTACTGAGTGAGTTGTGGTGGTGGTGTGCACAGGACTCCCCGGCCACGGCGGGGCTGGGCCACCGCCCCCGACCAGTTCAGGTTCCCCAGTGGGCCCCCAGGGCCCTCACCACCCGGCCCACCAGCACGGCCATCCCGGCCACCATCCCGGCCACCATCCCGGCCCCATGCACCCCGCCCTAGGCGCGCAACTGGAGGCTGTGGTGGCGGAGCGGCAGGCGGCTGAGAGGCTGGCCCTGGCCCAGGACCCCATGGTGCGCCTGCAGATGGCCGGCGTGACCATCTCGCCCGAGTACCACCACGCCCATGCTCACGCCCACGCCCACACACACTCACACGCTCACTCGCACACACACTCTCACGCGCACACGCACCTACACCTGCACCCCGGGCAGCAGGCGCATCAGGCGCAGCAGGCGCATCAGGCGCAGCAAGCTCAGCAGGAGGCCGCCGCGGCCGCCGCGGGATTCTCCCTGCCAGGTGAACAGCAGTGAACGGAACGGACGGCCGGGGTGCGGCGGCAACGGGGGCTGGGGTGGGGGTGATGTTTGCAAGGGCAGTCAGCATTCTGGGGTCGGTTTGGTGATACGATGTTCGAGCAGTGCTTGGGGGACCAGAGGGACGTGGTGACTGGCTTCTAAGCAGCGGTGGCCACCCTCTGGAAGAGGGGGCGCCTGCCTTTCGTTTCTTTTGCAAACGTAGCCACTCTGTGCATGGTAGGCTGCAAACTAGCCAGTGAATGGATTGTTTCGCTTGATCACGTGTCTTCGGTTTCTAATTGCGAGAGTGTAGCAGTAGTGTATAACATGATTTTATCAGTAGAACTTGACTTGATTTTATGTTGGATTCTATTCTTCTTTAGTCTAGTTGTATTAATTTTCATTCATTGTATTGTGTTAATTAACCAGTCCATTTTCCTGTTCTGTGACAATCCTCCCTAATTTTGCTTTCTGTTTTGTTGCATCCTCAGCAGTAGGTTATCCTCGGCCAGGGCTAATGCCGTCCCGTGAAGCCATGGGCATGCACCATCCAAGTGATCTACTCGGAAGACCTTATGCTGACCAACTAGTGCATCAGGTACTTCTCCTTTTAAATAACAAACTTATTTCATTTCTTTTCCTTTTTTGTCTGTTCCAAGTTTTATAAACGGCCTCTAATTCAATCCTTGTTCTCTAGCAGGTTGCTGCCCATGAACAGCTTCAAAGGCAACTGATGATGGAGAGAGAAAGATTTCCTCATCCATCCATACATGACGAGTACCTGAGGTGAAAGTCTTGCATTGTTATTTGATTAATATAATACTTACCAAGTGCATTTGATAAATTATGTGATCATGGTTTAGGCAACAACGTGAGCGCGAAATGAAAGTCCGACAATTAGAAGAGGCAGCTCGAGGTTCTCGCCAATGAGATTTGACTGTAAGTTCAGGGTTCCCTTTCCTTTTTTTTTTTTTTTTAATCCTTTCAAACATAGTTTTTTTTTTGCCTACTTTATATTTATATTCCTATCTCTTTCCAGGTTTAAAAATGAACTCCTGCAGTCAGTTGTACTGTATCTTTACAATCCCAGCTTGTGCGTGATCGCTCAACATATTTATAGTAATCTTTAATTAAAGCTTATATAGTTGCTTTTATATAAATCACATTATTTCTAGATCCTTTTTATCATAGCTGTGTACAGTGATTATGAATGTATCTGTATAACTATTTAATTTAATTAATTTTGAACATATGTGTGAGTACGTTGAAGTAAATTTTAAGACTAAGAGTATATAAACTAACATATTCATAGACTGGTGTACAAAAAGTGTAATCATGGTAAATAAGCTCTTATTGTATTTTATGACAATGGGACACAAATCCTTTTCCTTGCTATTGTGACATTTCTTTGCTTTCCTGTTATATCTGAGGTAAACTGCTGATTGTAATCATGTTCAAGATCTGCCATTTTATTGGTTATCTCTCAGTGTTTACCTATCTCTCTGTAAATCAGTATTGTGCTTGCCTCAGTTTTATCTTTGTCTGATTATTGCAGAGATTTTAACTGCATATCAGCACTGTAATGTTTTATTTAATGTTGTATTTTGTTTTTATTGCTAATGGCTCTGTTCTTCACAATTGTGAAGAATAAGACAGTTTGAGTTACTCAATCATGTTTAGTCAATTTGTCAAAATGTGTTCCTTTCTGTGTAAATGATGTACACACTCACTTCTTGGTGGTTACCTAAGATAGAATTTTCCCCCTGTTCAATGATTATTTAACTTATCTAATGTAAGAAACATCAATCATGTCAAACCAGTTACTGGGATGCAAGGGTTAACTAATGTTGTTACTCCTCTCTAACTGTGAGTGGATTTTTGTACTCTTAAAATGTCAGTGCTCGCATTGTTAAATCAAAACTTACCATGAAATGTTTTAAATGAAATCAGCTTTTTTTGTGGGCACTGTAAGACTGTGAGCTTGATAGTTCCTGTTTTAGCAGATCAGATGTCCTGATGGAGAATATACGCACATTTTCTTTTTGGTTTTGTGGTCACAGGCGAATTGTTTTCTTTATTATTTATGTTTTTATACTATTTTCTTTTGCTGGCGGGCCAGCATTCCTCTTTAAATTATACACAACTCATCAGAAGAATAAACCCAAGAAAGCCTTGATCTCTCGCATGAGTGCTAAGAATGTGAGTTACTGTGTATGATTGTGTGTATGTTTGTGTTTGCTATGTGTGTGTGTGTGTTATCCTGCTCACTGCTGTGTTGTGGAGATGTGTGTCATATCATGAGCCCACTCTTGTTAGCTTTTTCCATACTATCACTTGAATCTTTCCTGTCGCTTGCACTATTTGACAATTGTTATATTCCTAGACGTAAGGAAATAATGTGACGTTGGCTGAATTAACTTCTCTTCCGCCAAATTATTCAAGACATAGACTATTTTGTTTTAAGACTGTTATTTCTAGTGCAAGAGGGTCCTCTTGCGTTGTGTGCATCACTATGTGTTCTTTAAGAAATTTGGTCAGCTTCTCCGGCGGTGAGGTAAACAGCATTGAACAAAGCCACGTTCATGTGTATATATTTGCAGATCTTGTAAATATCTAGAGTGGGCTCGCTGACACAATCGACACCTAGCAGCTGACTGATGGACACCAGGCATAGAGGTACTGGATCAGCAGTGCTGATGGCATTCTTTGTTCTGTATTTTAGCAGTATGGGGCATTGTGGACCTAGTACTTCATTATCTGGTTGATGGACTGATTGTATTTTTCTTACCGAGTGACAGGCATACCACCTGAAGTCTGTCATTTCGGCAGCCATCCCAGTGTTGGTGTTTTTTTAGATAATAAACATTCTTCTCTCTGGGTGTCAACTTGATGTATTTTTTTAAATCACCTCTCCTTATTAATACAAAAGGTACCAACATTTTTTCTGCTTTAAGTTTTTATTGTCATGTTTCAACAACATTTCATATGTTTTTATTTTAATTTTGGTTTGGCTGCTAGACAGAATGTGCATATTTTTATTCCGGAGCGTGATGCAAGGGCTGCAGAACAGGTGACAGCTCCTGCAACATTACATTTTGAGTAAATGTCCTTTGGTTGGCATCAGAGGTCTAAACAAAAATGTCGCAATCTCATCTTACCTGGAAGGTGCAATTGCGTGTTAAGGTGGGCGATGTAAGATGTTGCAAGTCGAAGTGTTTCAATTTTGGAAAGCTTTCGATCTTCAGGTTCTGTTGGGATGAGAGCCCGTAACGAGCAGAATGCTTCATTCACACTGCAGGGGAAAAACCGTTGTTCAGCAGGATACAAATTGAAACCTTTAGAGTGAGCACTATTATTGTTTTTGGTAATTACCTATGCGTGCGGTCCCTCTCGCGCGCGTTGGCCTGGTTGCGGTGGCTTGGGTCGGCGCTGTCGCGGTGCCGTTGCTGCGGCCGCTTCCTGGCTGAGCTGGCGGAGCTGGAGCCCATCTCGGCCTCGGTCACCAGGAGGGCGTGCAGGGCGTGCAGGACATAACCGGCAGCGCGTATCGGCACCCCGTCCGCCCAGGCGTCGTCCTGGCGCGGCGGCGGGCGCGATCTGGTGGCACTGCAACCCGTTCCCGATGCTGTCAGTGAGGACGAGGACCGCAAGGACCCAGCCCCGGCCCCATATCCACATCTACATCCGGACTCGGGGCGGGGGAAGGGAACGCCAACTGCGAACTGCAGCGGCCGCGGCGCGGCGTGGCATGGGCGACGGCCGGCCGAGAGGCGGGGCGGGGCGGGGCAATCGCTCTGATGAGGCGGTCGCAGTAAATGAGGCTCGGAGAAATGAGCAGCCGTCTCGCCTCGGCTGCCTCGGCAAAGGAAGGGGTCGGGTCGCTGCGGTATTGCTGCAGTGGCCAGCGGCAGCTCGTCAGCTCGTCTGTGTGTTAACGCCTCAACGCCAGGCGGAGGCTAGCGGAGGCGGGCTGGGGCTGGGCCGGCGTCCCGACGCAGCCACCCCCACTCCAGGGCGGCGGCGGCGCGCGCCTCCCGAGGGAATGACTCCCACTTCCCTCCCCTCCTGGATCCCTTTGGTACACACTCAATATTTTCTACCCGCCTTTCGGCATTGTATTTTTCTCCTTCTAAAAATGTTGGGTGGTGGTGAGGTCGAAAGCAAAGTCTGATTTTGCAGAAAAATTGATTCTTTATTTCCTGCCAGTTCATATAAAGTACACGTGTGACACACTGAGCATTGCCAAATGGTGATACACAGTTAGGCAAGTTCCCCCCATAATAACATGAAATACCCCTGGTTTTCCGAGACCACTATAGCCTTGTTTTCTCTAGTTCTACTAGTAATCAGTCATTCAGCGGTGAAATGCGACATGTTTTGCAATGATTCTAATATAGCCTGCAAACAGAGCAGATTATAAAAATCTGTTTTAAAAAAGATCATAAAGTGAATTTTGAGGACACAGCACATTGGGATGGGACCACAACACAAACACACTGAAGCCCAGAAAAGCATATATGACACCTATGGAATGATACTCCAATTGCCTCAGAAGGGCTCAAGAAATTCACAAATTAAGAATGAAATACAAAGCTTGAATGTAGTGTTCCTACAATAAATTCTTTAACAAAAAGAACAATGCTAATTGAGACGTCTGATCCCAGAACAAGTAACAGACCAACTAATATAAAATCAAAGCAAGAATAAAATACATAAAACATATACTGTATAACAGAAACAGTGTTATCTAAAAGACCAAATACTGATTGTACATAAAACACACTTAGTCAAAATGGGATGCACAGCTCTCAGCAAACAAACAAAACAAAGGAAAAAAATACAGCCATGGAGTTAAAAATAACCATGATATATAAAAAAAATTATATTGGGCTAATATACAGTTTTAGTAGCAGCAGACCATTTTTATCACCCACAGGAAAAAAATGTTGCTTTGCCTGAGCTAAATCAGGGTAAGCTGTGGAGATCGTGTTCAGTGTAACACTGTTCAGTTCTTGTAAATACTTCATCTGCCACAAGCAGCATTTTTGGTAAAACATCTAGGGCACGTTGGATGCAAGCTTCATTGCTTCCACAGACCTTGGCAAAAAAACACAAAAAGTGGTCAATTTTTATTAAAAAAAAAATTAATTATGGAACTTTTAATGTATATTATACCTTTATGAGGAGATCTTGACGAGTGGGTAGGGCATACATTGCTACAGTTGCTCCCTTGCGGACAAGCCAAGGATGGTGTTTGGCAAGAGTAGCAGTGTAAGCTTCACTACCTGCAGCATAAGTACTATCTGAGTCTGAAAGCTCTCCCACTCGTTTGAGAAACAATTTAATAAAGTCTGAAACGTATAAAAAAAATTCAATGTCAAGGGCGCACAAATAAGGTGTCAGTTTTAATTAACTCCATATCGAAAATCATACCTAGTCCTCGGTGAAGACGTAGTAAGGTGCGGGAACCAGAGACGTAATCCTTTTTCTTTAATAGGTTCTCCCCTTTTTCATATATTATCATTTTCTTCACAGAAGTGAAGTGGTGTCCATCAGACGAGTTGGAGAGGTCTTCCAAAATATCAATTTTGGATTTTACATCAGATCCAACAAAAGAAAACACAGTTCCCATGAGCTGAAAAAATCTGGAACACAAACACGTCATTGACTAAGAAACAGTTTTCCTTACACAATTGCTGACATGGGTTCCAGCATGAATGACAATATTTATCAAAGAGAGATAAGGATAGGAAACGGCCCCGTCCAACAATTCTAAACCCAAATATTGACTGTTCTCATGAATGAGGCAAGTCGTTACATCCTTAACCTCAACAAAAAGTTGGACACATGCATAAAGTCAGCGTGAAACTGTGCTGAGGTTTCAAGTAAGAGTCTCTCACATACACAGATTATTGACTCACTTGAAAAGCTCCTTGTAGGCGGTGAGGTAATGCTGGAGGTCAACATCCTCGTCCTCCACCAGAGCAGAAGCAAAACCGTCGTGAACCAGACGGAAATCGAAAGGCAATTCGGTGCTCGGTGACTCGGCCATGACAGCAGGTGCGAAGGTGGAGTAGGCAGGGGTCGTTATCGCAGCGAGTGTTCTACGGCAAAGGCAAATATCATGACTGTTGACTGCTGATAGCCGATTTAGGGTTACGCCGTCAAAGTGTCAAGTGCAAACAAAGCAGAAACCACTGCACTGCCACTGCCCCTTCCCTCCCCCCACCACCATGGGCTGCCAGTGCTGCCAGCGCAGCGACACCACAGACAGGTGAGATGCGCGCGTTAATCGGGTCGCGGGGAAGCCTCGGGCTTGTCCGAGCCTACCCGGTTGGCCCAGTTTTACATACGACCTGAGGCGCGCTCGGCCTCGGTGCCGCGGGAAGCAGACGCGTCGCTCCCTGGCGTGGTGCATGGCGTGCGGAGTGGTGGTCGTCTGCCGTGGCGCGGCGGGGAAGCAAGTTCGACTGGTGCACTGGTGGTGCACTGAAGGGTTGGCCGACAGATTCTCACATGACCAGCAGGCACAGCCCGCACAGCAGCAGTTGCTGCAGGCGACTCATCCTGACTTGCAGTGCTCGCGGCGTGGCGTCGCCGCGTCCGACATGCACTGGCTGGAGCCTCTTCTGGTGGCATCGCTGTGGCTGCAGGTCTGTCAGCTGGTCTGGTCCAGCGGCTGCGTCCGCTTATCGCTGGTGCAGGCTGCAGGCCCCGGCGAGGCGAGCGACCCGCACCGGGATGCGACGCGCATTGCGGGGCCGAGGGGGAGGGAGACGCCCTTGCCGAAAAACGGCCGGGGCGCTCCGTAAACGACGAGCCCGGTCCGCTACAGTGCGCCCGGACGCGGCGGATCCGTGTTCCCCGCGCACTCAGAGCACCTCAGTGCACCGAGAGTGCGCTGGGGACACGTCAACTCGCTCGGTGGCGGCCCCCGAGGCCCCCGAGGGGCGCTGAGGCACGTCGAACTAGAGCGCGGGGGGCAATTGGCAGTGGGGGGCCCGGCCCGGCCCGGCCGGACCGGAGGGCGAACGTACGCGAGGCGCGTATCATTGCCGGTCGTCTCAATCTGTGTGCGTTTTCATTCATTCCACTGTGTCCCTCGCCTCCTCCCACTCAAAAAAAAAAAAAAATTATTATAAACAAGGTTGCTCTAGAAGGCTTTATTTGAAAGTCACAATTGTGATTGGCTCTCTTCTATGCAGCAGATGCCTCAGCAATTTGTTGCAGCAATCCGTCCAAGTTGTTGTAATGTGGCAGAAGAACTTCTTCAACTTGCCCAGTTAAAAGGTCAAGGCGTTGTTGCTGCAAAACCACAACATTGTCAAGAAAACGTATACAGCTCATAGAAATTAAGACCTAATAGAATACAGTACCTTAATTTTGGTCAGAGTTGATTTTAAAGAGAGTTTTGATGAGGACAGTACGGACGAAGATTGTTGTTTGCTTGTGCTTTTATTTGCAAATGTTAATGAGACTGAAACAAAAATTGGACGTCAGTATTGATCCTAATATACTGACAAAGATAAATTGAAAGGACAACTTGAACATTTAATTACCATTTGCCAGCTCTTCACTCAACCCTATTACTTCAAGGCAAACTTCAGTATCATTGACCCATGATGCATCAACCACAGCTGCTCTGTGAGCCTTTTGTAAGTGCTGGACAGCTTTGAATTCAGTTTCTGGGGTGGGATTAGGAAGCACGCGGGTCAATCTTGAGTACAGGCGCCACACCTTCCAATTATTTGTTATCTGAAAGGGTGCAAATTTTGAGAAAAGAACTGTCTGTGATCAACCATGTTTGATTATGTCAATTTGTCAAGCAGTAAGTACCTGTGCAGTAATTCTGCCCAGAAGCTCCAAGGCTTTGCCAAGGAGCGCCCCACAAGGCACTCCATCACAATCTGGTAAGTTGTCAATAATTGCCTTCCCCAAAATCTCCAGCACTTCAACATCCAAATGTTTTTCTCTCAAATCTATGATGCGATGATAAGACCGTATCACCTTTAAAAGACACAAAAATGTGGAACACAGATGAAATAGAGAAAATTAAGATGAAATATTGAAATATTAACAATACACACCTCATCCATAACAGCACAGTCCAAACTGACTATCAAAAAGTTCTCCCACACTCGCCAATTTTCATAATCCCATTTCAAGGCTTCTTGTAGTGATTTCCAAGCTCTGTTCTTCTGCCCTAGATTTACATACGCTTTGGACAAATTGTTCCAAGCTTCAAAGTTCTGAAAAAAATAGACAGCAAAAGTTACAAAAATAACAGCACCAAACAGCACAGAACTGAAATGATAGAACTGGATCTATACTAACCTCAGGATCCAAAACACAGCATCGGCGATATGCGGTAGCAGCAATAGACCATTCTTCTTGTTGAAGAGATGCATAACCCAGTTGAAACCACAAGGTAGTTTGTAATGAATTGTGGGACAAAGATTCTTGGAGATGGGGAATTGCTTCAGCATACTAAGAAATGAAAGAGCATGAAAATTAAAGAAATCACAAATCAAAATTCCATAGAAATAAATATGTCAGATACAAACCTGCTTTCTGTGGAAGAAATAGAGGCCCCAATGCTTCTGAGCACGAGCACTTTTCTTATTGCTGAGGTTCCATGCTTTCTCATAGTAATCAACATTATCAGTAGCATCACCTAATAAACACCACAGCTTAACTGTTTCTTTTTTAGCTAGTTCTTGTCTGATAATTTCCTCTGCCTAGAAGAAATTTTAGATTAACACAACATTGTAGTCTTGGTACATGTTTATGTAGACTTTTTAAATAATTACCTTATGCCTAAGTTTTAGATGGTTATAACAGGCTATCACTTGTTCCCAACATTGCAAACGTAAGTAGACATCCAATGCACTGTTAATGCAACCAAGAGAAACAAAAAAGTCTGCTAATTGCTCCTCCAGGGTCCAGCTGGGACACAAGTGGGAACAAAATATCATTGACAGGCGTTGCCAAGATTCTGGAGCTGGAGCATTAACTGAATCCACAAGAACCTGAAGATGTATTTTCATAAATCAGTATACCAAGCAGGATACATAATTTTAAAAATGGAATTTGTGATTACAAAATTAATTAACGGACCTGGGTTTGAGTCATTGAACGTTCTACAGTTCGGGAATGGTTTGATTCAATTTTAGAACGAAACAAAAGCCCAGAAAGCTGAAAACTCCATACTTGAGGTTGAGACAATAAACACTGAAAATAAAGGTGCATTAAAAAGATTATAAAGACAGAGATAGCAAATATTTGACTTAAAGACTTACAGTGAGGTAAGCCAAGAGTTCTTCATCAGCCAATTTATCCTTTGGTTGACATTTTTGAGTTTGCACACTGCAAGAAAATTTTAAACATTTAGGTTTTATCATAAGATTCCATTGCATGATACAGAATTATGTTACTTACAATGCAGCCAAAACACATGCCTGTTGGATTGGAGTTAAGTCATTATATTGACCATCAACAGAATTGCTGAATTTTATTTTATCTAATCGGACGTCATCATCAAGTTTTAGATCCTGAAAATTAAATCATTACACAGTAAACAACAAGAATCAAATCCTTAATGCGAGTAATTGATAACTTGATCTTCATACTTTTGGCAAATCTTTCTGTATACAGGGCTTATTCCTTGTTTCTGTTGAAGACTGGACATCCAAAGTAAGCTGAGCAAGCTCACGCACCTGGAAACGAGTTCTCTTTCCAAGGGCACCTGTAAACAAGTATTGTTTTAATAATGGACTGGGTCAGTTATTTTGTAAATATTGTGTTAACTTACCAGTAAGATTTATGCTAAGATTGGCTTCTTCAAGTGCAGCTTGAATGAGCTGCTGTGACGGTTGCACTTCATGATAGCTTAGGTGTACTTGTGAGATTTCAAGTTGAGCTAGGATACTCAAATCTCGGTCTTTCTTCAAAAATTCACATTGCAGAAGTCGATCTTTCAGTGTAACTAACTCTTCATGAAGCTGGGGAGATTTTTCTTCTAGTATTTGTTGATGAACTGCGATACATCGAAACCTCCACCACAGGGTGCTCTAAAATCCAGTTTACAAAAATAAAAACTAGATCAGTATCATAAAAGTAAATTAACTAAGGCAAGCAAGTCCACAGACTACATACCTCTAGATCCGGCAATTCTGACAGAAAAACAGCACGAGCCAAAACTAAAAGTTCTGGATGTCTAGCTACACTCACAACTGCTTCAGCATCAAGTACTAAATTTTCGATGAATACATTAACACAATCTTCATCTGTGGTATGCATACAAGGCTGAAGCCAGGGAACACTGGAACCAAATCAAGACAAATTTTTCCAATGGATATACAAGTAAAGGAAACATTAAACAAGAACAAACAAAATAGTGTGTTTGAATACCTTTCTTTTAAGCTAGGTCCACACCAATTGTCTTGCACAAATGCTAAAAGAGCTGCAATGCCAACTGAGAGTAGTTGAAACTGGCTAATGACACAAAACAAGTTACGTTAAAAAGGATATTAAAATGACCTAAACATATACAAAAGTGTCTTGAGAAAAAGTTACCGTTCTGTGGAATTTTCTTCATTGAGCCATGAAAGTACGCACTGTTTCAAGCATTCTTCCACATTTTGGCTTTCACAATTCTTTTGAAATTTTTCAAATATTTTCTTTGAGACATCACAGCTTAAATATTTAACAAAATCAGCATCAGGAAAGTATTCTCTGAGTTCACCATTTTCACCTGGCAAACACATCAGCATCACAGAAAATGAAATAAAATGAAATATCAAAAGAATTCAAAATACCAGAAGTACTCACCAAATAAGTCGTCCCCGTTCAACAACAGCAATGATCTTTGAGTTTCATTTAATTTATCAATTGCAACACCCATCTTTACATAAAAAATATAAACGAGAAGAAAATAAAACACTTAATAAGTTGAGAAACTTAACAATAAATGCACATAAACATAACCTTTATCAAAACACATGGACATGACGCATGAATATGAATAGAAGATCAAGAATTATTGCACTTTCGGATTGGGGTACGTAGAGAGGCTAGAAAGCGTATGAAAAATTGGCGGGCTGTGGATGAGAATCTTCTAGGCCGAAAAACGGATATATGTTAAATGGGTTGCCTACCCTCTTGGCGCTCAGGACACCTCTGGCCAGCTCATATCTGCGGCGATACAACCTTCCACGGGAGCGCAGAGCAAAATTGCCAGGCAGAAGCGCTCCCTTGCGCTTATCTCACGCGAGGGTCTCTCCTGCAGAGCTTGCAGAGCCACCCGTTGCCGTGTCGCACCAATCAAATCCGCACGGGGAATTCCCACAGGGGCAAGGTAGGCCACCCTTCGCACGACACTGTGCTGCGAGGCGAGAGGCTGGACCACCTGCCAGGCGCTGCCTTTGGTTTTGGCGTTCTTGGTTTAGTGTGTGTGATAGGTCGGTTGATGGGAGTGAAAGGTGATGAGTAAATAAGAGCCACGATATTTCATTGTTCTATTCAACTTTGTTCCATTGAAAGAATGACCTACACACGCACCACACACAAACAGCACAGGGTTAGAACTTACAATGACATTCAGTGTGCAGCCTTCCAAATTCCATTTAACAAACACAAGGGACCAAACAATCAATTATGATCTTTGTACATTAAATTGCAATATTGTTTTATAATATAACCACGAGATTAATTTACAAATTTATAAATGTAATATTTTTACAATAATTTGAAATTTCTTTTCATATAGAATAGCACAAAATGCTATTAATAAATAGAGAGGCTATACCTGTACAGGAAAGCCACTATCACCTAAAGAGGCTCCAAAGGATTAAAATAACTTTTTTGTTTTCTATAATAATCATCCTAATAAAATTATTCTTTTAAAGCTGCAACATATTTTTGGACAATTCTGGCGTTCTCTAACAGTCTAAACAAGAGCGCTGGTTTAAAAACATCAAAAGTAACACAAAGTTAAAAAGGCTGCAGAGCCCTTTTAGCAGCCGATGGGTGACGCATTCCAAGGAGGTCGCTTGAGATGACTAGAAGGATTTTGAGGTGCCGCAGGAGCCAAAGGAAACACTCTTTACTTTGGTGGCAGTAGCGAACACAGTCTCTTCGTATACAATTTGTTTGACAAGTACACCATAGAGCTCTATCTTTAAGCTAACTTATTCATCACAAAAAGTGCTACGCAGGTACAAAGACGAGCGATTAACAGAAATAATAAAAGTAAAGTTTGCGTCCTCCCTAAGAAGCCAATACCCACCGTCTTCTAATATTAATGTAACACTATCTCTGTGCAGTTTATGAAACAATCACAGAACAAACTTTCACTTTGATGTCAACAGACCGGGAACAGTAAATGCAACTTAAGATAATTTAAGACAGTGATTGTGAAAATTGTTGATGCATGTCTTAATCTAAGACCTTGATAGGCACATACACACATTCATACCTATTGATATAGACTTTTCTTTTGAAGAAATAGGAAAGTAAAAGAAGTTGTGCTGAACACACTCTCAAAAACAGAAACCTAACTGTAGAAAAGCTGAAAAGCTGCAGACACTGGTCCACTACAAAAAACAGAAAACATCAATGAACGTGATGACGTTACAAACATTGCAAATGTAATGGTACCAGCAAAACAACAAACACAGAATATTCAGGAACAAATAATGACAACATCATAAAAAATCAGTACTGTATAAATACGGCAAAACAATGAACGGAATGCAAAATGTACATTATTATTGAATCCTTCTTTACACATGGAACACACCTAAATTAGGTAGTGCTTAAATTACACACAAATATATCTGTAAAGTAAACTGACAGGAGTCTTGCATTTAAACAAAGAAACTTGTGCTACTTGGGGGCACGCTGAAAGAACATGAAAGAAGTGAAAAAAAGTGTTTTTGTTCAATTCAAGGAAGGAGACCTTTTCTTTCCTTTTGAGTTGGCTGTGAACTTAAAAAAGCTACCCCTCTAAAAGTCGGTTGAGATATGATCTTAAACCCAGAATTTGCAAATAAAATTTATTTAGTTTCTAGACATTGCTACTTATGTCTTAAAAAAATTAAAAAATAACACTATCTTTCATGTCCTTTCTGTTTAAGACGTGCTAGTATGGCTAAGGAATACGGTTTACTGATACTGAATACATCTGGATGAGGACAACAGCAGGTAAACTTAAGAGTATAGGAGACAGCAACATCAGGGCATGCTTCTATTGAACCAACACATAGCTGTGCACTTCTTTATCCAGAATTCAAAGCAGGAACTAATAGGCAGATTCAGACCTGAAATGTGACTGACCAATTTAAAAATAAAATAAAAGTGGAATCCCAACATTGCGGGATAAAGATGTCAAACTTTGTATAAACAAGCAGCAAATCTGATGAAATTTAACAAAACAAGAACAATTAACAAACGGATCAAACTTAAATAAACAGTATTGACTGCAAAACATGGAAAATCTGAGCCGTCTTCCCTATTGAAGGGATGGTCATGATGCAGTTGGCTGGAGGCAGGCTTGAGGAGTCGTTGGCCCCCTAGGCTCACTGGGCTCCATGTCGCTGGAAGCGAGAGTGAGAGGGGAAGAGTGGACCTCCGCCTCCGAGCCAGCAGTGTCAATGAATCGAATCGCAGCAGCCCAGCCGCCCAGGGCCAACGCAAGCACTGTGGTTGGGCTTGAGACAGGGGGAGCGGTACACAAACACACAAGACGTGTGAATTGTACAACAATGGACAAACTTCAATATGATACAGAAAGCACAAGAGTTGTGGTAAGTAGTCTATAACTATCGATGCATGCATGCCCATGGTTTTCATCTAGAACAATTCGAGTAGGAGAGCTATGCATTTTGTAATCTAGTTGCACCCGGATGCAGCCAAGTGGCTGCACTTGAATGCATTGTTGGGCTATTGAGAATGATAAAAATTGGGATTATATTATACAGTAAAATATTGTGTATACATGATTCAACCTGGGGCTATTGTAAATTATAATACATAGGAAAAAACAGGAACTGGGATTCTTTGAACGTATCATGTGGATGTTGTTCGAGATGTATTAGAACCAACACTTAAAATTAAAAAGGACAGAGGAAACAGTTCAGAGATGTATTGACACACGGTGACTATGTCGGCATTGAGACTCGCGAAAATTAAGAAGGGAACCAATCTGCTAGGTTACAAATGAAGAGGATGTACTGTACAAACCGGAGTGCGATTATATGCAAGAGGAGACACCGAGCTATTGAGGACACATTCACACACCTTACACACATAAAATTAAGTAAAGGCTATTGAATGGATCAAATTAATTTCCATAACCAAGCAAAGGAGAAAAGAAAAAACAATGTAGTAACGGCTTGGTCATAACAAAAATTAATTGAGGAACCACTAAATCTATGTAGGAACTCATCTGCTCATCATCGCCCATAGTATTGTCATATTGGTACAAAGCTGCCACACCTGCATTTGAAAAAAAAAAAAAATTAAAATAATCCATTCACTTTACAGGATGTTATGATTTTAAATAGACAATTCAAACTTAATTTTCTTTAGATTATGTGCCAATTTGAAATGGTTTGGATTACTGGAACAAAAAAGGAGTGACGTCATACTTGAGCATTTCACTTTTCTGTCATTAAATATTTAAATAATCCAACTGCCACAAAATAACATTTCTCTCTGTACAGCTTAGATTTGTTAAAAGATACAATAAATATAATCAACTTAAATTAGACAAAATATTTGTTATAACAAAAATCTTATACATTTTGAATAGTGTTATTTTGAGTTAACAAGACAAGCTTTTTGATGACTAAGTTCAATATTGCTAGGGTCTGCTGGACATAGCCCACAAACCCTGAAAATAAAAAGCAACACTTAAATCTCTGTAACAAACAGAAAACAAATAAAAAGGAACTAAATCAGTACAGAATATTGCATACATATATGTATTAGGAACAAAACAAACCCAAACAAGGCTTTGTGATTTCGAATTCTTTCGAGCAATTCACACTTTTTGCATATAAAACGTAAAAAAATCTTCACAGCCAAACTAAAGAAAATATCCTGCAGTCTTCTTGTAGTTTACAATCAACCTAATGGCATACACCAGTTATTCCCCATAAATGAACTAACAAACATTTTCAAAGAGGACGTAGTTTTGATTGGTCTGAGGTGCTGAGCTTTTTTTAAAAATAATTCTCAAACAGTGGCTGCCATACACAGCTCACACAACACGACAGCCATGCTGCCATCCTCACACTTTAAGGTCTATAAACAACTACATCGCATTTAGGATGGAACGAGTGAAGACAACCCATAACAAATCAACAGTTTGAAAACATCAAAGTCTCATTTAATTCAAATAACAGGGGCGTTTCCTCTTTTTCGTCTCCTTACTTATTATGTAACAAAACCAACTACACATTCGCGAGAGATCTGGGGGTCGTCTGTACACACACTCTGCAACACACGTCTAGGATACACGAGGGTTTCAAGGCAAGGTGGGGCTCGGGCGCCGGGGCGCCCTTCCGCTCGACGCTTCAGCCTCAGGGGTTGTTGAGGGTGAACCCGAGCGCGCGAGGGTCGCCGTGCAACCGGAGGGCTTGCTCTAGTCGCTGCTCCTGGAGCCGGAGGGCCTCGGTGAGCTCCGCCGTGGCGGTGGGTGAGCCCATCAGGTTCTGTGCGAGCAGGTTGCCGGGGCTGCCGTGGCTGCCGTGGCTGCCGTGGCTCTGGAGGCCGCGGACGTGGTTCGCGCCCCCGGAGCCCTCCTGCTGCGACGCGGCGGCCGTCTGACTGAAGGCCAGCCTGAGCGCGGCCTCGGCCTGCGACCTGCTGAACACAGAAACGCGTCGCGTAAGGACAGAGTCTACAGGGAATGCCCAGGCGATGGTGCGGGCGCCGAGTAGGTAGGCCACCCAACTTACCGCAGCAACACTTCAGCCTGCTGCATCCGCAACGCGGCGGCCTCTTGCTGCTGCTGTTGTTGCTGCTGCTGTTGCTGCTGGTGGTGTTGCTGTTGCTGTTGGTGGTGCTGCTGGATCTGCTGCTGAATCTGCTCCATGCCCATGCTCTGCCTCATGGACGCCTCCACGGAGCGCATGGCCGAGTCCGCCATGGACGCCCGCATCGCGTTCATCGCGAGCTGCTGCGCCTGAGCAAGACAAGGCAAGCGACGTCAGACACCGCGTTCGGACGCTCGGTCCCAGGCAAGACGCCGTGACCACGTCACCACAAGCTCATTCAACGCACCTGGGCGACGGCGTCCGAAGGCAGCGGCGGGGAGCCGGGGTGGTTGAGGTGCGGCCCGGACGCGGACGGCGGCGGCGACCCCATGGACCTCATGGAGTTCATGGCGGCGGCTAGGTTGGCGGCGGCCTGCTGCACGGCCTGCATCTGCGCCGCGGCGTTGGGGTCCATCCCCGCCAGCGCGGCCATGCGGCTCGCAGAGTGCAGGTCGTCGGCGCTGAACTGCAGGGCACGCAGGCAGAACGACAGTCAGGCCCAGGGCTTCTACATGGCTTCTAGGAATCTCGGAGCTCGAGGCTCGACTACTCACCGCGCCCTGGTGGAGGTGGCCGTTGTTCATCCGGCTGCCGATCAGCTCGGCCAGCTTGGCACTCGTCGTGTTGTTGTTATTGTTGTTGTTGTTGAGGCCGAGGACGCCGGACTCGGACCCGGCGCTGGACAACCGGCCGCCGGCCGAGGAGGAGTCCGAGTGCGCCGACGGCGAGGCGCAGAGGGAGGACGCGCCCGCACCCGGTGGAGGCACGAGGGGCCCGCCAGCCCCCGCGCCGCCGTGGCCTGGCGGTCCCGCCCCCGGGCCTGCCGCCCCAGGGGCCCGGAGCCCAGCGGGGGCAGGGGCCCGCCGAGGGCGCTGGCGCCGAGCGAACCGCCCAGCGCCGCCAGGCGGGAGTCCCGGTCCCGTCGCTCCGCGGCCGCCCTCGACAACACGTACTGGGCGGCGAACGAGTGCTTGGGCTCCATGCGCATGTGCTCCATGTGCGTCAGCAGCCCTGCAACAAGAGAAAGCACACGTCAGCATCACGCCGTGAGGAGGTCCGCAAATAGTCCAGGGGGTCATCGCTAAGCACCTTCCCACCCGCTCCCTTTCCACAACCAAGCAGTAGCCGCACACTATGTGCCTCACACCCTGCAACCATCCCAGTCTCAGCGTCCACAGCGCGCCGCAGTTCAAATTTCCCGCCTTTTTTTGAGCGCGCGGGCCGGGGGGTGGCGCCATCTAACGAAGCGCCGCGGGAATAAAATGTAGGGGTGGCGGGACGGGGTGAGCCAGTGTGCCAGCGTGCCGCCACCCCCAGAGAGATGGCGCTGGTCGCCGGCCGGGCCAGGACTGCCAGCACTGCCAGGACGGGGTCGGGGAGCTTGCGCAAGCTTGCGCTGCCTCGCGCTAGATGGCGCCACCCGCGCGCGTTTCGTTTCGCGTCGCTTCTTTCTCTTTTTCTCTCATTTCGTTTGTCGCCTCTCTTTGCCTCCCCCACCGCGGGGCGGCTAGGCTAGGCTAGGCTAGGCTGGCCTCGCGAGGCGGGCCCGGGCAGCCAATGCCGCGCTGGTGGCGGCCGCGGCAGGGCGGGCAGGGCGGGCTCGCCCCGGGGGCAGGCTGCTCCACGCCGCGCGCCGCCGTACTGCGTGCGGCCTAGCCTCGCCGCGGCAGGCGCTGTGCGCTGTGGCCGTGGCCGCCGAGCGCGGGGTCCCGCTCTCGCGGCCTCGCGGGGCTGTGCTGGCCGTGCTGGCTGTGCCGTGGCGGTGGCCTGTCTGGCTCGCACCGCGGCGCCATGGCGACGCCCCGCACGCACTTTGAATCCCGCGCGAGTTTGTCTTTCGCTTTATCCATTCGGACTTTTTAACAAGCCTCGTCTTTGAATAACGCCTCAGCTGATTGAAAACAGAATGGGAACACAGCATGCAAACGCCATATCGAAACAACGTTACGAGTAAGAACAAGACAAGCATACTGAGATAACTACAGCAAGAGATACACAACAAAATTAGCAATGCCAGTTAGAAAACGTCTGCTTGTCTTGACGGTGCGTTACGAATCGTGAAGAAAGAAGCAACGCAACGGGCGCGGCCTGCGGCGGCCTGCTGAGGTGGCTGTGCGGCGATGGTGTCTGTCAGTCACTCTGGTGGGATGTTGCAGGGCGCACGTGGCTGGCTTTTGCTCAGGAGATGAGTGTATTTTCGCCTCGGTTGGCGACCTTGGATGTTTGGTATTGCTTGGTACTGCTTGGTAATGCTTTCTACAACTTCTAGGGGCTCGGGGGACTGTACCCCTTTGGAGACTGAGAGAGGGATGCCGCCTGACAGCCCATCGGCATTGGAGATAGTTCCCATGTTTAAGTAAAATATGTACCACGTGAGGTGGTAGTCATTTCGACTAGCGAACGAGAAAGTGCTTTTCATAGATCGCGGTCAGGAACAGATCCGTCCTCGGACGACTCGTCCGTCGCTTCATGAATTAAGGAAGGTTTATCGGCCTCGACGAGCGCGTCACGAGGCCTCCCCCTGCCTCAAGTCCAAACGAACCGCCCCTCAACAATTCATAACCTTTTGGTGGCCAGGCGTTCCACATCGTGGGCCAGTCCGGCCAGCGTCGGACACACCGAGACGGCCATTCATACACTTTCAAGGATTCCCCAGTCAAAATGACGGCCTCACACTCTTCCCCAAATGGCCCCATCCCATGTCAGGACCTACACCGGTCCAGACGCGGTGCATTGGACATCCCGCGGGGTTCGCGAGAAGGAGGAACCTCCAAAACAGCGGCGCAGCCAGGAAATGACTGGCCAGTTTGCTTGCTTCCAGGTGGATTTCACTTGGATTGCCTCCCTTAGGGGTTTCCCGGAGAGTTTGCCGGAGGCCCCGTAGTCTTCCCCGGCTACGCGCTACGCCTGGCCTTGGCTTGGCCTTGGCTTGGCCTTGGCTTGGCCTTGGCTTGGCCTTGGCTTGGCCTTGGCTTGGCCTTGGCTTGGCCTTGGCTTGGCCTTGGCTTGGCCTTGGCTTGGCCTTGGCTTGGCCTTGGCTTGGCCTTGGCTTGGCCTTGGCCTTTGGGCGGAAAGGGGCCTTGCTCCGCCTTGCTCATGCTCACCTGACTCGTGCGTGAAGACGGACTGGCATACTGAGCACGGCCACATCCGGAGCGTGCTGGTGAGCTGGCTGGCCTCCGGGTGGCACGCCAGGTGCTTGCGCAGGCTGCCCTCGTTGACGTAGTGCTTGCCACACACCGGGCAAGGGTGGTTCGCCGTCCTCCGCTTCGCTATGTACGGATGACCAGCAGCGAGCGAAAGAAAAGGCAACGGTCAACGGGAGGGGATATAACACTTACATCTAAACTGTGTCGCTTCTTGTTTTCATCTCTTTGCTTTAGAGCCTTCAGTCAGCACCACCACCAGAGTAATCAGATCACCACGACAACCTCCACCATCACCACCAACCACCACCGGACTTGCGCCAAGCGACCGAGAGAGACTGGAACGACGATGACAACGCTGGAGGACTAGAGCTGTCGAAGACCCTGCAACGAGTAGGACGGACGGAGCGACGACGAGAACCTACGGAGCAGCGACTACTACTGCAACTACTACTGGCAGCGAAACGTCTAGGAAAAGCAAGTCTTCATGCGAGCAGAGCGATCTACGTGGCGCCAAGCGCCCCAACGTTCTCTACAGCAGCGTCTACACGACCGCAGCCTGACAACAGGTTTTGGTTCGGACTACTTTACAGAGTTTGCATCAAATGAGGCGAAGGCATGCATATCATCGAATGACAAAATAAGTTGGACCGGTGCCCACAATTTACTGGCTCGTTCAATAGAGGGTACGGACGTGGTGGTATACGCTGTTCGCTACACTTGCTCTTCCACGACGCAGAGTTTCGCAGGAGACAAGTTCGAGAACTGATTGTTAGGAACTCAAAGGAAAAGGAGGGGGATTTACACAAAAGGAGACTGGAAAACGAGTTCCAAAGCGTTAAGGGACTGCCCTCGAGATGAAGCCGAGTCTTCGGGACTAGCCCGCCAGGGAGCGCCACCGGGCGAGCTCGCTATGAGAAACCGCGCGGCCAGAAAGCGGCCGTTTACCTTCGCGTTGCTTCGCGTGGAGGATGCAGACTTTCTCATAGCGGGGTCAGCCCGATGTTACCCGCCGTGGCTTCTTTCGGACCACACCCTGGACGATACGGCTGGAGGCGGCAGGAACGGAGCGGAACAGGAACCCAACTGGAGACCGCCCGACTGGAGTCGACAGGATCAGAACGAATGGACCGCCACACCTTCTGGACTGGACGGGACTGGACAGTCGGCACCTTCCCTGAGACAACAGCCTCACACACACGCCATACCATACTGAACGGCCTTAGGTTAAGTATACTTCTATGGTAACACAGTACCGCAACAACTACGTTCAACGTGAGTAAGATTAAAATGGATCAGATACTTACTGGCCACACCCGTAGCGTTCGGGTCTTTATGAGCGTGCTTCATGTGATCCATGAGAGCTTCGGCCCCTAAGAACAATTTGTGGCAGAGGGGGCAAGCGGTGGCATTGGGCCCACCGATGAGAGCGGCGTGTTGCTGCAACACAGGAACACGCAGCTGTACCTCCTGGCCGCAACAACAACAGCAAACACACAGCACAAGATTTAGTAAGTCTGTTCACACAATCATGGCGCAAAAGTCATCATCATCATCGAGGCCTTCGACAACCCGAAACGATTCCACGTCCTTTCGACGTCAGACTGGTTGTTTCGACAACGTTTCCACGAGACAAGTGGAGCGCCGGGTTGGCGAGGACCTCGTTGGACGCGGGAAGCGGGCGGGCCGCGGACAAGTCGAAACCGTGGCAGAATAAGGCGGCGCTGGAACCCAGCGGATTCTCCATTAGTCGGTTTTGACTTCTCCGTAAGGCCGGTCACACGTTCCACACGAACACACTGTCCAAAGAAAGGCAGCTCAGTACAACACAATATAAATCAACACACTCTGCTGGTACACTATCACGAGAGCAGTGATTTGTATATGCGGTTAGCGGACCAGCCTTTCTCTGGAGAACGCCAGAGGGCGCTAGAGAACCAGGTCCTGGCACATGGCAGGCCTCGCACTACCACCTCCAAGACTTCCAGGATACTTTTACGAATCTCGTGGTGGCGTAGTGACGGGGGAGCCATTGTGCAAGTACCTGGAAAAATAGTCCCACTTGCAAGATTAATCAAAGCAGTCACTTTCATTCACCAACAACTCTGAAGTAAACGGATTTTCCGAGAGAACCCCATTGAATCGTCTAATCCGAAAACAACAAGAGACCATAGCAAATGAAATTTTGATTGAAGAAATCTTTTTAAATTTTTGCGACAGACTTACTAATCTTTACTGATTCCCCAAAAAAGTATCCCAAAATATTGACATTCTTAAAGAATTACTCATAATTGGTATAGTTCAGGAAAATCTTATGAATACAATCATAAAAGTGTGAAGAGACAAAAACAAAAATGTCAACTGTCATGCACAAACTAGAACCACTCACAGGCATGCTCGATGCAAGGGAAAGTCACGATTGCGAGCTGTTTCATGCATTAGTTTGAAAAGAGCGCGGGAACAGAGCGACCGTGCTGCCCCCGGCGACGCAGGTAGGAACTGGCAGGAACTGCCGCGGCTCGGCGGCTCTGTCGGTTCGCGCGTGTTGCGCTCGCAATGAAGAGGAGACAAATGCTCCCCTTATCCACGCCATTCGGCAAAGCAAACCGGATGCTCCGGATGAAAAATAAAGACTTCGGTGCGCGAGGGTATGAAAAAGTTAGAGCTTTGAATTAGGAGCATAAAAATGAATGGGGCAAAGCCGCAAACGCAAACTACCACAGGATTGCCAACACGGAGACATGCATGACGAAAGTGGAGCGGGAAGAGGAAGGGAGAGCGTTAGAGAGGGAAAGACAAACAGAGAGAGAAAGACAGAGGGGGGAAGGCATTGCCTATTCTACCATGTAGGCTGCTTGTCCCTGGCCGACGGCCCCAACAAGCCAAGTGACATGCTACAGTGCGACGGCTTGGGCTTGGTCAACCTGAGTGCCGCTCGGCCGCTCGAGCAAAATGCGTGTATTGGATTGCATGCGTGTGTGTGTGTGTGTGTGTGCGCGCGCGCTGTGCAGCGCCACACGACGCCCTCCCCCTCGCCCCGCGTCGCGCGCATCGCTATCCATATCAAGACATAATGGGAGAATGTACATATGAATCAAACATACAAGCAGCTTGCGCTGTGTCTCGTTATCCGCAGAGAGATACCTGCGTGCGTTTCGATACATCGATGCACGCAAACGGCCGAGCCGAGCCGAGCGCCCGGCTGCCTTTGCTGCGCTTTTGCGGCGCTTTGCTCAGCTTTTACCGGCCGAACGGACGAATCAAACGCTCGGCCGGGGCACGGCCGGGGCAGACGCCGACCGGTTTCTTGCCTTGGGCCGTGTGCCTCGCGCGGTGGGCGGAGAGCGCGCAGTGTGTGTGTGTGTGTGTGTGTGTGTGTGTGTGTGTGTGTGTGTCTGTCTGTCTCTGTGAGCGAGTGTGCGTGTGAGTGTGTGTCGGTCGCCAGTAATGTTGGCACGGAAAAATGTGCCCCCGACTCCCGAAAAGCGAACAGTGCCGCTCTCTGCCGGCGGGGCTGGCCCGGGCTGGCCGGCGTGCGGGCCGGCCGCACCGCGCTGCCGCGCCGACACAGGCCACAGGCCCACAGGCATAGCGGGTGATCTAAGTCCGATGGGGCCCGCTCCTCTGCCTGCGGCCCCTGCGGCCGGCGGGACGGCCTGGCCGGGACGGGCCGGGACTGCCGACGCATGAATAAAATCTGCGGCGGTATCGAAGCTCCACCGAGCCTCGGCGAGCCTCGGCGCGCAGCGAGCCTCGCCGAGTGGACCGAGTGGACATCGCGGCGGTCTCGGCCGATCCTCGGCTGTGGAGTCGCGAGCCGAGCCATAACACACGGCCATTAGTGCGGCGCGCATAACGTCCCGCAAAACTGTCACCGCCGAAGAAGGAGAAGGAGGAAGACTGGTAAACAGCAACGTTTACACCGGGGCCTTGTAACAAGTGACGCTAGGCTGGGAAAGTTGGCGACGCGGCACTGTAGGCACTGCACCCTCCACCGGCAATTAGTCCGCGACACTGCCAAGCCCAGACCCGGGCCCAGGCACGCGCGGGAAAAAAAGGGGGAAGAGCGAGGGGGCACCGTCCTCCTTTTTTTCGGGTTGTCGCCTTGTTACCGCCAACCTGCCGGCTGTATCGCACGGCCAGGGGGTTGCGGGCTCGTCGTATGGAACACGCCCCGCGACGCGCAGCACCGCGCAACGCCCGGCCGTATATACACTGTACACACACCAGGAGCCGGGCAAGCCGGGCTAGCCTCGCACCATATAGCCTCGCACGGGCCGATCGCAGGGGCGATACCATAAAGATGCGAGGCGTAAGGGGCCCCGCCCCGCCCTTCGCACCACGGAGAGGCGAGCTCTCTTTTCTTTCTTTGCGCGGCGTGGCGCGGCGTGGCGTGTTGCTGGCGTAATTAGCGGCCCTGCCGGCCTTGCGTGACGACAGTGGATTCGTTTCCCCTTTTCCATTCATCCGCTCCCGAATTTCTCATAGCGCCCGCAGTTGCAGTGTGGTGTCCGAGCGGCGTTCTACCCCGGGCTGCCCCACGTCCGAGGCGGACCCCCGCGCACCTAGAACCTCCTCGGTCCGAAAAAAAATCTTTAAGAAAGGGGAAACGGGAACTCTGGCGGGTCCCGCAGGGCGACGCCTCGCCACGCCATTCGGCCTCGCCGTGCCTCGCCATTCGCCGGGCCGTCAATACGGTGACACAATCAACAAATCAGCGATCGGGGATGCCCCTCCCTCCCTTGCCGACAGGAAACAATAAAAGGAGGCGAAAAAAGGGAGGACCCTGACGTGCCGACGTCCCCGACGACGGACCCCCGGGGGCGAAGGAGGCGCTCCCCTCCACCGGCCGATAGACACAATAAAAGGTTTACGGAAGAATTCCCCCATCGTGTGAAATCTATTGTAGCAAATTGGAGCCATTTTGCACCAATTCATTTTTTCCCCTCCCTCCTCCCCACCTCCGCCCCCGCTTTTGTCTGGGACCCTCCATCTTTCGCCTCGTTAGCACAGCAGAGCGCCGCCTTGGAATGTTTTCCCTTTTTTTCCCCCCAACTTCCAGATTTCTTATTCCTTGTCCTTAAATGGCACGCAATTATCACTCCGTGACGTCATGCCCTTCCTCCTGATTTACTCTTTCGCCCCGCGCGCCCCGAGTTCGCTCGTCGGGCCAAGTCTCTTTCTCGCGTGTTTTATTCCCCATCCCGAAACGAAGGACAGATGAGCGAAAAAAGAGAGAGCAGGATAAAAATCGGCTCGCTTCGCTGCCTTTCCCCCTCTTCGTGTCATAACGGCTGCAGACATATCACGAATCGACGTCTAGTCGCAATCAAACTTTCGCCCATTTTTTTTAACGGCTTCAACTTGACGAACTTGTCTCTCCCCTCGCGGTGGGGTTGGTTGGTGGGGGCAGCGGTCCGCTGGCAATCAGGGCGGCCCCCGGTGGGGCACTGGCGGGGCAGTGGTGGGCCGCTGGGGCCTTTGGGGCCCACTGCAGCGATCGGACGTTGTCATTGTGGGGCCCAGAATGAGTGAGCAGCCCCGGCCGGCGTGGCTGCACTGGCCAGGCAGGCCGGCCCAAGATGCGATCATGCAAAAAGAGAGAGCGACGCGAAAATTCGCGAAAAGGGGGAAAATGGAAAGCAGCCTGGCGAGGGATTAGGGAGCCATGGGGCAGGCCATGGGGCAGGCAGGCAAGAAGCAGGTTACGCCAGATGAACCTATATAGAGTTGGCCCGTCCCGACCCGACCCGTCCAGAAGCCGGAATTCTTGATTTGAAACTCGGCAAAAAGGAAGTGCGCTAAAAAATTAGAGAGATGATGAGAGAGGGGAAGATGGAGTGGCGAGGTGGCGCGCCAGTCTGAGATGAAGAATTAAAACAAGATTTGAGCCGCGTTCCGCCGACCGCCGCGCCGAGCCGGCCGAGCGCCGGGCTCCTTGATGGAACAGTGTAAACGGACTCAGAAGCTCTATTACTCTCCCGGCCTCTCGGCAAGCAATTCCCATCTTGCAGTCCGAGCGCCAGTGCGGCAGCACTCGGACTATTTTTTCCACCCCTCCCTCTTCTCTCTCTCTCTCTCCCCGCACCTTCACCACGGCCCAGGGCGGCTCACGGGGCTGGGAAAAAAATGACGGGTGTGATGTAAACACGAGGCCTGCGGCCACGGAGGGCGTGAGCTTGGGGGCGGCGGGGGTTCGACGGGCACCCCCACCCCACCACCCTCCACACATACATTCCGCCCGCCGAGGCTTCCGTAGTGCATCTGACAACGTGTAATTTAATCGAGGTATAATTTTGAAAAAGGGTGTCGAAAAGACGAGAAAAAAATATAATCTCGTGGAAGCGGTGTCTGACATATTTGGACAATCAAACTATTAACTCTTAAATTATGAGTGGTTTTTTTCGCCCGACTGGTGGCGACTGGGTACATGCATCGGTTTACATTGAACCCGTAGGGTGGTAGGAAAG